GAACTAAATATAATTATAGTACCTATAATAGGAAGCTGCTTATAATTATTAAAACCTTTAAGTATTAGTACTATTACCTTAAAGAATCCAGGTTTATAATTAAGGTTATTATAGATTATAATAATCTCTAATACTTTATAAAAACAAAGTATCTAGAAAGCTATTAAGTATATTAGATAATATATTTTATAATATATAATTTTAATATTATTTATTATAGAGGTACTTTAAATTTAATAGACAGACCTAATAAAAGACCTAATTATAAAAAAAATCCTATTAATATAACTTGGCTTCCGATCTTTTAGAATAAATTAAAGAAAGCTTTTATAATTATAATTTAGAAGTTCTTATAAATATCTAAAAAATTCCCTTTTTAAAATAAGTATTATTTAATACTTGCTATATTTATAGTAGCTAAGAAAAAATATTTATTATAAGATAAGTAAATAGATTATCTTATAGATTCCTTAATTATAGAATTAGTTAAGAAATAAGATATAGGAAAATGCCTTAAAGATTTTATTATTATAGCTAAGGTAATAGGAATATCTATAACCGTATTACTTAATAGAACTAAAAACTCTTTAGTCTCTCGAGTTTTTAAATTAGATAGTTATAAATACCTAATTCCCTATATATAAATATATATAGCTACTAAAAAAGCTATAATACTAGTTCCTTTATCTAAATCTCTTCTAGATATTATCTAGGTAGCTTAGAGAAATAATTCTTAATATTAGAATATTATAAAGTAAAGGCTTAGTAAGAAAGATATTAAGGAAAAGGAAATCTGGAAAAATAATTCGGGCCTATTTAGGTACTATTTAAGAATTATTATGTCTAATAATCCTGCTTTATATTAAGAAATTATAAAGCTTTATTATAATAACCTAATAGCCAAATACTATAAAATAGAGAAAACTCTTAAGCTCCTTAGAAGATTCTAGTATTAGAAGAATATAAAAAGAAATATTTATAATTATTATTGAAAATATAATATTTATTAGAGAATTAAGGCAAAAAGGTATTTGCTATATAGTTTACTTAGTAGTTTACTATAGCCTGAAAAACCCTAGAATAAGATCTTTATAGATTTTATTATAGGTTTATTACTATATAAGAACCTAGTAAAAGGTTCCGATTTTAATATAATTCTTATAGTTATTAACTAGTACTCTAAAATAGTAAGATATATTATATATTATAAGATTATTAACTCTCCGGAGCTTACTAAGATTATATAGGAATATATTTTCTTAATCTTTGGCTCCTCTAATAGAATTATTTCTAATTAAGAAATAGTATTTACTAGCTAGTTCTAGTTTGCTTTTTGCTTCTATTTAATATATAAATAGTATTTAAATATAGCTTACTATCCTTAGATAGATAATTAGATAGAAAAATAGAACTAGGCCCTAAAATATTATCTAAAATATTATTATAATACCTAAAAGAATAACTAGTTTAAAAAGTTATCTTTTATAGAATTTATATATAATAACTTAAAATATTAGATTTTATAAGATATATTTTTCTATATATATTATAGATACTATTCTTAACTTCTATAGAATCCTAAAAATAGGATTATAAGAAAGGTACTAACTATATATAAGAGACTAGAAATCCTTAAAATAAAATAAAGAAAGCTTAAGAATTTATAGTATTATATATGAAATAACCGGGAAACCTATTATAATAGGTACTAGTTAGCTAAATACTATTTTAAAAAAGCCTAAATAATACTATTAATAAGAAATATTAAACTTAAGATAGGAAAGCTTAAGCCAAAATTTATAAGTTTATTTAGGATCCTTAAATATATTAGTAATTTAGTATATAAGTTAAAACTACTAAATATATATAATTATTTATATCTAACTTTCTATATTTTCCTTCTTAAAAAGTATATAGTAAAAAAGAATTAGGAGCTATACTTATATCTTTCCGGAGAACTTCCAGAATTAGTAAATAATAATAAAGAATAAAAATAGAAAATAAAAGCTATTATTAATTACTAATAAGATAATAGAAGTAAGAAGTAATAGTATTTAATTAAATAGAAAGCCTAGCCTAAAGATTATAATACCTAGTTATCTACTTTTCCTAATCTTAAAAATTTTAAGGAACTTCTAAAATTATATAACTAAAACTATAGCTTAGAATCCAAAACTATCTTTTAATAATTTTTTAAGATTAAAAAGAATTCTAAACTACTAAGAAAAAGGCTACTTAAAAGAAAAAGAGGATCTAGATAGCTAAGAAAAGGTCCGGAATAGTAATAGAAATACTCTTTTTCTGGGTTTTTTTACCTATAAAGGTTTTCTAGGATTTTATTAAAGCTTATAAGAATTATATTTAAATTATTAGAAAAAAGGTTTAGAATTAAGAAAGGTTTATTATAGGTAGACTAGCTATAGGTATCTCAAATAAATAAACTTTAATTCCTATAAATTCCTAATTCCTAAAGCAAGAATACTAAATACCGGCCTTATTTAGGACTTAGTAAAGAATTAACTAATACTTTCCGGAATCCGCTTATTTCTTAATAGGATATAGTTATACTATAATAATATTAGTATTAAGGATATTAAGAAAAGTAAATAAGGAACTTATAACTACTATATATATTTTATAAAAGGCCCGAACTTCTAAAGTCAGATCCCAAATAGCTATAAATATTATATTATTAGTACTTAAAATACTAGTAATAAACTACTTAGTAATCTCGGTAGTAATCTTAATAATAAGGTTAATATCTTAAAAGTAGACTTTATAGTATTTCTTTAAGGAATTAGCAAGTATCTAAATATATTAAAAAGAACTTATCTTTAGGATACTAACCCAAGTAATATTATTCTTTGCCTTATTAAGACAGGAAAAAGAATTCTAAAGCTTATTAGTATTTTTCTAGTTTTTGAAAACCTAATTAATAGTATTATCTATATTAGTATAATACTATTTAGGATATTTTTTAAGAAATTTCTTAAAGGTTATAATAGTATTTTCCCAGAACTAGTAAGCCTCTAATAAGTAATAAGGAATCTGAAATCACATTAGCTTTAATAGATATTAAAGCTAAAGAACTTATTAATATATAAGATTCAGAATTCTTATTATAATAGTTATAATTCTTCTTACTAGATACTATAGTATATAAGGTAAAGGAATTAATAAACAAATACTTAAAGCATTTCAAGTATTTATTAGTAATAGGAAAGAAAACTATAAGGTTATTTTTATACTTATAATTATATTAGTAAATAATAAAGCTAGAAAAAAACATTATGGAATTAATTAAAAATAATTAAAGAAGACTTAGAGAAGAATAGAAAAAGAGACTAGAAGGTAATAATAGAAAAAGTTATTATATATATAATTATTAGAAAGAAAGAAAACATATAATAATATAAAGAAGTCCTTTTATAAAAGTAAAGAGCTACCTGGATTAACTACTAGTTTTTATACTAGTCCTAATCAGAATTTAGTATAACCGATTAATATATATTTCCAGGAGCCTATAAATAATCTCTAGAACCTTAGAAATATTTATATAGGTTTCTTATATAAATATTTATTAAATTCTTTTTATATAGCTATTTAGATTATTCTAATACAAGATCTAATAAATAGTATTAATTTTATAGGGTAGTACCTTAGTACTTTGGATCGAGCTAATTAGAATACTCAGATCCTAAACGAAATCGCAATTACTAGCTAGCCCCTATATCTGGGATATAATTACCTTTCCTTCTTACTTACTCAGCCCTAATCTAATTAGACGATTTTTATATCTATTATCCAGATTATATTAGTAAAACCATCTCCCAAGATACTGGAAGTTTATATTAATTAAATAATTAATTAATTAAATATTTACTAGAATTAATAGATCTTGGAGACAAGATCCTAGAAAGGAAATATAGTTATAATATATATAGGGTCATATATAACTTAAGGGCATATAACGAACCTCGGATATTACGAGTATTAATTAGGGAGATCGGCGGCCCTTTAATATCCCAACTAACCACTATTTATATCATATATATTAGGCTTATAAATTACTAATTATATATATACCATTGGGGCCTCCTATTTAGAAAGGGCTTCCCTGGACCTTATAGGAGGGACAGAGATTAGTTCTATACTAAATTTAATACTATGGTTTTACAATATACTAATTCATTCTATTATCTTATTACCTACTAATAAATACCTTATACTTTTTTTTAAAGTAATAAGTAAATAAAGCTAGTATTATTTACTTTTATAAAGAAAGTTAACTATATTAGCTAATAAAGTTAAAAGCTAATTTATAATAAAATTTAATATATTAAAAAAACAAATTTAATAAAATTACTTAAATAATAATAAATTATAATATTAAAGTTTTTAAAATAAAATAAAATGATTTAATTATTTAGGGTTTTATTTAAATTCTAATATATTTATTTTATTTTATTTTATTATATTAATTTTTATTTTTATTTTTAAAAATTTAAGTAAAATGCTTTCTTTTATTATATTATAATATATTTTATTATGTAAGTAAATTAATTAAAAGAGTAAAATCTTAAAGCTAAGTTAAAAGTAAATACTCGACTATTTAATATATTTTCTAGTTAATGCTCTCGTTCGAGTTGCCTCGCTTAGAAAACAGAGAGTAAAAGTGTGACATGTCAAGTGGTGGCGAACAAGTGACCTGGCACAAGCCTTATGAAGCGTGATAGGCGTATTCACTCCTGGAGTGAATACTGTAGTCTTTTGGCTCAGTTGGCCTGTGCATAAGCCTATCCACACACGTCACAAAAAGGAGCCACTTTCAAGCCACCGACTGACTATCGAGCATTCTAGCCGGTTCCTAAGATATGCAGGCTTATCACAACTCGATCACCAAATGCCGATCCCATTATTCAGCTGAGGAGGGTTACTCTTTCTCCACATGCCTCTATGTCATGTAGACATTGCTCCGTGGGTTTAGGGGAGCGGAAGGTTTTTTATTGCCTTCTGCTCCTCCTCCAGCCGGCCCCTTTTCTCCCCTTCGTCCCCCCTCATATTACTTTTGGTCTCTGTCCATTCCAAGAAATCCAACCAAGTCATCCTACGTACCTCATCAGACCGGTCTTACGCATCGACGGGTGGTCATGAAGCTGGTTGAAAGATTTTTGGCGGCTTTCACTCGTCTGTTAGAGTTCGTCACCCTGTCCCCCTATCATCATGAGGTGGCTCCTAGCTTCCAGCTCCCGCTGGCAGTTGACCACTACAAAGATGTGACCGCTCTGCCGCCAGGCCCTATTTTCACTCCTCCAGGCTACAACACTTCGGACGACTTCCAATGCAACTACACTGCTATGTTGGGCTGGACTCAATGCTGGACTCCCGGGAATCATCTTGATTGCTGGCTAACTTCACCGGATGGGCTGACAAACTTGAGCATTAATACTAATTATGAGAACGTGAAGAACACCCCCTTTGGGGTTCACCGTTACTACGAGTACAATGTGACCGCCGGCGCCGTGGATGCAGACGGCCTCACCTTTCCCTATGGTAAACTCCTCAATGGGAGCTTTCCAGGCCCCTGGATCCGTGCCTGCTGGGGTGACACAGTTCATCTTAAAGTCAATGTTGATCCGGGCTTTTACCAGGGCGTGTCTGTGCATGCACACGGATTGAGGCAATGGACCAAAATGCACATGGATGGAGTTCCCGGTATCACCCAATGTCCGATCGCCCCTGGAAGTAGTTTCGAGTACGTATGGCCCACAACCCAGTATGGCTCCTCTTGGTACCATTCTCACTATTCCCTCCAATACCCGGACGGACTACAGGGTCCTTTGGTAGGTCACGATACTTCCAAGATATTTCAATGGGTATTGAATAACTGACGTTTACTTGTCCTTAAAACCAGACCATCCATGGACCAAGTAGCAAGGACTACGACTACGCCCCCGCGCTGCCATTGATTCTCACTGACTGGAGTAAGCGTCACATTTTATCTTCCCCCTTACTGATCCATGAAGCTCACCGAAGTTCCTCCTTTCTCAGACCATAACTCTGCTTTCAACGAGTCGAGCTTAAAACCCTGCATTTTATTGGGTGGAGTTGGAGACATTACAAAATGCTATCCTGGCACGACCAACGATACCGAAATAAAAGGCCCGTTTAGGCTCTCATTCCAAAAAGGTCAACGATATCTGCTCCGCGTAATCAACACTTCTTATAGAGCCGGATTTACTTTTTCGATTGATAACCACGAGATGTGGGTTGTCAGCGCCGACTTTGTCCCCATTACGCCGTACAATACCACCGCAATTAGGGTGAACATTGGCCAGAGATATAATATTGTCGTTGTAGCGAATCCTATCAACTCATCAGATACCAGCTTCTGGATACGAACCTACCAGTCACCCTGCGGATCAGTAGGCATTCTCGGCCCTAACTACATGAACACTGGTATCATCAACTACGACAATTCAACCGGGCCCGATCCAACCTCCACCCAGTGGCCAAATGCACTGTCTAAAGAGTGTAAGGATGAGCCTCTGCTCAACATACAACCCATCGTTCCTTGGAGCCCTCCTGGCCCGAGCAATTCCGATGTCCCGCGTAACATCTCTAAACATAGTCCCCTACCTGGCCTTCCCAATCTCGTTTATGCTATAAACCCAATCAATTCCGATTTTCAACCACTTCAGGTTCAGTGGGGGAATCCAACTTTTACCAATCTCCAAAATACAAACTGGCCGAATTTATCAGTCATTGTACCGGAAGACTTTTCTGCAGAATTCAATAATGTAACCTCCTTCACCTCAAAATGGGCAAGTTTTTCTCCTCTACTTTGCACTATTGTTGTATGCTTGGCTAAAATAACATATCAGATTTATCTCAACATCCAATCCGATCATCACTATCATCCAGTAAGTGAAAACAAATCAGATCAAATCAGCTCAGAGCTGAGCACTCTCTCCCAGATTCATTTGCATGGCCATGATTTTGCCATTTTCAACCTCACCTATTCCGATAATTCAGTTGAGCCTTGGGGTCCGTCCGTTCCCCGACGCGATGTTTTCACAGTTCCTGGCGGAGGATCCGCCACAATCGCCTTCCCAGCAGACAATCCCGGTGCCTGGCTTTTGCACTGCCATATCGCTGGACACGCATCTTCCGGACTCGATCTGCAGGTCCTCGAAGACCAGGTGGCGGCAAACGGCATTTGGCCCAAGGGTAACTCTTCTGCTCTTGCCACGGCAAGTAGCCTTTGTACATCTTGGTCAAGTTGGTGTACAGCCCATCCGACCCCGTGTGCGACCCCGTGTGTTGAGACCGATTCCGGAGTCTGATACCGTTCTCTCGGCCAGGTCTGTCTAATTGCTCGATTCCGGCTCGCCAACATTTACCCTCGTTTCTACTGACCTTCTAATCCCAATAACTACGATCTTTACGAAGCTCAGAATATATTGGCAGTTACGCAATCACCGTTGGCACGACTGGTGGAAGTCCAACATATAGCTAGCACCGTTTTCTCGACAGCAATAGAAAACTCACGAATACATATACTATATACTATTTGCTTCCCTCCCCTTTCTTTCTTTTATGGTTTCTGAGCCTTTAATCCCTTTTCTCTTCGACCCGCTCTGAAAATATCCAAACAGGTCATCCTGCGGCCAGTGCCGTGACCACAGGAACAGGGCCGCGAGCGGAAGCAGCAGAGCGAGCCTTTTATTTTATGTTCTAAAACTATCTAGTAAATAGGCTTTGTATGTCACGGAAGCGGGGAAAATGTAAAATGACCCCCCTACCCCCCCCTTGCGTGTCTACGGAAAGCCGTAGGTAACGAGCCTGGTGCCAACTAGTTTGTGGATTTTAGCGAGATTTTCAGGCCTCGCAAAACATAAATCGCGATATTTAACTAAGTTATATTCGATAACCATAAACTGTAATCCTTTAAAATATCGAGGGATATGATTACAAGAAGTGAATGTTGATTTCTTTATAGTAATTTATTTTATTGTAGTTTATTTGCAAAAGTCGAGGTTTTACTTCAGTGATTATTTGGTCGCTAAAGGCCCTGTAATCCACAGACTAGTGGGCACCAGGCTCGTAAGGATCAAAAGTAGGGCAGGATTTTAGGCGGTAAAGGGCCAAAATCCAAAATACTCGAGTTGTTCCATCCCATCTGTCAATACGAGCGGTTTAGGAATCGGGCGCTACGATTGATCAATCGGCTCTCCGATTAATCAATCGGGACTCCCATTAATCAATCGTAAATGGAATACGATTCGCAAGCCACAGTGGGTCCCGATTAATTAATCGGGAGGCCGATTGATCAATCGTATAATATTGGGGTTTCGGGCCTAAGGAGGCTGAAACCCTTTAGTTCTCAGTATGTAATAATATATCCTCAAGACTAATGGCTGAAACCCTTCAGTTCTCAGTATATAATAATATATCCTTAAGACTAATAGCTGAAACCCTTCAGTTCTCAGTATATAATAATATATTCTCGAGACTAATAGCTGAAACCTTTTAGTTCTCAGTATATAATAATATATCCTCAAGACTAATGGCTGAAACCTTTTAGTTCTCAGTATATAATAATATATCCTCAAGACTAATAGCTGAAACCCTTTAGTTCTCAGTATATAATAGGGGTAAAGATACTTCTCTAGAGCCTCTAGATATGTATAGGGCCTCTGCTCCCTTTTTACTACCTAGACACAGTTCACAGCACACAGTTCATAGCATACAGTTTACAGTATACAGTTCATAGTACAAGCACCAGCTTTCTAAGCAAAACCACTAATTCTATATACTTCTCAATTATTACCTCACTTCTACTATGTCTCTTTTAACCCTTCGTTCATCTCCAGCCCCTCGTACGCCTCGCGAACGCACCTATGGCCGTACAGATCAATATTTTAATATTACTGCACCAGGAGTACGTTCCTCTGGCACTCAGTTCTTACCCTCCCCTATTACTGAAGAGCCTACTAATAATTGGTCCGCTGAAGACGAAGCTGTATAGGATCAAAGGCTTGCTACAGGTAGTAGTAAGAAAATTCTTACTGCTAGGAAACGTATAGATATTAGATAGTGGTTGCAAAATCCTAATGCTTCGCTCCCTAGTGGAACAAAAGCAGAGAAACGCTACCAGGCTAATATCAAGCACGAATCCTAATTATACGAGCTTCAGGATAATCAGGTATATCGTAAGGAATACCATAATAGTCGCCGCAATGAGATCCTTCCAGCTCGCTATACTCTTTGCTATAACGATGCCTTTGAGATTTTGACTACTATTTATAAGAAATTAATGCATGCAGGTAAGTACCCCTGAAATATACTAATTTTTATACTAATTACCTATATAATAGCCCCTAATATTGCATTTGAGTATGCAAGACGAATTTGGCATGGCCCGTCCCGTAACGACCACGCTTGGATAAGTACTCGCTATTCTCACTATAATAAGGAAAAGACTCAGAAGAATAATAAGGAGATTACACCTATCCAATCTCATTATCCTGGCAAGCGTATGGTTCTGGATTTAATGGATTTTCGTATAAGTGTCCCTTAAGTCATGTGATTTATCCCTATATTCCTGTATTTCCTGCATTTCCTGTATTTCCTGCATTTCCTGCATTTCCTGCATTTCGTGCATTTCGTGTATTTCGTACGTTTTTAAGCTTTTCCTATAATTTTCGCAATTCCTGCGATTTTCATAAATTCCGAACCTTTTTATCCATACTTCATTAATACTATAGTATTATTATTACTAATACTATTATAGCATGATCCGGACGGAGAATATATGTAGATCTGGCAATTGAAATGCCACTTTTCCAAGTTCGTCTGGATTCGTAGGCTTAAGGCTAAGACTGCGGACGAAGCTGCGGACGAGCTTGTCAAATGGCTAAATAATAATAGATATATTTCTATTCTAGCCTATAATAATGGGGGGGAGTTTAAGGGGAAAGTGATTGAGATTTGCAAGAAGAGAGGGATAAAGATTATTCGCGGACGAGCTTATTACCCTCAATCTCAGGGCTCTATTGAGGTAGCTAATCGAATCTTTAAGAAACGGCTACGGGCCGTACGAGCGGATACTGGTATCTAATCGTGGATATAGTTACTTCTTTTAATCGTATAGGTAATTAATACCACAGCTATAGGGGCCCTTCCTAAGGGAAATACACCATACGAGGTCTGGTTTGGACGAAAGCCACCTACTGATTTCCTGGATTACAAGGAGAGCGCTCGCCGTATACATATAGCCCTGGGAGGTATAGAGGGAGGGGAAGAGGTTGAGAGTAATGAGAATAGTAGTTCTGAGGGTAGAGAGGATAGCTTATTCGTTAACGAGGAAGCAGATCAAGAAGAAGCAGCTAAGGAGATAATTTTATCTGAACTAACTAAGAGGGTTGCGGAGCATATGAGAAAACAGAGGGAGAATATGGTAAAGAGAGCGAATTCTAAAGCTCTTGAGTATGATATTCAAGAGATTGCAACTCTCGGGATCCCAAAGCAATACAGATTCAGTACAGAAATGGCTAGGATTCCAGTAAGAGTTCTGGAAAAGACTTCAAAGGTATATAATTTATGAGCCTTACTTTTAATAAAAGCTAATTAAAATAGGGCTACCGTCTAGCTACTAAGTATGGCGAGCTTACTACTCTCTGGCCGCATAGTACCCTCAACAAAATCACCTCCCAATTGACTTATCCTGATTTACCTACTACTGGTGCAACCCACAAGAGGGATAAAATTACCCTTCCCAAAGCGGTAGCAAAGGAGAATAATCGTGGTTCAATTGCGTCAGTTCAGAAGGCTGGAAGAGTATCTGAGAGAGCAAAGAAGAGAGTAGCTAAGGAGCAAGCACGTGAGAATGGAGCTAGAGAAGGAGGAGAATCAGGTGATCAAGTGAAGGGGAGGGCACCAAAAAGGGCTAGGGTGGCTATAGGAGCGCCTAGACGTAGTGGGAGGCATGTATAGTAAAGCTTTTACTATTCCCGAAACCTCAATATTACCCGATTAGGCAATCGGCTCTCCGATTGATCAATCGGCCCCCCGATTGATTAATCGGGACCCACTGTGGCTTGCGAATCGTATTCCATTTACGATTGATTAATGGGAGTCCCGATTGATTAATCGGAGAGCCGATTGATTAATCGTAGCGCCCGATTCCTAAACCGCTCGTATTGACAGATGGGATGGAACAGAGTACCAAACCACTAAAACCGCAAAAACCGCAAAATCAAAATTATATATTATATATTACTTAAAATCAAATACAGAATTATACTAAAATTATATTTAGACTTATATTTACTATTAATAAAGAATTCTTTATATATTAAAATAAGCTATTTTATTAAAAAAAATCTTTTTTCTTTCTTAAAAAAGCTCTTTATTTATTATAATAAGCTAGCCTTTAAAAAGTTTTTTATATATTATAATAAGTTATTAAAAAGCTTTTTATAAAATTAATTTATTATAATATATAAAAAGCTTTTTGAGAAAATAATTTATTATAATATATAAAAAACTTTTTAAAAAATAATTTATTATAATATATTAAAAGTTTTTTAAAAAGAAAAAAACAGCTTTTTAAAAACTAGTTTATTATAATATAACTTATTATAATAAATATAAGTTTAAATATAAGTTTAGTATAAGTCTATATTTAATTTTAAGTAATATATAATTTATAGTTTTGATTTCGCAATTTTCGCAGTTTAGTAGTTTAGTGCTCGAGTGTTTTGGATTTTGGCCCTTTACCGCCTAAAATCCTGCCCTACCGAACCTTGATTGAAGTGATTCGATGAGAGAGGCCCAACGGGTGGTCTGCCTGGATTTGGCTCCTCATGGTGCCCTGTTCTGAGGTTACACACGCTGAGAGTCTTTGGCAGTGGCTGAAGGATAATACTGCTCAGTGGAGGCTCGGTAAGGGTGCATGTGGAGTAAACCAGGCAACATTTGGACCTTCTTGCATTAACGGGGAGTCCCTCTGGAGCGGACCCCCGGCTTCAAGAAAAGCCCGAGTTACATTGCATAAAAGGTTCGGATATGATTGGAGATAATTGTTGAAGCGGGTCAGTCTCCAGGCAACCGGCCACGATCCCCACCTCACGTCGAAGCTACCTTTTGCTCATGAGGCTAGCGCACATGTCATTGCATGAGGCTCTGTCGCCTTTCGTTTGCAGAGGCCAGTCTCCTCGTGTTTGCAATGTCTTTTGGATATTTTTCGAACCCGAGAAGCATGGCACTCGGGGAGGGTAACAAGCGTTGACGATAGAGTTGATCGTGTGAGATGCGAAGTCTTGTTTGCCAGCCACCTATGCTTCACGAATAATGTTGGAGTTAAAAGCTTGAGAGGAATCATGTTTGCAAAATACACAAAATGGAAACGCCGATGTGGGGAGGGTCGATCACCCGCCGAGACCTGCTGCGAAGTACGACCCTCTTCCAGACTCTGAACAAGGTCCCAGAGCTACCAAAAGACAATGCCGCTGCATCTGAAATCAATTCCACTTACCGATTGACCATCTCCAAAGAGAAAGAGATTACAAGCAAGTTGGCATTTTTGTCCGCCACATCGGACGATAACAAGAAGGTGATGGCTGTCTGCGTCGAAGAACATACCAACAAAGAAGGGATCACGATCCGAGTAGCATCGAACAGGGGCGACCTCTCTAAAGTTGTAAGCGGGTTCAAAAAGGTTGCTAGGATCCTAGAAGGTGCTGCGAGGCGAGGTAGGTATTTATAAAAACTTGATCTCTTCAGGTCCAGCTAATTTGCTGTTTAGAGAAGCCCAAAATCGAAAACCAAAAGGCTCTTCTCGAAGAGATCGTCAAGCTGGACTTCGAGCGCATTTTATCACGCCTCCGATCACGGCATATTAGGAAATGGACAAGAAAGACTTTGCGGAAAAAGCCTCTGATCACCCAATTATCTGACACATTACAAGAATATTCCCTAGAACCAAGCTTGACAGACATGGGAAAAGACAGAGCACAAGATCTGGGGGCGTTGTTCAGCAGACTTGAAAGCTTCGAAGACGTGAGAGCGGACAGGAAGGAAGCAGAGGATGTGCTTTGTGAAATCGTGAAGGCGGCCAACGATTTCTCCCATTTCAGTAATCTCAGCTTCGCACTGGAAACGTCCAAGGTGGACCCAAACCTGAAGAAGCATCTGCTAAAGTCAATCACCAAACTCGGCCATTATTTTTCTATTGCTTCCGACCTTGTTTCTGCAGCGAGAAAAAGCTCATGGCAATTGTTCCAAAATATCGACGTAGAACCATTTCAAATCCAAGTACCCCCTTCCATCGAAGATGCACTTCAAAATCTCCTACCCTCGAGACTCACCGAGTCCGTGTTAAATCTAGCCAATCTTCACGCACAGGAAACCGAGAAAGAATATCACAAGCGACTGTCCGAGATTACAAGAGGGGGGCGCAAGGTCCATGCTGAAGTGCAACTCCTCTTTTTTTATGAGCTTCACCCAGGCTCTCCGCAACCTAGGTTCATATGCTCTAGTAAGAAAGCTTGCTATTTGTGCAATCTCTTCTTCCACAACCATGGTGGCTTTCTCCTTCCGCAAACGCATGGCAAGCTATATGATACGTGGATCATACCAGACTGGGTGAAAGTCCCAGCAGAACGTCATCAAGACCTCGCACTCATCACGAAGAAGTTCAAAGCCACTTTGGATGATAGGATCAAAGAGACTATAGAGTTCGGGCCAGAGTCACACCCCGACCCAAGCGAGAGTTTTGTACTCACAGATGCAGAGCGGTCGTCAACTGAAGTATCTGATATCCCGACGTTGAAGTCCCAAGGCTCGACGTCAACACTCCGCCAGCAACCTCCTCAGGGTGAAGAAAAAACCGTTTGTGAACGACTGTCTCAAAGTACAGAGGCGCCTACACAACCAAGGAAAGCCTCTGCAGAATTGCCTCGTGCTGTTAAGCTTCCCAGCATAATTCCGGAAAAGACAGTATCGCCAGCTTCAGATGTCGTCTCTCTCGTCTCTGTCAAAAAGAGAAACCTCCCTTATAGCCAGATCATCAAACTGGCAACGCCATCATTCTACGTTCAAATTGACAAATTCTTCGTTACACTTGAATTCGCTGAAGTATTGTCTGGTCGTTTATTTATCACGAAGCGAGGAGAATGGGTACCGAGCAAGACAGTTCGGGTTGTTGACATCAACGATATTCCCACAACCTCAGAGCTGGAAGTGCATTGTTCTCAGGAATCGAACGAGGTCCAAGTCCTTTTGCAAAGTCAAGGGACGGAAATCTTTTCCATAAGATTTGTTTGGGATGACGCTTACTGAGCTACTTCTTCAAAAGGATGGATGTGTTAGGAATTGAAGTATTGCTGATGGTGTTAATAATGCTCGTATTTCATTTAGATTAAAGTTCCTCGGGTACAACAGTCCCATTGTCAACCAGTGAGTGGGTTGAAGGAGGCGGATTTACTCACTTGAGCGCACTGATAGCTTTCAACTCTCGAAGCATGAAAGCAGCCTCAAAACCTGAGATAGTTGCGCCCTGAACATGAGGTTAGGAGTCTGCACTGCTGAAACGGTTTGTGCAATCACACGTAATCGTGCTTGAAATCACGAAATGATGGGTAACATCGGTTTTAGAAGATATTGCCACCGTGTGTCTCACTTCAGACTTGGTCATTGGCTCGAATATCCCTCCCAGCATGCATGATGTCGAAAACACAAGATGAGGCTGAGGCTGTGCAGGAGGCTGCGCAGTCGTACATGAGGCTGCAACACTGAGTACTGCTGTTTCCAGATGATACAATTAGCAGCTCTTTTCCATTTCTGGGCTCTTTTCACTTGAATCTACGTCAATTCTTTAATTTGAAGTCCTAAGGACAACTGAACTACCCAGAATGTCTGGTATCTTGCCAATGCCGGGTGCGTGGGACAGCGCGTGGGACAGCCCTACAGAAATAGCACCTAGCAGTGATGTTCCTGTCCCTCCTTCTTCCGGACCACGCCCCTCTGGTTCAACCAGGCAGCGTCCTTCAGGCGTGCCTTCCCCGAGTAGCACTCCAAGTCGCGAAGTTCCTCGGCAGCCCAGAGCTCAAAACCCTTTCAGAAGACCAACCCGCGAAGTCCCTGCCGCGAGAGCATCTGGCGGCGAAGAGATCAAACGTCCCATCGTGGTAGCGGTCTTTGGCCAGGCGGGCACTGGAAAAACATCCTTCATAAAGGCTGTGACTGGAATGGATCTTGAAGTAGGGCATAATCTTGCGTCGTGTAAGATCTACCACCTTGACCTAGAAGATTTGAATTTGGAGACTGACCAATTCGCGAATAGGTACTGACGCTGTCCTCCAAGTACCTTGCACAATCGAAAACGAAAATGTTGTCCTCGTTGACACTCCGGGCTTCAGCGACACGCACCTCAGTGATACAGAGATCCTAAGAATGATCGCTGAATGGATGAAGGACACATATGATGAAGGATTCCTCTTATCAGGAATTATTTATCTCCATCGAATCATCGATGTTCGCATGGAAGGGCCAAATCTCAAGAACCTGCGGATGATGAAGCAACTATGCGGGGCAGACTCGTTACAAAATGTGGTCTTGGCCACTACAATGTGGGAGAAAGTGACAATAGAGGAAGGATTGAGACGCGAGGCAGAGTTGGAGCAAACGTATTGGAAGGACTTGATTGATGGTGGTGCTACCGTTGCGAGAATAACGACACAGTCTGGGAACGAAGCTCAATCCCTGGTCAAGTCATTGCTGAAGAACACCCCAACATCAACCCGGCTCCAGGATGAGCTTAATAGCGGTCTAACTCTCGTCCAAACTGCAGCGGGTATAGAAATCAGGGAGGAGATGGCAAAACTTGAGCAAAAGTTGAAAGCAGAGCACCAGGTCGAAATTGAGGAATTGAGGATAGCTCAAGATAACCGTAAGAAATGCATTTCTATTACATATCCCAACGATGCATCCTGACTCAGAAACATAGAAAATGCACAGCTCGAGAGACAAATTAGAAATGAAATGGCGGAGAGCCTACGTAGGCTAGAACGCCTTGAAGACGAGAAGACGTTATTCGCAAGGTTGGAGCACTTGTCGTCGAAGAAATTACCAAAGGTGAACAGAAGCGGGCTGTTTGGTTGGGGGAGCTATTGCTGCCATTTCTGTGGCAAAAAGACAAGACATGTTGGAAGATGGACTTGCAGCGAGTGCAACAAACAACAAAGAAATATTTGGTAGGCCCTATCCAGGGAAAGGAACAGCAAATAGGAATCGGGAAAGTACTTGCCAGACACACACTTCACAACCACAGCCTCAAGATCAAGACCTCAAAGTTAAAAACTCCGTTTATGCTCCAAATATCTACCTCGCCCCCGAAATTCGTTTATCTATCCCATCCATGTTTCCTCCTTTCCTCCTTTCATCCTTTCCCATCACCAATATCTCCTATTCCGTTGCCTTGTACTTCTTATTAAACTCGTTCACTGCAACCCCGATCTTCCGATAAAGGAAATTCCTGCTGCTCTCCTCCGCCACCGGTACGAAAGGTCCATTTGTGCCACCCCTCAACGTCAAGCTCAATCCCGTCCTCTCTTTACTAATGGTCTGGATATCCTTCAACGGGACATCCCACTCCGTCGTCAATTTCTTGCTCTTGATGAGCATGATGCGACTGTATGTCAACATGACAACGACATCCTCCCTTGGTAGCTCGAGATGAGCGATATACTGCTCATTGAAGTACTTCCCATTATCAAGCTGCTTTAACCAGAATTGGCCGAGGGCTTCGCGCTGAGAGTAAGGACGGACGATGCCATCCGGACCAACAAAGCGCGTAAGACGCACTCGATCAAGGCCTTCCTGATCAAAGACCGTGGTGGTGTTACGGATCCCTTCACTGACGTTGGAGGCCAGATCGAAGACGCCGATTGCGGGTTTCGTGACGAAGCCGAGTGCTCCTTTTCCAACGCCTTTGAAGAATCCTGCGAGGCCTTCTTGCTCGGCACCTTCCATTGGCTTTCGGACCAGGCCACCCACACCGCTGCCAACACTTGTAAACAAGGAGTTGGCTCCTGCTTGGACGCCATAAAGTGCGTGCTTGGGTCGATTTCGAGATTTGGTCATACGACGACGATCCTGGAACTGCTTGTCCATGGTGGCCTCTGCCAGACCTTTGGCAATGCTGCCGGTGAACTTGGAGAAACTATCTGATACACCAAAGACCGACTTCTTGACAAAGCTTGTCGCCCCTTTGGCGATACCAATTCCTAGTTGTTCAGGTCGATCGGACATGATGAATCCTTGATATGGCTCGTAGAAGATATCTGCAACTCCTGAGCTCAGGTTGTTGAACAACCCAACGGGGTTGCCAAGGAAATCGGCTGAGCCAAGAATCTTGTGTACTTGGTACAGTGCTTCCTGTGAGTAATGGTTGGATATGTTCTGGACCAAAATAGCTGCAGAAACTCTGGCATTCTCGAGCATCAGGGCATTGAGACGCACAGGAGCATCGTTGATGTTGCCGATAGCCATTGTGAGAACATTCAAGAAGAACATCAGTGGGTTCCTGGATGATGTTTTGTCTTCGGCATTGACTCGATCCGTTCGCACAAAGGATAAATCAAGCTGCATCGGTTGGATGTTCAACAACTCGAAGTACATGTCTTGACCCGTTTGTTCTTGCTTCGGTTCTGGGATGTCGAGGTTCTCGTCGCAGAGCACTCCTTCGTGCACTTCTGACCAGCTGGCACCTGGAACTTTTGAGAATTCAAGAAGGGCGTAGACAAAGTCTTCATCAATTTCCAAAGTCATCTGTTGCAGCAGAATTGTTGCATACTTGATGTAGAGCACACCATACGAGTCATCCTTGACGCGAGTAATCATTGCGTGGACAGACGGATGGGCCTCGGTCTCCTTGGTATTCTTCGGGACAACACTGGGATACAAGATCATAGGGAAGATTCCTCCGTAGAGTTGATTGTCGATCTGTATCCATGTGATTGCGGCCGTGATCGTCTGGTAGAGTGGCGATTCAGAATACTTGAGTGATATATCTCGCAAAGTAACATAGGCCAACTCGATTGGCTGAGCGTTCACAAGGGAGATTCCGATTCCGGCAAGTTTGAGTTGTGCCCGGAAAGTGACTCCAGTGTCTTGATACTTCACCTCAAAACCTCCAGCGACACTGGTGGTAGATTCCGATCGAGTCTTCTGCTTGTACAAACTCTTCGAGGCTCTATAATTTGATAGGATCAACGTTTGCGTTGGACCATCAGCCGCGACGTTGAGATCGATGATCTTTGCTTCTCTTGCCCCTGGTGCGGTGTGTGGAGCGGGTATCTTCATCGGGATCAAGTTACCAATCTCAGCAAGCTTGATATGTCTCTCTCTGCCATTTGCGTTGATGATAAGCTCCTTGTTCTTGGCTGCAGGGTAGTCCCACGCGTATGGCATAATACTCCGAGGTGGTAGTCGGTAGCGAACGGGGCGCCAGCCAGATCTATCCTCAACCTCCTCATCATCGATGTGCGGATTTGCCTGCCAGAATGTGAACTCGGTGTCGCTCTCATTCCGCATAGAGAACGGCCAGTTCTTGGTTTCAGCGCTGAGATGGAGGAATACCGTTGCATTCTCCATCAGCACTTCGATCCTCACAAGTTTCTGTCGTTGACCAGCCTTTGCAAGCTTGACGTGTGTAGTTCCCAGATCAGAGATGTTGAATGGGGAAGACCATTGGTTGTTGAGACCAGGGAAGCACAATGACAATTGCTTGATTGTGCTCTTTTGTAAGAAGTGCAGGGGTTGAAGGGCATCCGGCTTCAACGTCATGAGATCTGATGATCCAGGCTCCCGGACGTTGATCTCTTCATTCATCCGATTCTTTAGCACAAATCTCGGGGCAAGTGTCACTACCCGTGTCATCTTGTATTTGCCTTCCCCATTCTCAACTGTAATGCCAACGTGGATTTCGGTGTTCTTCGTTGTGGACGGCAGGACGACGTCAACCGTACTTCCGATTGCATCAAAACTCTGTGGTCTACTCCAATTCGATTCTCCAACCTTCAAAATCACGCGGTTTCGTTGGTCATCAGCACCAAAAGCGAACATGTATGGTAGAGCTTTGCGTCTTTCGGTAGCCGAGTCTGTATGGAAACCTTGCCCAGCAGCAGTCCTCGCTTGTTGGAGCAGCGATTTTGCCTTGATATTGATATCAAGTCCAGTCTTGTTCAGAATGACATAAGGACTGAACACCGTAACTCTGAATGCACCGCCACTGTCGGGTATCTTGTAGTAATGGAGGCGAAGATTTAGAGAAAGACCGTCGGCGTCCTTACACACAAGAATCGACTCTTTGCGGAAGTCCTCCTGGTTGTTAGAATTGATGATTGCAAATTCGCTGGGTTTGAAAGGCGTATCTTGCATGTCAATGCTCATAAGAAGAAGATGTGACAGCTCAACAACATGCACAGGGCTGAGACCACCCTTGCGAAGAAAGTTTGTCCAGTCCTTTTTCGTGTTCTTATCGTAGATACGATACTTGAAGTCGTACGGAAGGAGATTCTCCAATTCTACAGGTGCTGACAGTCGTATTTTCATGTAGGGGTAGACGCTATATTTAGTCAGTGATGTTTGGTCATCTTCAAGGGTGAATAGGCGACGTACTTCGTAAGAGGATTGGCCTTGTCATAGCTGGCATGCATTTGGAAGTAGAAAGGAGGAGTGTTTTTGTCAGTTTCACCCTTACAAGTAATAGTCCTCGTCGGTCGTTGAAGAAGGTCTCTCCACCACAAGGTTTCCGTCGACCATGCATAACCAAATCCTTGATCAGGCCGTACAAGCAGCGATTTCATGAAAGCTGCACCAACTGGAGCTGGGCGACTTTCTCCTGGGGCAATCTTCTCGATTTTGAGGAGATGCCCCTCTTGTGCGTCAAAAACCCCCAGTTCGACGGGAATCTGAGTTTTGTTCTCAACCAAAAGAGGTGACCGGAAGGTAATATACTTGACGTTATCCGTACCCAGCGTGATCTCCACTAGGAGACGATGGAGGATTTGATCTTTGCGAGGCCGAAGGCCGTACAAATACTCTCCTTCACGATTTACGGGAATTTTGTTCACGCTGTCAAACCCACTCGCCTCAAGCCGGACGCCCACCACTCCCGTATTGTTCTCTGGCGTCAAGTTCTCGCGCATCTTCTCCCAGTCTTCGAACCGCCAAGGGCCTTCCTCGCCATCTTGGAACCTGGCGGCCATATTGTTATCTTCTCCTGGGACATCTGCCCACACATTAACGTCAAATCCTGTGTAGTTTCGGATTCGATAAGGAGCCTCTGCTCCACGAGGTTTTGAGAGAACATCCTCTTCTTGTGTTAAGAACTGAGCAGACTTGGAAGCGAGAGCAATTGAAGCCGACGTAAGGGTGAGCTCAAGCACTTTTGGAGATGTGAGGTCAATGGACATCTGAGCTGGTTCCTGCTCTCTAGCAACTTGGAGACCAAGCTCCCAAGGCTCAATGAGCGGCTCCCAGGTCGATTTCGAGAAATTGTAGATGTTAATAAACATATCAATGTTCGTATCTGCCCGGAGACTGCTGGACCAATCATTGGCAGAGGCAGTGAACCGTTTGATGCTGAGATCAAGTATTGGAAGTTCATGCAAATCCCCAATGAGAATGACTCGCATCCCGTCCAGAGTAGCTGTGAGCTCTTCATGCTTTAGGATCAACTGCTTTTGTGCTGCCTGGATGTTTGACCGAGTTGCAGCGACTGTGGCAGGTTTGCTCTTCTTCATCGTTGAGGCGCCTTTACCGCTGGCTGTTCGGTGTTGAAGATTGCCGCTGTCGCTGCTTCGAAGTTGCTTGGCCTTCTGATCGGAAGCCTTCGTTTTGCTTTCCTCGTGGTCACCACTAGCAGATAGCTCCGAGGCCTTGCTAACAATCTGCAGGGCAAGGAGAATATCGCGAAGTGACAATCTCAAAACAAGTGGCTCTATGTCGATGTTAATACTCGTCAGGTCCCTTTTTGAGCTATCCATCGACATCTGAACAGAGAAGTCATCCAGAATTCTCAAGCGAGTGTCCTCAAATCGATCCATCCGGCAAAGAAACATGCCCATTCTGGAGACTTGCAGGGTTAGAGCATGCTGCTGAGCGAGGAGGATCTGCTTTGTTCCGAGGACAATTGCTTCCGAGCTTGGGCTCAATGGATTTGCAATCAGAATAATCTGTGCATCTACCACGTTGACCCTGAAAGCAATGGTCATTGGCGACTGATCTGGCTGAGAAGAATCTTGACTAGGAGTCTTGGCAAGAGATGTTGGTCGGTTAGGTGCTGGTCTCGATCTGGGACTTGTTGCAACGGAATCGGTGTCTGAACCAGCTGCGGATTCGACCACACTTTCATCGTCATCGACTATCGCAGGTTCCTCCACGGCGAAGCCTTCTGAGATAAATTTCTGGATCGAGAATAAGTAGTCTAAAGCAAAGATAACCCGAGGGCTGTCTACAGCCACAATCGCGATGAGGTTCCTTTCCGAGCCACCAGAAATAGTTACATTCGCCATGAACTGCTGGACATCCTTATTGAGAGATGTCATGATCTTTCGGAACTTGTTCGTAGTCCGATTTCGACTATCCTGAACGGTAAATGACTGTATGAGCAGCTCAGATTCTAGGGATCCATCTGTCATCATCCGAAGCTTCACTTTGGTGTCGTCGAGCGAAAACTTTGACAAACTGGCGGCGTCAAGATCCCCGACAGGCTCGTCTTCCTTCGCCAGTATCAACTCGAGACCAATTGTACGAACGTGGAAGGCGAGATCAAGTTTTGTCCAACTATCCGAATCCACGCCAAGCTCAGGACCGAGGTCAACGAGTGTGTTGTCGTTGCTTGATTCTTCCTTCTTTGGCTCGATAGCCTTCGCTTTCTTTAATGTCGATTTGGGGACATCTTCCACAGCTTCCTGCTCATTTCCCTCGGTGTCAACAGAAAATGCAGCTGGTACTGATTTAGCGAGCTCCAGCAAGAACTTGAGTTGCGTTTGGGTGATGCGTAAATTGAAGTCTGTCATGCTGCCCTTAATTTCCATATCTGGTCTCTTGAGGCCAGGTTGGTGATCGGCGTATGTCATCTGGAATCCTAGATCCACCTTATCGATAAGTTCGAGCTCTTCGTCCTTGTCCTCTGAGAAATGGAAATCTGATGTCAAGCGCACATTCCTGATTCCGGCAGACAACTTCATAGCAATCGCCGCGTCCTTCGAATCATCCAAAGGTACAAACTTGTTCTCTGCATATATTTCACCCAAATACGCTTTAAGGAGATCTCTCTTGATCCGACCTGCAGTCATTACCCGGGGAAAGACAACGATGGGTGTTTTGACATTTATGTCAAACTTCACACGACCAGCGTTCTGCTGGATCTGGGAGGCCTGGTTCGCAGCAGCTTGCCTGGCGGAATTGAAAATAGCTTGCATCTTTCCAAATTTGACTAGGAATTCGATGATTTTTCGGAAAGGCTCTTCTAAGAAGTTCAATTTGATTGAGCCTGCTCGTAGATAGATCGAAGAATCGTAGCCAGGATACGCTTCGCCGCTTTCGGAATCGAAGGTCTCATAACGGAAATCTGCAAGATCGTCGCCTTGGATCGTGATCAACTTCCGTAGGTTGGAGTCTATTGAAGCCCCCTGATTGATGTCGTCAAGAAGTGATAAGTCGCCCAGCTTGGCGCCAATTCTCATGGTCTTGCCCATTATGAAGATTCCCACATCCGCAGCGTTGAGAGAAAGAGTCGCTAGGCGAATGCCATCGTTGTTCAGTATGAGACGGATACTCTTCAGGTCCACCTTGATTCGAATCGAACCAGTGTCTGATGATGCCGATTTTTCTGCTAGTGGTTCTATTTGTTCCTCGTTCTCGCTGTCCATAATCTCCTTCGGTGAAGACTCCACGGCTTGAGTATCGTTATTGGTGAAAGTTATTAGGATGAAGTCCAACAACGTAAGAAGAGTCTTTCGGGTCACAACAAGGTTGATTGTTGAAATGGCGACATCGATATTGATCTCAACGCCGTCATACTTGGGCATGAATTCCGGTGATTCCTTTTTGACTTTGATGATTTTGACCTGGACGAGGTCTTTTTGCTCCTCTGATTCTTTATCTCCAGAGGAAATAATGGACTTGAATTCCGCAGGTGGATTCTCGACATAATCATCAACCATCAGCGACTCGAGAGAGGTGTCAATGATTATGTCGTAAGGCCGGACACATAAATCCAACGTGAAGTTCTCAGCAACCAGTTCCACCAGTAGTTGGTCTTCCTTCTTACCCTCTGGGTCGCTCCTGTACAACGATCCCTGTAGGCGATCAACCTCGAACTTCAGTTCGAAATTACGTTGCTGAACTTTGAGAGTCTCACTGGCATCTCCATCAGGGGCGTCCTGAAATTCAGCTCCATCATCGTCATCATCATCAGACTCGTCCTGAACAATTATGGCTTCTTGGGTGGAGAATTGGAAGGAGACAGATTGCGCTCGATCCATATTCTTGTCGGACTTTTTCGAAACACTGCTCTGTGTGCGAGGACGTTTGCTTGTAACAGCGGTTTCCCGAGATGATTTCGGCGGCTCCTCATCTTCGTCGAGCTTAGGAATGGCGACATCGATGATTTTCATCAAGCTCTTGTACTTTTTGTCTGATACTGAGGCATGAAGAACAGGCAAATGCCCTGAGATTCGTACCTTGGTCAAGTTCGGAGCCTTCGGAATAATGGAGGTTTCAACCATGAAGTCCACGTTGATCTGCTCGACAATGTGCATCGATTTGGAATCGTCTCTCTTGTCGAGTTGGGCCTTCGTCTCTTCAATTGATGGGCCAATCAGAACTTGGGTTGAAGATAATTTGACAACGAACTTATCATACATCAACGACTCCAACCGTTTGTAGTCTTCGTCGGTGTAAGATCGTCGTTGTTTATCTTGAACCTGTTTCATTGTGTCCTTATCGACCAGCTGACTGTTCACACTGATATGACCAGCATCAAGAATCAAGCAAGCGGTCTGTTTCGATGAAATGCTCTCGGGGATGATGATGAGAGGGGCTTGAAGATCCAATTTAGCATTCAGAGTCTTATGTTCTTCCAAGGCAAACTCAAGTCCAGCTCGGGTCTGCTGTCGCAAGCTTTCAATGGTGGTGCCGGCGCTCTCCATCAAGGCCCCAATGGACTCCATATGTCTCTCAGGAGGCTTGAAGAAGTGAATAATGCCGACCAAGAAATGTGGATTCCAGATAATCTCGAGTGGTTTTAATTTCCCAGTAAGAGCAAGATCACTGGCACCATCTAACGGATTCTTCTCGAATTGGAACTGGAAAAATGGATCGACAGGAGTTTCCTCATCCTCACCCTCATTCTCATCCATCTGGAGCTTAGCCACAGCCTCAGGTGCATCTTTGACACGAACAATCTGGGGGAATAAGCTTTCGGGTGTCGTTCCATCGTTGACTCTCAAGCCACCAAGACTAACATCAGCCAGAAACGAATCCGGTCTCTCGAGGAACTTGGCTCGGAAAGCGTCGAAGTACAGACTGAGAACCTCAACCACATTATCATGCGGATCACGTTTGAGCGTAAAGCTACCGGTATTGAGAGATGCATCGATTTGCATTTTGACAGTCTCTCTGGGCAAGTCGACGGCCTGAGCTAAAGCAGTTTTCTCATCCCAATCAATGGCATCGTAGAGTTCCTTACGCTGCTCCTCAGTCATGGTGGTTTCAGGATCTTGCTCCACCTCTTGAGGTTTTGAGCCCCATGCCCAGGCAATCCAGCCCTGGTTCTTCTTGGCTGTGTCGGTTTTCTTCACTCCGATATTTTCCTTCTTCAGTTGATTCCTGGCTAGCGACCTCCAGAAACGCATGTCTTCATAATTGAGCTTCCACTCAAGCTTGGTGAGCTCTTCAACTTCTTCGGGGGTCATTTGAGCCTGAGGATCTTGCTTCTTCTTCTTTTTGAAAAGTTCAATATAACGAATTCTGTCATCCCTTCTCTCCTTGAAGAAGGCCCAAGACCATCTCCGATTTCGATCGTGAATCTTGCTTAAGATGGCATTGCTAGCAAATTGTAGCCATGCTCTCGGGTCCTCCTTTGGCGTGACTCCTTTAGGTTGCAACTTCTTGTATTCCTGGTGCCGAATGAAGTAATGGAACAAATCAACCATCATAAGCGCATCCCGATATTGATCATTGTCAAGCACAAGTCCAATCTCGTCAAATACTAGTCCAGCCTTGATATGTGGTCTATCAATCTTTCCAGATTTATCTAGCTCGATCTTGGCTTGCCCACTAACTGGCTTCAAGATGAATTGATGGCTCGCAGTGTTTGGATCTTCTCCTCTCACGATCATCTCTTTGAATTTGACGAGCATCTCATCATGGGGTACGACCTCCGCCCCAGGCACCTCGGCCTCTCGTCCTGTCCCTAGTAGATGCGTATCTGTGTTCCAGTATACTGCCAATGCCCCCAAAGTAGCAAGCTTATGTGTGGGCCCAACAGTGTCTTGTATGTAGGTCGGTTTCCATTCTCCATCGGTACTGATGGCGCTGAATTCTTGAAGGGTTAATCCAAGGGCAAAAGGGTGCCCAGGAGCGGATATCGAATCTTCGTATCGTACGTGGATATTCTTGACCGTGATCTGAAGGTTGTCGACTATTTTCGTAACCAAACTTTCTGTAAAGCTTTGGCTCTTTTGCTGTTCCTCCTGGCTCATGCCTTCCTGATTGCGGTCCTTCAGCATCTCGGCACTGTCCAACTTCTCGATTTTGACGGCCTGCCTCCTCCGTTCTTCCTCCTCCTCATCCCACTCTGCATCTTCCTTCGGCGCAGCCAACACGAAGACATCCTCAATATAAACCTGAACAGGCTGCCCCCGAAGATTCGACCAAGGTATCTTCAGTGTGAGCTGTCCCAAATGTCCTTCGACTACGTTGATAGGGAGCTTCAGCTGGTCCAGCGCCTCACGGCGCAGCTCAAGATCTCGAAGCTTGACATCGCCTGACCAAATTCCGACATTCAGTTGTTTGGGGTCGAAATTCCTGATGTACATGCCCAGAAATCGATTGAGCAGCGAGGCCACGAGTCCTTCCAACATCTTGAATAGTATGCGCCGTCACCCAGGCAGGAAAGCGCTCGTTCAACCGATTTTATGACGCGTCGTCATCGACATCTGCGAGTTTCTCGGGAAAAGGGTATGCGAATACAATTCAGGTCATTATTCATGTGGCTCGTTTCGATTCGTGCCGTGCAAATTTTTTCGAGGGAATAGTAAGGAGTGTCGTTGCGTGGCGTGTCGTGGGAGCAGATGTAAGAAAAGGGGTTGCCTTGAATCGCAAGTTCCCCGCAGACAAGCTTCTGTTGATTGTCCGCGCCAAGAATGATGCAAATGGGGCAGCTCGAGCAAGACCAAAGCAACTGCGTAAGTAGGTGCAAGGAAGTCAAATTATGAAGGTCAGAATTAAAATCCACAATACTACTGTTTATGTAAATCCTTTTGCCTGCAAATCTTTCGGCCCGCAAAAAGCCATCCTGCCATGGCAGCTTGTTCTCGCTTCGGTTGCTGTCGTGCACGACGTCATCCTTTTGAGCTGGGTTTTGGAATTTTGAAGCAAGGACTGAAAGCCCATCTTTTAGAACGGAGAAGCTCCCGAAGATATGCGCGAGCTTCTATTCTTTTCCCAATCTTTTGATTAACTTCACTTTCTCTCACAGAAGCACCCAAACCTGTCACTTCAATTCTTCCTAGAGCTTCACGGACAACAATTGACTTTCTTATCGAGGCGATCACCCAAATTGCGGGGAAAGCTGCCGCTGAAACAGCTATCCCACCATCGCAATGCTTCGTTCCACAGCCACGCGATCACTACTCAAAAGCTTCACCAAAGCCCCTACCGCAAGATCAAGCTTCAGTGCAGCTTCCATCCAATTTCGCAATGCCAGTCCTCTCCGCCAAGTAAACAATAACCGTCCCCAAGTCCGCATTGCGATTCCTCGCCTAACAACTACATCATTGCTCTATGCGACCACGAAAGCAGGGCCACCCTTTGACAAAATCGACGAAAAAGCAGAACAAAAACTGGCAAAAAAGCCTCTTGAAGCACATCCCGATGAAGTGTCAGGTGGATCTAGCGTTCGACATGTATTCGAGAAGGGCCAAGGGGAGGGAGTCAAAGGTGACGAGATGACTGGAGCAATAAAGGCGGATCTAAGAACAATCAGAGAGACATTCTCTCTAGCGGACGTTCCCAAAGAATCATTGTACATTGGAGCCGCCGGCATCCTCCCCTACGCGGCTACTTCGCTGTCAACAGTGTTCCTGGCCTATGATATCAATCATGCTCATGATACTGGACGGGGAATATTGTTCTCTCCAGAGACGGCACACCAACTTCTTGACCTAATAACTCCCATTCAAATTGGATATGGCGCAGTTGTAAGTTCCCAAACCCTTGAGATTTTGCGTCTGTGTTTGCTGAAGCACAGGGCAGATTATTTCTTTCCTTGGAGCTATCCATTGGGGTCTCGAATATGCCGGATATGGAGGATACCACAGCTATCGTCGATACATATATGGAGTCATCGCTCCTGCAGTTGCATGGCCTACTATCTTCATGCCTGTAGAATATGCCTTGATCACTCAATTTTTGGCTTTCAACTTCCTCTACTTCGCGGACGCTCGTGCTACAGTTCGTGGATGGTTTCCGGAATGGTACTCTGTGTACCGTTTCGTCCTCACCTTTTTCGTCGGTGCCTCGATCGTTATCAGCTTGATTGGACGAGGCCAGATTGTTAAAGCTGACCACACCCTCAGAAACCCTGTTGACTACGTCAAGAAGGATCGAGATAGCCAGTGGGAAGCCTTTGAGCGTGAGGAAAAGGAGCGTCGAGCTCAGATGGTGAAGGAAGACGAAGACGGAGAGAAAAGTGAGGATGACTCGGAGGAGAGCAAAGATGACGGAGATGACCAAAAGGACGACAAAAAAGAGGACAAGGAAGCCGAAAAGAAGGATAAGAAAGAGAAGAAGTGAAGTCCTTCGACGAATGTTCCAGGCGGTTGTACAAGTAGAAGGGTTCCACTTTGAGTGTCAAATTTTCTGATTTATCGTCCTCTTTTGTCGACATCCATATCTGCGGCTAGGGTTTGATTCGAGTCGTCATTGATCATTTCGTGGCCACATTTCGTTGTGCCAAGGATTCGTGGACATTGTAATAGGGGAGCTGGTTGCAGAGAAATTTTAGTGGTTAGCGCAACAAGATAGCCTCCTGCCTAATCCAACCATCATCCACAGACTCTCATCCTCCATGAAGCACAGTATTCCCGGGCAGACCAGGAACCGGCGACTCGACAAGTGTCGCAAAATGTATGGATAATGGAGAAATGTCGAGCTCTCACCAGCGCGAAGGATGCTGGCAGGAGACCTGACCCCGCCCCACATTTCACAACCCCCGGAAAACCGCTTCCAGCTCTCCTTGGCCCCCCCGTTTCAAGTTTTCACAACCATCCATCTGTCAACCCACGCCGCAAACCGTGTCCGGGTCGGCAGTGATAAGACGGATGCTACCTTCAAGGTGGGTGAAAGAACGACACGCCGCACTGTTGGGAAAATGATAAGTTTCTCTACTTTCTTGTTGTCAGCAGCGTTTCCTCGTTCTTCTCAATTTATCATGTGTTCCTTCATAGCTACAGCTCCTGGTATTCTGGTTTCACGATGCCCTCACCGGTAGTAGAGCCTATGCTTGCACCCGCCTCTCCACCAGCAAGAGTATCACTCCTTCCGCAGAACTCCCAGAGCACGATCCAGTGGCCGCCGAAGTAGTTGTCACACAAGCAACTACAACCATTGAAGCAGATGAAGACTCGGATGATGGATAACAGACCGATTCTCACAGTGTCCTTGACGAATCGGTCACCTCCTCGGTTCGCCACTTCAACTTCGAATACAGCAGACGGTATCACAGATACAAAGAGGGATACTATGTTTTCCCAAACGATGAGTCGGAACAAGATAGAGAGGATATGAAGTATGTGAAGATTATGAATCTTTGTGGTGGGAAACTACATTTTACGCCTATTAGGCTACATTTTCGAAATATTATCGATCTTGGGACGGGGACGGGGGTTTGGTGTAAGGATATGGGTGACGAATACCCTTCAGCACAAAGTCTGGGCATAGATCTCACTGTTCGGGTCCCCCAAACGTCAAATTCATGGTGGATCATGTGGAACTTGACCAGGTATTTGGATAATTCCTTCCTATTTCTGAAATACTCATGACTTTCTCCTGGAGTTGTCCCACTTCTGCCACCACAGTTTGCATTGAGCAATTGCCAACTACCCCCGCTACGTCGGGCTTGGACCAGGGAATTTCTATGATTTTGTTCACGGCTGCCACATAACTCCAGCTTTGAAGAACTTCCCTCTGTTGATTGAGAGAGCTTTCAAGCATATAAAACCAGGGGGGTGGATAGAATTTCAAGAAATGCATTACTGGCCACACTGCGACGATGATACAATGACGCCCTCCTACCTCTTCCTAAACTACCAAGAAGTTGTCATCGAAGGCCTCGATGCTCTAGGTATACATTTAACGCCGCTCGCGCAGAAGCCGTCAATCTCGAGAAATACGTCTTCACAAATGTCCGGCACGAAATTTTGAAAGTCCCTTTAGGTAAATATCCCAAGTACAGGACGCTAAAGTTAATCGGGTTGTATTTAAGGATGTCCGTTTTACTGGGCCTAGATGGGATGAGTTTTAGGCCGCTTTGCAGAGGTTTGGGTTGGAGTAAAGAGCAGGTAAAGGTGTACTTGGTAGATATTAGGAAATCCATCATGGACTCCTCGGTCCAGATTATTTCCCATACCATATCACCCATGGGCAAAAGCCGTTGGAAAGTCAGGAAGGATGAAAACTCTGCAAGAGAGTATCCATAAAACTGGGTTAGATATGACTTAGGGGTCGGCGTTCGAAGAAGTAAGTGGACCTTTACGCCCTCAAAAAGGGAACATAGGTTTACCTTGGGCACAAAGAGTCTAGACTCTACTCTACTAAGCTTCAGCCCTATTGTAAGCACTTTAATAATCAGTAGCAAATGCAACCTGACAGAAAAGCGGCCGTCAATTCCCAACATCCTCTGCAGTGTTGGCCAAAAGTCTAGTCTGTTCCAATGTCCCAAAAAGTTTGAAATTATTCAAAGCCAGACTATTCAGGGGCATTTAGAACATCGAGAGCCAAATTTGTTCTCTCTGCCCCTCTTCGATCATAATAAAAGATGAAAAGATGCTCTACTAAATCAGCCTTCACTCTCAACCCCTCCATCATCCGATCTCGCAACATCAACCCCTCTGGCGCCAAGTCACTACCAGGATAATCCCAATCACAAATAAATTCCCGACCAGCACATCACCACCAACCGTAATCCACTAGCGCCCACCCATCAGGTAAAGAAGTGATTCCAAAGATCTCGAACATGCGTTCCTGCTGACACATCTCGCCTGACACTCACACTCCCCTTGCCCTATTCCGTTCCCCTCCTCAAACCCATTCGTAAATATTTTCTTACCTCTTTGGCTGGCCGTAGGGCAAGAAGAACAGAAAAGCATGTGGGAATGACTCATGATCAAGACGAGGATGGGATCGATGCCATCACCGCATGAGTTCACGTTCTTCTGGCATTGGTTCGTCTTGCGCTCCCCTCCCCACCACACCACTCATCTCCCCCAGACTGAAATCAAAACCTGCAGATACACACAACATCTGCAAAGATATGCGCAAGTGCCGGACGGGCATCCGGCACACGTCGGTAGATTTGAGAAGCCCTTTCCTCCTAGCCTACCTTGCGCACAACGACATCCCATCTCCTCCCATCCCATTCTAGCGTTTTGGCAAATGGGCATCCTCCCCTGGTCCCGTTTTTCCTGGCTGCGGGTTGCTGGATGGGGGCAGAGATGCGTGGTCATCGTACAATACGGTAGTGACATGACATCGCATGTGCACAGTAAGTGACGGAGGCTGGGGTCAGCACGCAAATCTTGCCCATTCACAGACGCGGCATCGGCATCCTCGGGCGTCCCCAGACACGCACCACACACTGGTTTTTTCCCCCTCAGCTGTCAACATTAGTTTCGAACATCACATCACATCACATCATATCCCAGCCCTTTCTTAGGGAGATATATATTGTGTGGGTTCCCCGGAATCTGGTGCTTCTTTCCTGCCTTTTTCTTTTTCCCTACTAAGAAGTCTTCTCTGAACCTCGATCTCAACTCTCTACTCATCGAGCAAATCTCAAGTGTTGTTTTCGCGAGCTTAAGAAGATTTCGATATTTTTGGACGAAACGAAAGAGAGTCGAAGTACCAAAGTACCCACGAACAATCAGATCATCACGTGTCAAAAATTCGAGATATCAAGGATATCGAACTACCAGCCTACATAATGCCAGGACTCCTCTCAAGAAGATTTTCTCGTCCGCGATCACACCGTTCATCACCTTCTTCCAGCCCACCGCCAACAATCTACCATCGACGCTCGCTCTCCCGCAATAACTCTTCATGCACACCCCCACCACCAACTCTCACGCTCACCAGTCTCAGGCTCCCAGAAACATTCTTCGCTACGAGGAGGAGAGAGAGTGCTGGCTTGGAGATGAAAGATGAGGAAAGTGATGCTGAGTGCTGGAGCAGGATGCTGATGTTGCAGAGGGAGTATCATTGTTATAACAGTGCGAGGTTGGAGGCTGCGGTTGAGGCTTTGGAGAATGGGGTCGGGATTGAAGAAGTGCCTATTCGTGAGTTGTTACTTGTTCATTTCAGTGTGATGTTTTAGGAACAGGGGTGCTGATTTTTGGGCAGCTTCGAGGCTTTGTTTGGATCTGTTGAATGAGGAATTGGAGCAGAGGTTAGAGGCGAATGAGCAGAGCAAATTGCATCACTAGGGTCTGGATTTGGATTCCTCAGGAGAGCGAGGCGTGCATGGAGTTGGGAGAAATCAAGATAGGTCTAGATGGCCCAATTCCCCGGACGGAAAGGATGGAACGACTCATCCAACGATTTGACGAATTGAGTTTTGCGAGTCCGAATATGCCGGGCTGTGAAAGGTATCGAAGGGTAGCATGGCTCTATCAGAGTTGCGGGGAAGGTTAGCCTTCCTCCCGCTTTAGCATTGGCGTTTGGTCTAAGGACCTATGGCGTTGGAACGATGGGTTCCGTTTGGCTTTTCGATGTTAGCTCCAATTTGAATTAATTAGCATTCCTGTAATCATCAAGTCCCAAAATGTCACTGGATGTATTGTCCGTGCCACGTCAGAGGCTCGCTCATAAGGGCGCCGGAGGATCCGCGATTGATTTGGTGAGGTTACTTGCGGTAAGCGGTGAACAAGACACAACATGCAAGATTGAAACGTGGGTTGTCCTTTGCATTAGTTGCTTGATCTCTTCCCGGACTCCTAGGATCGAAGGTAAGAGACAAGAGGAAAAGGGGGGAGGAGCCAAGTGGGGGGCAATCACGTGCTCGGTTAGGAACTGCCTGCCGTGGAAAGAAAAAGCGGCACCAAATCCTCAATGTCCCAAGTCAACTTGAATTACTGGTATTTCAGATGCTTCCTCTCTAAAAGTTCCTTCGAGTAGTGTACATCCAAAGTCTGCTTCCTCCTCTTGCCCATGAAGCTCTGGAATATTTCAAAATTGTCTCTTTTCAACGTCCACGGTTGAATGAGGACATTGATAATCAGTGCCGCTTTTTCCGCAAGACGAGCTTGCCTTACTTGACATCTTCTTCGACCTCATCCGGACTCGCTGTTGCTCTCGTGCTCTCAGCCTCGAACAGCACGTCACAAAACATCATTAGGATGACACGACGGAATACGATAGAAAAAGGGTCACAACATCATAACAATGACGCCAAGTGCAGGCATCGTTTCAAGAAAGCTCAATACGAGTCCTCTTTGAGGAAAGTTCACGACAACTTCGCCAGCGAGAACGGATGACTGCAGCATCTGAACAGGAGCCGATTCTCAGCCGAGTACACAACCTGCCAACCTGTCAAATTGAAGGGACTCCAGCAGCACACAGGCCAGCTTCTGTCCAAGTTCCCAGTTTTTAGCCTTCAACTCAGCCTAGACATCTCTTGGCATGCAAACACCCGTTGGGTAAACCATGCGCCAGATCAAAAGCTTAAGAGCAGATCCTTGCTGGCTCTGGATGTCATCCGATGACTTACAACTACCGTGGATCGCGGATTCGCGGGACCTCATTCGACTTGCAAGCCGAGGTCATCTGAGACGTCCGTTGGAAAGAAGCTTCACGAGGCCATCGGCTCGTGCCCTCGACGTGGGAGAGCACTCTCTTATCTCTCTTCGAAGCCTGCACCCCCTCGGATGATTCCGGCACAGCCTCAAGTGGCGCTCAGTATTTGGGAGTCCCCACGCCCACGGAGAGGTACCCGACATATGTACAACTCTGCCACAGGCACAAAGTGTTGGCCAAGTGTGCCACAAGCGGCTTCATGACCCGAACCGTCGTCTGTGATCCGTGATGGCGGTGAGACAATTTCATTGTTAGCTTCCCGTGCCCCACCCGAGTCTCTGGCTGCGTCTTTTTTTCTCTGCAGAGCTGAAAGCCCAACAAGCCGGCGAGTGGGAGTTCTTTTCTAAACCAGTCACTGCAATCAACAAGGTCCACCGGTTTGACCTATAGTGCTCGCTCACCAGGCAATATTCGCTCGGTGGGGGAGATCGAAGGCGGTGGAGCCAACATCTTAGAGGCCCCAGACATCTACAGCAAAGCTTATCTTGAATTTCGGGACACAACTCAAGCTGCAGCCAAATGTGCCTTGATCGCCCAACTATTTACCCACCTGCAAAATTTTGCTGCCGAAAATTTATTTTGGAGCCTGGTTTCACCATCCCGTGCCGTACCACGAGAAGCTATTATTGAGCGACGTGGGAAAATTGAGCAACCCCCTTTGATCAGTGGTGTTCGTTACACAGGAACAGCCAACACGGACGGCATCCACGATGATCAAACAAGAGACGGCATCTCTCCACCATGTTGACAGCCGCATGAACGCCTCGTGGCAGGAATTTCGTTTCTGCCAATGATTTCGATTGAGGGAAGCCGCAGGAAGCCTGAAGTTGATCCGTGTTCACTGCTCTGGGAACGGGCCAGACGCAATCCCATATTGGTACACCAGCCCAGACACGCGCAGAATATTCAGGACCAATCCAAGCCATCCAGGTCATCACCATTCTTCGCCAGCTGCTCCCCCAGCTCCGAAGGCCACGCGAGCATCCAGCCAGCAGAACGCCCCAAAGCAGAACGGGCGTGCTGGGCGTGCTGGAGAGCCGGTTTTTTGAAGCCTGCGCTCGCTCATTCGACATTCGACAGCGTTGGCGGGTCTCACTCAATCAAAGTTCTCCTGTCAGCATTCAGCGATAACCATCCCACGGGCGCGACCAGGTTGGCATGCAGGGGTGGGTGATAGGACAGCGCACGCCCTTTCTCGTGCTTTTTCAAACGACCCAAAGGACATCCATCTGGCAGACTCATCAGAGTCACAGGCCTGCCTGCACGCCCCTCTTCCCCCTCCACCTTCCCCCCCCCTCCTCCTCGCTATTTTTGCCCCAGAAATCCCGCGACAGCGCCGGGCGCGATCGAATTAATCTCATCCATGCGGAGAGAGGCAGAGGCAGAGGCCGCTCTGCAATTCGCCTGGACTTGCTTTTGCGAGTTCCCAAAACCGAGCCCGGGTGCAGTTCTTCATGCGCTGTTGCAGCCTGCTGCAGACCTTCTGCCTTCGACCATTTGCAAGGACGCCGTGCGGCCGTGGTAGGTAGCTCGGAGCTGGCGGCCCTATTTCATCTTTCACCCACCATCCACCATCCACCATCCACTACCCACCATCCACCCCATCCACCCCATCCACCCTCCATCCATCCCACGCCATCGCAGCGCAGCGCCTCACAACACACCCGGAACCCAGCGAAACACCCCTCGCCCCTCGCCCCCCCCCCCCCCCCCCCCCCTTCTGGAACCCCTCGAGCCTAGTCCGCTTATCTTTCGCCTCCCACCCACCAATCATAAAACTCCATCGTCCCCAATTTAGGAAAACTGGGGAGTGGAGATCTTCGATCATGGATTACAGGCGCGCCTCTCTGGTGGTGAGCCCACAGCAGCAGGCGAGCATAAATTCCCATATCTACTCCAGCTTCGCCGGCGCTGGTCCTCCTCGCAACACCAATGGAATTTTGTCTGATTCGACCACAATGTGGTGGGACGAGGAACGCATCGAGGAGACCGTCAATCGCCACTTTGTGTTATCTAGGTTGCGACCCGATGAGCAGGTGCGGCTCGATGAGCCGCTGGGGTTTGGTGGTGGGCTGACCGATGACACGTACATGGAATGGATTGAACAGAAGGCCAAGCGGATATTCCTGATCTTGGTGGACCTTGGGGTGCCGGATCAGATCTTTGGAGTTATCGACGATTCTTGGGACGATGATGATCTTCCCGTGCCCTTGGACCAGGTCGAGCGACTCCAGTTGACGTACGACAAGGATGAGAAGCTGGAGAAGAAGTTCTTCCACCGGCAGTTTGCCTACCTGTTGAGGAACGTTCAGAAGGGAGAGCTGGTGTATTACGACGATGAAGAAGTCGTACCTCTTGAACTGGCTGAGAAACGCCCTGTCGGGGCTGTCGCAGGTCTTGTACCAAGCAACCTTGATAAGGTCCATCGTCCCGGAAAACCGGATGACTTACTGCTTCGTCGACGGATACCTTTAGGCACTGCACCAGGACGCATGCCACAGGAAGAACTTCTCTCTGGAGTCGAGGCCATGAAAGCCCTTGAACATGTACACTTGACTTGTCTTTGGGGTTCTTACATCCAAGGGGGCTGCGGGTACCTTCTCCTCACACCTGTGAACGATAGTACCCTGAAACATTTCCTGGCTGTAACTGCTCCATCCATAAAGATACTTCCTAAGCAAGACCGCCGAGTCCTACTCCTGAACTGGCTTCATTGTTTAGCGGACGCTCTCGCTACCTTGCATGCTCAAGGGATCACTCACCGAAATATCAAACCTTCCAATATGATGCTCGACATCGACAATCACATCTTCTTCGGCGATTCTGGCATCTTCCCAGTAGCAAATTTCCACGGAGAGAGGCGGACATTCGATAAGGAAATGTATGACTATTCTGCTCCAGAGGCGGCACCACGGATGCCAGCACCGCCGCCCATTTCACTTCCAGTTTCGAGGCCTACCACATCCCGACGGTCAACAGGACCTAGCACCGGGACGATCGTCCACTCAAGTGCTCATTCTTTCGTGGTCTCGAACGAAACTTCCTCGATCTACACGTCCTCCAGTGGCTCCCAATCTCAATCTCCTCCAAAATCATCTCACGGACACAAACCCCACGATCCTCAAAAGGCTGATATATTTTCTCTTGGCTGCATCTTCCTCGAGATCCTCACTTTCTTCCTCAAGCGAGCCTCTCGCAACTTCTCATCTCACCGCTCTTGCAAAAACAAGACTCCTGGTCGTGGCGGCGGTCTACCCGACTCTTCCTTCCACAAGAATCTAGGACAAGTGGCAAGCTGGATGAAGACCCTGATCAAAGATGCCAGCAAGAAAGAGGATAAGGTCTTCAGGGGCGTCAGTCACATCATCGGCCTAGTCGACAACATGATCAGTCCGAATCCTGAGGAACGCCCGAGTGCGAGGGAGGTACAGGAGAAGATGCACAACATCCTGTCTCAAATCTGCGGACTGAGTGTCGGGCAATCCGAAGACGGGGAGTTGAAACCCAGGATCCACTGTGAACCAGGCAGGACAGACCAAAACGAATGGAATGTCGGATTCGACCAACTGCGTCTAGCGTCCCAGCGAGCGGCGGCAGAGGCTTGCGCGAGTGTCAACCCCGTGACCGCGAATGGGGGGACTTTGGGCTTGACGGGAGGCGTGATCTATGGAGTCGAAAGAGTGCAATCGCTCTCGGTGGCTTCGAGTACCAGCTATACGGTGTCGAAAGAGAAGTCAAGGAGCTTTCCTGTGGGGGACGACAGAGCAAGTATCGCGACGAGTAAGAGTAGGAGTAGTGAGGGGAAGAGCAGGCCTGGTAGTGGGAGCAACACACCGCATGGGAAAGTGAAGCCAAAGGCCAAGGCGTGGCAGGCTCCTGTTTATGCTGGTAAGTTCCAACTTCTTAAGTTGAATTATTGGATGAGAGCTAATTTGGCAATGTACAGAATTGAGCTTTGGATAAGAAATTTTCCTTGATCTAGCTCTCTGAGAGGAGAAATCTGTCAAAGCCGGCAATACTCCTTTCAGCCGCTTACCTGTTCGGTTCGGGACGAGCCATTCGTCTTCACTACCTCATCGGAACCTACTCACCCCCCATGACCTTACGAATTATATGAAGCATAGCGAAGGAGAAAGGATAAATAGTATCTGTCTTTACTGCAAGCAAGCAAGTCCAGGTCGGTGTTTTGATACGCAAAGGAGTTAATGGTCTGTATGTACCCTTCCTTTTGAAAAGAATCCTTCACATCTTTTGTCTGCCTGGCGCCATGTACATTCTTCGTTGTCTATCGTTCACTTGATGCGAGTTAAGATATCCCCATCCCGATTTTTGTATTTAGAAAAGCAATGTAGTGGCGGAGTGCATTCTATCATCAATGATTGATCCTACTACTTCCTGATCTATGCTATGTATGAATAAACGCCAAGATGAAGTCGAAAATAGCTGTAAGGCGAATGATGAATCTGGGCAGAGACGCTTGCCATGCTCGCCCAACTATATAAATGCTTGCTCGACAGACAGATGCCAAATCAGTACCAACGTCCAATGTAAATGCTTTCCCAACACAAGTCAAATCCCTAACCAAAGCCATAACCAAAACCACAATCCAAGCCTTCAATACACACTCCCCTTAATACTCTTATCCAGCATCTCCTCCTCCCTCAAACTCTCCAACTCGGGCGAGAGTTCCAGCTCAGCCTCACTCCCAGCATCACTACCAACATCACTCTGATCGCCCAACGCATCCGCCAGCGCGCCCCTCCCCATCCCACTCTGCTCTCTAAACATCCCTTTCCCTTTCCCATTTCCATTCATCACCACTCCCCCATGCCCCGCCGCACTCCCACTCCCTTTCCCCATCGCACTCCCCACCAACTTCCCCTTCGCCAACCTCTTCCGCGCATCCTCTTCCGCGCTAAACTCCGTGTCGCTCCCCGCTTGACTCGTATTCCCACTCGCGCTGCCGCCGAAATCCCGCCCCGCCGTCTTCACCAACAGCAGATTGTCGTTCCTCGGGGACTTGACCCGACTTCGCAGTCGATCCTCCACGGAGATAAAACTCGGCGTGCCGTCGGGACTCGAGACCACCTCGTCGAGACTGCGCTGCACATCGACGGTTGGGCCGAGTCTGCCTCGTGGGTCGTCTTCCTCCTCGTCGGAGGAGGATTGCCAGCGCCTGGCCGTGGGACGGCGGAAAGGGAGGGGGTTTGAGGGGGGCTCGGAGGTTATGGGTGAGGATGTGGTGGAGGGCTTCCCGTTGAGTTGCATGGCGTGCATGCTGTTCTCTTTCCTGTAGGCGTGTTTTCCGTGATCGCAGCCGTTTGGGCAACCTCCCCATTTCTTCCGTACTGGAACGGGGGACGTTGTGCCCGCGTTGCTGGAACTGCCCTCGCCTGCTCCACCTAGCAGCTTCTTTTCTTTCTCTCTGTCTTTTTCTGAAACGGCCGTAGCAGTAGTTGGGGACGAGGGATTGGCTTTCTCTTTCGCTGCTGCTGCGGCCAGACGTTCGCGTTTGAGTTCAGACCAGGTGCGAAGGTTGTTTTCCAGGATGTATTTCCCACTGTCTTCTTTCTTGCGCATGATGAGGAATTCGCAGTGGTTTACATTGCGCAGGTCCTCGAAGTACTCGACGGAGAAGTGGTACCATTTCATGAGGAAGACGCGGCTCATGAGGCCATGGGTGACTGCCCAATATCAGCTTCCATCCTACTTCATAAAAGGGGCCAGAATCGGGAATTGGAGAAATGGAAACGAACCAAGAACACAAACACTTGCACAATCATCCTCCCCGAACTGCCGCCACAGACTCTCATTAAACCCGCTAATCCGATCATACGCATCCGCCGCGCTCTCCCCATTCGGGATCCTGTAGAAGAAATGTCCATAATCCGCCCTCTCCTGCCACATGCGCTCCATCTCCGCACTGCATGGCTGGAAATTGCCGAAATCCTGCTCCCGCAAACGCGGTTCTTCGTATACCTTAATCGAGTGTCGAGGGAAGGGGGTAGGTGAGGGCTCGTCTGAGGTTAACGTCTTCAGGATGCCCTCTGTTGTTTCCCGCGTGCGGCGGTAGGGGGAGGTGAAGAAGTGGAGGGTGTCGTCTGCGCGTAACAGGTCGCGGAGGCGCCGTCCGGCATCGTAGGCCTGCAGCCAGCCTTCTGGTGTCAGTTTAACGCGGTGGTCGGGGATCGTTTGGTGGATGTCGCGGTTTTCTTGGGGTTGTTAGTTATGGAAGGCATTGTGCAGGTTTGGGCGAGACAGCCGAGAGGAAGGTTACACTTGTCTTCCTCGAGATGTAGAGTGGGGGAACACAGAAAAGGAAGGAGACTCACTGTTGCCCTCTGACTGAGCGTGTCTGATCAGTATAATCATGCGTGGTTTCCCCATCTCCGGCTTCTATAACAACTTGTTCTCTCCGACTTTGAGGGTTGCCACTTGGTATATAACTAGATATATATGTAACGTCGGTAAGGACAGACGGTTGAAGGGATTTGTGATCTGATATCTATGCTTGAGAAGAATTTTTAGATGTATGCGCCACTAGGATGGAACGAACGGTGACGATGTGTTGGATTTTATGAAACGCTGCCCTGTTCGTCTTATCGATAGAGAATCGTTCGATTGCGATATCGCCCCAATATTTGGCTTACTTTGGTTACCGTATTAAATTTTGATAAGGCTGGAAGAGCCTCGGATGGAAAAGAATGCTTTCTCATCAATCAACACCTTCGCACCACCGCCACCTCACTCAATAGTTTTGTGTTCCTGGATTTGGAATTACATGCCACTAGGTACCTGCCACCCACCCAATTTGCGAGTCAGGAATTAGACGCAACGTCTAATCAACCTTCACGGATCGAGTCAGCAAGAAGGGCATACCGTGAATCAGTCAACGACATCCCACAGTTGACTACACAACACCCTCACGATGTCAGAACAAATCCCCGAAAGTATCCCCACCTCCGCGGACCCCCGCTCCAAGCGCCCGACCAAAAAGCGCGCTCTCTCCCCGAAATCGCAAACCGCCGCGCAACTCGACGCCCTGTTCGCCAAACCGGACCAAGAAATCAGGATCCCGTCCACCAGCAGCGCCCTCTCCCATACCCCCGGTTCCGCACCCCCAGAAATCGTACAGAATGTACAGGGGAGCAGCGCTGGGGCGGGAAGCGGGGAGTTTCATGTCTATAAGGCGAGTAGGAGGAGGGAGTATGAGAGGTTGAGAGGCATGGAGGAGGAGGTTAGGAATGAGGAGGATGGGGAGAAGTGGGAGCGGGAGAGGAGGGAGAGAGAGGAGAGAGATCGGGAGAAGACGAGGAAGAATAGGGAGAAGAGGGAGAGGTTGAAGAACAAAGGAAAGAAGGGGAAGGGTGGGAAGGAGGGGGGTGAGGTGCAGCAGGCAAAGGGAGGGAAGTTTAAGGCGAGGGTTGATGTTGGAAAACGGCCTGAGGGTTTGGGTGGTGAGGGGCCCGAGGACGGGGAGGGAATGGCTGGTGTAGTGAGTGAGGAGGCTGGGATTGTGATTCACGATGATGATTGAGGACCTTGACGTTATGACTTGGAAAGGAGCTCGACGATTTTGAAACCATCTAAGGAGGGTTAAGGAGAACAAGCAGACGACACTGGCATGAAATTCTCACATGCATTGGCCTTGAGCTCTATGCTATGATACAAGGGTATGCTCACCGCATTATCATCGCTTTTTAATACACTGACTTTTCATGACAAGACTATCTATTCCTCCCCAGTGCCGGGAGCACCGCCGCCTCCAGCTTGTCTTGCAGCCTTTGCACTACAGATATCGTCTACTCTCAGAAGCAGGCAGGCGGACTGTATCATATATTAGTACCATGGAAACAAAGGCAATGCTCAGAACATACCTCAATTGCGGTCTTGATACTTTGCAATTTGACTGCCTCCGGCTCCCAAACACCATATTCCTTCATGTCCACAAGCTTTCCAGTGTCACCATCAATACCCCAGGTGCTTCCACCTTCTGCGTGCTTGGCTCTCAGGGCAGTGAGAACTCTGACAGGGCTGGCACCGGCATTCTGGATAAGAGTTCTCGGGATGACTTCCATAGCCTCAGCAACAGCCTTGTATGGCCACTGCTGAACACCCTCAATGCTCTTTGCCAACTGCCCTAATCTGACAGCAACAGCCATTTCCGTAGCTCCACCGCCCGGTGAAAGCCTTGGGTGGAACATGACGTTCCTCGCAACAGCCATAGCATCCGCCAAATTTCGGTCAATCTCGTTCAAGATGTCTTTTGATGGACCTCTCAGGAGAATAGTGCATGCCTTGGGAGATTTGCACTTGGTCAGGAAAGTGAAGTACTCGTCACCAATCTTCTCGATTTCGAAAAGTCCGCATTGGGTTCCTACATCTGCTTCTGTGAGGTCGTCGACTCGGTTTACAACGGTGGCACCGACGGCACGGGCTATTCTGTTGTTGTCTGTCTTGCGGACTCGGCGTAGGGCAGTAATGTTGCCCTTCATCAGGTAATGTTGGGCGAGATCTTGGGGTTATCAGCAAAGAACGGTCCGTAGGGCTTTCAAGCATACCAGAGACTCCCTTCTCAGTGATGACCAAATCCGGCTTGACAGCCAGAATAGCATCACACATAAGCTTAACCTGCTCCTCCTCAATCTGTAAAATCTTATTCCAGTCCTCCTCCTTGCTGATCTCAATATTCGTCTGAGATTCTCCCTTCTTGTACTCCAGCGTGCAATCTAACAGCACAATTCTAGGATTTTCTATCCGTCTTCTCATCTTAGGATGTGTAATATCCTTGTTGAGCATAACACCGTCCAAAACTCTGCTGTCTTCAATCTCACCACCTGGGACCTTCTCAACTCTTGCGTAACGCTTGATATCGACTTCCTTCTTGCCACCACCGATGTCGAATGTTACAGTTCGTACAGCTTTGAGAGCGAGATTGCACATCAGTTCTGACCATCTCGAGACGAACTTCGTGCCGATGGAGGAGGATATCAGCTGGTACATGGCTTGGTCGTCGTCGATGTCGACAGGGAGGGAGATCTCGTCGATAATCTCGAGGGCATCTTTAAGGGCGTGCTTGAAGGCGGAGATGATCACAACAGGGTGGATGTTTCGCTCTAATTGTGGCAGCGCTTGCGCAAGTATCTCACCAGCTGTACGCCGTCAGTCGAAGCTTCATACACGTAGAGAGTGTCATACCAAGAATGATGACTGTCGTAGTTCCATCTCCAACTTCCTCGTCTTGTGTTCTGCTGAGCTCGATCATGCTCTTTGCGGCCGGATGCGAGACTTCGATTTCTCGAAGGATGGCATGACCGTCATTTGTCAACACGATGCCTCCCATAGGATCTAGCAGCATCTTCAGCATAGCCTTCGGTCCTAAACATGATCGGATGATGTCTGCGACGCTGTTGGAAGTCAGTATGATATGCCTTCCATGCGTTTCTAAGCTCGGAGGGGTTGTTGATGAAGCTCACGTTTTTGCTGCTGTGATGTTGGAGAGCTGAGCTTTTCTTCCGGTTTGTCTCTCACCACTCTGGGTGTCTGCCAGGAACTCGTCAGTATCATAAAGGCAGAGGACGAGCTTCAAAAGTTCGATTGGAGGCAGCTGTTGTTCGGGACGTACTCATAACCAGCACCGGGGCCTGCATCTTTGAGAACGCTGTACGGAGATCACTGGGAACGTGTTGCAAGATTCTTTCAGGATGAGAGAAACTGGTCGAGCTTAAAATGGATCTTTTCGTATCTTGGTGGTAGATTTAGAGCTCTTCTTTGTTCTCATGCAAAGCGCGTGGAATTTCTTGAGACTCGCGTCGGCCGTGCAGGGGTCAAAATTTTGCCTTGCGAAGCTTAGTCGCCTGATCAAGAAGCCAAAGCATCACTGACTTCAATAGTGGCTCGACAATCAACAATAAAGGATATCCGCTCTTTTTAAGGCCCAGCTCGTTAAAAGGTTCCTACCTTAATGAATTTTTCTATTTTTTTTATTAAAAAAAAAGATAGTTTCCATCGGAAACGTTCTTGAGGGGGGGCACAGCTGGCAGAACTCGGGGACGAGTGAGCTAAGCAGCTCACTTTTAGGTCTGAAGCAGCAGTCGTCCATGCACTTGGTGGTATATTTTATACATACATGCATTACAATATTGCAGTTGACGCCAGCGCCAAAAATCTGCTTCTATATCAAACTTTCCTTCTCTCCCGGTGCACTCCGACCTTGAAATGTCTTCATGCCGGCATCAACACCACACATTCCCCTCAAAATTGCTTGCACGCCCACGGGGAAGACATTCATCCAGTCAATCCATCTAGCATACAGTGGCATTGCCAAGACAGCGCTGCTACCAGAATCTATAGCCGCAATGACCTCTTTGGCAACATCAACCGGCTCAAGGACAGGAGCAAAGAAGGAGTTCGGAGTCTGGACGCCATTAAATAATGGGGTACTGAGTTGGCCTGGAGACACAAGTATCGTTTTGATCTCTGGTGTTGACTTCAATTCTGCAGCGAGAGATTTGTGGAGTGCTGTGATACCCGCTTTGGCAGCAGCATAGTCTGTGAGTTGTGCAGCACCAGTTTGGCCAATAACACTGGAGATCGTGACAATCGTGCCCTGCCCAGAGCGGATCATGCCGGGGAGGAAAGTCTTGGTAGTGTAAAAGTGGGACAGGAGGTTGACTCGGAAGTTGCGGTCGATTTCATCTAACGAAAGGTCCATGAGGGGCTTGCCGTTGACAATGGCAGCATTATTGATTAGAATTGTCGGGGTTCCAAGCTGAAGATTGTTAGCTTAATTCCATGAGAAGGGGAATGAGACGTACGTCTCTTTCGATCTCAATTGCTACCTTCGCAACTTGGTCCTTGTTTCCCACGTCGCACTTGTAGACTGAGACCCCCCGGGCCTCTCCAGATTCGAGATCTTTAACATCCAATACCGCAACTGTAGCTCCCCGCATACCATAGACCTCTGCAATCAAGAGTCCCAACCCACTTGCACCTCCAGTAATGACGATTACTTCATCTGAGAAGTCCACCTTCCGTGGCTTCGAGAACGCAATCTGTTTATTGAGGACGTCGAGGAAGTACCAGGCGGTAAGGAGAGAGGCATATCCGATGGCGATTTGGATGGCAGGATGGCTCCATTTCATAGCCTGCGCTCGCATGCAAAGTGGCACCATCCATCCTACGAACGGATGGAGGAAGGTGACATTGAGGACTTTGAGGAGCAGGTCGACGGAGAGGGGCTTGGCCCAGGAGAGCTCGCGGCTTCTGGGTTGGTAATTCATTATTATTCCGGTAACGATAATTATTGGCGAAGACTTGCGACGTTTAAATTAAATGAAGGAGAAAGGAAGAAGTTTCTAGAGAAGTGGCATTTTTTGCGGATGGGCTCAAACTTGAGACGAAAGAGCTCCTCACAACGGGGGTTGGTTTGTTTCAAGGGAGGCGCTTCGCGACCGAGGGACGTGCATTCAGCCTCATACTAGAAATCTCTGAGTGACGTCCTAAGAACTGTATTGACCGTCACCAAACCTTAAACAATAACTCCGATCTCGTTCTTAACCTGACTTTCACTTTCATCGTCTTGCACGGAGCTTTGCTATCCTGTCTGTTTCGGCTGGGGCATATATGAATCTCGTCTCGTCACCTTGGCCAATTTCCCCTTTGGGTCTCGCACTTGGGCATCGTTCTTTATCGGCTCACCGAGCAGTTTGCCATCGAAACCGTTCTTTTATTGTTATTATAGAATGTTCTTTGTGAATCGGGTACCTCCGCTGTACTGCATCTTACCTATTCTGATGCAGCGCGCCGGGGGCCATCTCAAGTGAGATTCTTGCCAGAGTCATTATGGCTCTTCATCCATCTCACAAGAATTCAAAGTCATTTAAAGCTTTCACCCATCTTTAGTAGAGGTTTTCAACATTAATATGCACTCCTTCTCACTTGGTAGGTAAAATAACAGTATTCCGGCGAGGCTCCAAGCGCTGTCAGCCAGGTCGTCACCCCACTCAACCCCTGGAACGATGTCTGTCCCATTTCAGGACCTCTCCATGCGCAAGCATCCCTTCAACTCGAGGTACTATTTGGTCTTACCCAATTCCTCCCCGCCACAAAATATTCTGATTTTGAGGTCGTCGCGGCAAGAAAGATGAGCCTCGACATATCTTCCAGAGATTCTACTGCGTTAAGAGCACCAATACGATACCGGCTTGAATTGCTTTGGCTGCTTTGGTAGTGGGCGCATCACTTGCATGTAGGTGATGTCTATCTTCACCCAGTTGTGCTCTCTCACGCCTTTCTATTTACTGACAAATGAATCAGTCTCCTTCGCTAAGGAATGCAGCATTCAAGATCTTCCTAATTTGGCTTCTAGGCAATGGACTGTAAACATGACCTGGATGCAATTCTATTAGATTGCACTACTCTCGTTGACGGTAATATTATCATTGGAATGAATTTCTCAGGAAATTTCAACCCGAATGGGATAACTAACATGACTTGTGAGTTCTATTTTCCTCGGAGGATTATGCCCACTTTTGTACCGGTTCCAGGGTTTGTTACAATTTCCAACAGCTCCAGGAGCTTTCAACTCCCAAGAATACTTGAAAGAAGTATGCTGACTCCGATTTGCTTTGCGACAGGTATTTGTGGACAATCGCCCAGAAAGGTGACTATGCGTGGGAATACCTGACATCCGTTGAAATGCATGACCTTAGATACCTTGGGTCGAATAGACTTCTATGATGTTCCTGCTCTGGAATCCTTATCAATGCCAGAATTGAGACAAACCGGCTATATGTACTGCGTGGACGTACCGGGGGACCAGTCTCAATTTTCCATCACTCTTGAATGCTTCCGTTATTGAGTTGTCCGGAATTATTGCCAGGTACTTGCCTAGACTTTCTGCTTAGATTCATACTAATTGCTGATAGCTTGAACTTTCCGCTCCTTGTGGGTGTAGATTCCAGTTTTTCAATTGCCGATTCGTACGAGATCACCGAGGCGTACAACCACACAACCACAAAAGTGTACTTCTTGTCTCGGCTCGATATAGACGGATCTCCCTTCGCTGCGGAATGCTACCGGAGTGTCTAGCAAAGGGAATTTTTTCGAGGTCGGTGTTCCTCGCAATCCTAGCGAATGCTATTCCGTGCTGACCATCGTGAAAGAATTTCCATGCCTATGCTCACCGCGTCCAAACCAGGTTATATATCTTTGCGTAGCTTTGAGATATCGAGTACGGGTAGTGCCGCCTATCCGAGTCTTCCGAGACTTCAGTTCGTGGACCAGGTTACTCTATTGGCGGTTTCTCCCGGTATTGTACCTTCCGAAGCTCTCTATGATTTCAGCTAACGACTGTTCAGGCTTAATTTCTCATCCCTCCTTACCGTATCAGGAGATTTTGACCTGTCTGCTTGGACATCTATAACTATTAACCTTAGCGCTTTAGAAAGCGTCGACACAATCAGTCTGCAGGGTGCAATAGCTAGGTGGGTGTTGCTGCCTCACTCCTTTCTTTCGAAAACGTCGTTCAGCAGTAATATCAATACAATGCCGCATTTTCCTCCCTCACCCATGTCAGAGAGATAGAGATTGCCAGTAATGTCGAGAAAACAAACTGTGTTCCGGCATCGACAGCATATAATCGTTCCCATCCCGGCGTTGTAGGCGGAGATTTCTCATGCTATGGGGTGGCTAAAAAGGGCTTGGCAACCTAAAAGACTCTGTCCAAAGGAACGAAGGTCGGGTTTGGGATTGGCGTTGGCCTTCCCACGGTCATCAATGCCACCATTCTCTTTTGGCTGTTTGAGAGACTCAAGTCTAAGAAAGAACAGGCTGCGCGAGTGAAGAATAGTGCAGCTGAGGTGGAATTGGAAAGTAGGCAGGCAGCCTGAGGGGAGATGGCGAACATCCTCCTGATTTTAACTTGTTGGCTGGAACGGAGGTAGGGAGCATTCATAGTGAAGCAACGGCTGTACAGGCACCGGAAATAGGGGAGCATTTGCCCGCGTATACACCTCGCGGGGCGACCTAACAAGACTTCCATTACTTCATTATAATGTTCCACTATGCAAGAACATTGCCCATTTGAGAGGTGCTCTACCAGTTAGTTCCGGAATCAATGCTGGCAGCAATCACGACCTCAACAGATGAATACCTTCTTCAAGTCAACGCCATCTCGAAAAACACATGTCACTACTGTTATACACGTGCATTCGTGGAACCTTAAATCGAGCAGGTCGCGTCGCTCCACCTCGATACGCGTACCGAGGCACGCCCTATTCGAATGCCTCAGTTTTGGCTCTGCCGCTCAATGCTTGCAGCACATCACCCAATCGACATCGCTCATTCTTCAAGCTTTCCACAACAATGCTTGCAATACCGACTCCCTGCATAAGCCACGTCTAACGGCAAAGCTTAATAGGACCGGGTGCAAGCGGGCAACCCCAGCATTCTCATGACGCTTGCGTTTGCCCGTCTTACGCCAATGACAAGGCTATGAACCCCGCCTCACGAGGATATCGCTCATCATTCCACAGAAAAATCAACTGAAGGATTCAGTATGCGTTTCTATACTCGTTCAACACCGCCTTCACCGTACCGTGATACTGTATCGCCAGTAGCAAAAACATTCCCTTTACGACTTCCGCAACTATCCGATATTGTCTTCTGAGGGGTTTCGTCTGACGTAGACCAACAGTTCTGCCCAAGCTGAGCCTCAAACCACTCTTTATCCTCGAAGCCGAACGTGCCGGGAGGTCGGAGGGCCTCGATACAAGCTCCTTCCAGCCGTTCCTTCCCGCACAAGGAGCCTTCCCAAGACCTCCGCTTTCATTTCCCAGACTCTCCAGTAGATTGAACGTCTCCAAGTTTCAGACGCGGGTGGGCATCAGGAACAATGAGCACCACGGCTCCCCCAACACCTGGTCCTAAGCCCCCCGTCACCTTCAGCTCGCCCGAGAGTGCAAATACCGTCACCCTCTCAACCACGGCAGTTGGTCCCTCGAGCTCCACCTTCATCACGAGCACCATCTCCTCCGCAGCGGCAATCTCAACCCACACCCCCTACTCTCAACCACAGCCCGACCCCTACCATCTTAATGCCGCCAACTATATCGTAGTACCAGTCATCGGTATGGTCGCTATACTGCTAGCAGGAAGCTGGTACTTCATTCGACGGAGGAGGTTGATACTAAAGCAGAAGAGAATTGCGAAAGAGGAGAGCGCGATGACGATTGCGGAGAAGGAGGTGAGCAGGCAGCGGAGGAGAGATAAGATGAGGAACCAGGGGAATAATGATGATGCTGCGATGAGGGGAACCACATAAGGCTGGGGGTGGGCCAACTGTCATAATGATATGATGGATAGGATGGATATATTGGATAGGAACCTTATACTGTTGGACAGAATACAGAGATAATCGGGATTTTATAATGGAGTACAGTAGGGGTTTGGCGATATTTGAAGGATTTTGGAATGAGCAGATGGAATGATACAGCCATATTTGCAGCTCGAAATTCAAAGAACAACGTTTTTTGGGGGGGCTAAGGGGGTCCCACTTACCCCGGCATTAGCAGGAAAGCTTTACTTAAAGGGTTAACTCTTATTGCGCAGTCTCATCCGGAGTCGGCTCCTTGGCGTAGAATCCTAAAGCCATCTTGATGAAGAAAGTGAAAGTGATGTTGATTGTGGAGAAGTTGCGAGACGAGTGATAAGCTTAACTCTATCCGGAGCACTAGGTAGTTCTCAGTACGCTACCGTTTCAGATACATGCCAAGTTGCAATTGCTTTTTCTATCTACATATTTTACACTGAGGGTTCAAGCGATCACAATCTCGCAGTAACCGAAAGATGGGGAACAATTTGCAAACACGATTTCAGGTACGGGAAGTTCAACCGTGGTAGGTATCATTGGAGGTGGCAAGTGCCGTATGATCTGCAACCTAGAGTGGATATCGACAAGATAGCAAGGGCCACGATTTCGATCGAGAAGGGTCAAGTCTTTACTGAGGCCCAGAATTTGCAGATGGCGGAACCACGCTGTTTAAGCTTCACCTCAGCCCTGTGATGCGTTTGCCTCCTTCCAGGTCATGGAATGGAACTTCCCGATATATCCCTCCCCAGCACTACTATCAAACCTCCCAGGCATATCAACAGCGTCGAACATCATCATTTCCAATATCTCCCGCTGTATTATCATCTCGCGGTGTTGCGGATGAGCGAAGTTCGGGTTCAAGTGTCTCAGGGATGCGAGTGCGAGCCTCGCTAAGCCTCGCACTCGTATCCGCTTTACTGAAGTTTCAACGTGATTCGCTCTGCTCAATCAAGTTATCTTTCCTTTCCAACAAGTTCCAAAACTGTGACGAATTAGTGTTCATCATGTAGGATCAAGCTGAGGAAGGTAGGCAGCGATGGCGTCGCCGTCAAGCAATCCGAGAGAAGCGAGGATTCTCTCAGGAGCCTTAAATATAGCTCGGATAGGGATGTGACGCAAGCTGCTGCATCTCGTATTTTTGTTGTTGAACTAGGAGGTTTAGAAGACGGCTGACGATTGGTGATATAAGTCTTGGGTTGAGCCCGCTGAGGTTCATATTCAACTCAGCTCTGTGCAACCACTTGCCTTCAACACACTCCCAGATTGCAGTGCCACGCTATCCGAACTGCTTCTTCTTTTCTTTGCCAATTGTCTTCTCGATTATCGAATATGGAAGTCGTTTCTCGCGCTCTGTTAATGACACGCGAAGACAAGTCTTTCTGGGAGAAATATAAGTGGTAAGGAAGCAAAATACGTTTCCCACCACGTAGTCTCTAAAGTCAGATCAGGTTAATTATTGGGGGAGCGATTGCAATTCCCATTCAACTGGTTGCGGGATTTTTCTAGTGAGCTGCGTTCCTTCCCTGACAATTCCCGTCACACCAATTTCAAAGAGAATACATGCTGACTGCAAATTTAGTCTACGGTACCGCAAGAAGAAGAAGGCTGCCAAGATCATGAGGAGCGATGAAGAGGGTCAGGTACTGGGACGCAGATAGAGAGAAGGTATATTGACGGCTCCGCGTTTTCCCGCAAGGCAAATCGTAGCAGGAAGCCCTCGCAATCCAGGATGGGCCATTGGGAACTTCGGATAGGAGAGGAGGCTCCTCGTATGCCAGAGTTATAAACGAATGAATTGAGAGCTACAGTCTCCACTGCACTACACAAGAAACAAACTCCTATGCATCTAACATTACACCTTAGTTTGGTACCCTGCTCAACTCCCAAGCAGAAGTGGTAATAAGGAGCGTCATCAGGTCTTGTATGGCGGCATTGTGCAAGCATCTTCTTTGAGGAAAGATATCTGATCGTGATGTTCTCAATGTGCCGGCAGATGGGTTCTTTTATACCATTTCCGACGTTCAGGAATACGCGCACATCGTAGCAACCCTATAGCCATCGGTTCCAGTGGGAGAAATCGGTTGACCGTATCTGGATTCACAGAGCCAGTAAAACGACCTCGAAACCCCTCCCATGCAGCACCGAGAAGCCTCTGGCATGGATGTTGACGGAAATGGCTCCATCAAAGCAAAACCCACTCTTGCACCTCCACGTCTTGCCGCCTGTTTTTCTTCATCATTGGCTTGATCATCTAACCGACAGTCTCTATCTGGATGGCATATGCGCCAGGCGCCGGGAGGTCTATATGGAAGGCCTTCGCTGGCAGGTAGCGAAAGTGGCCGTCTCAGGTACAACTCCAACGTTCGAGTTCCAACAACCAACCCCAAAAAATTTAAGTGCCTGTGAGCCTTCCATTGGCTAAAAGACCGAAACACCAACATTGTCTATAGATAGTAAACGGCCCAAGATATGGGATTCCGTGAAGTTATAAATGGTAATACAGACGACCACAGCGTATCAATTGCGTAGCCGCGCATGATCTTTCCCGATAATTCCCAGGTGACCTTCATTTCCAGTTCGCAGATCAACTCTAGAATGTGAAACTCCTTTTGTCTCAGGTCATGAAAACCCAAGCAGGAAACTGTAGGCTGACAAGGGGAGCAGTCTCCAATGTGTCGACTGACGACGTACGGTCAAATTGATGCGGAAGCAAAGTGCTGAGACTGTCCAATCGCCTTGCATCTTCCCACTAGTAGTATTGCCTACGATCTCGAGTACACTTCCGGAAATAGCTGACACACTTGTGCTGGTAGCCGCCGCCTGGATCCCAACTATTCTTGATGTCTCGGTGGCGTGACATGTCCCTTTCTGTGCACAAATTGGGGGGAAGCATACACATCGTGGAATGCCTTTAATTGCGAAGTCATCGAGCTTAACATCCGGTTGAGCTCTTCCTTTAGCTCATCATGAGTTGCCAGTCCACTTAACGCCTTCTGAGACGGTGGAGATGGCAGCTCGGGTATGTGAGAGAAGTCGCACAGTTGATTTGCAGAGTGGGTCAAGGATTCTTGAACAGTAGAGGGGAGAGGTCGTATTCCAGGATTCTTGGGATCAGTAGATATGACTGAGGCTGGAAACACTGTATCGGAGTCTGAGAAGTTGGAAGCTCTACCAATGTCATGTTTGGAATTTTCCTCGAGAAGGCCTGGGGCACCGTTGCACTCTTCCGTCAGGTAAGATTCATGCTCAGTGGTAGCCTCCGGCAATGGGGGTGCGTACAGAGAAGCGTGTTTTTCCAACTCAAAAGGGTGACCACTTGCTATCTGATCACTGGATGTGGAGCCTGTGACAGAATTCGCAGTCGACGGACGCGCAGAAGATGCTGCGACCTCATGCAAGCTCATGTCCAAGTCGATCAAAGACTCTCTGATAGATAGTCCATTTCGAGATGCCTGTCGCGAATGTATCAGGCTGCTTCTAGACGCGGTTCCAATAGGTCTTGTGGGATGATGGGTCAGAGGAGGGCGACCGTCAGAACCGCCTGTCGATATTTGGCGCGGTAAATCGTAGCTTGCTGGGAACTGTGAGATCGCAGGGTCTGCGGATACAGGCAGTTCCATCGCAGGAAACTTCCAATCTTGTGTGCGACGGTTATGATTTACGTCTACAGGATCGCTTAGAGCCGGGTGACTGAAATTGTGCAATGTGGGATTGTATTCGTCCACTGATACCTCTTGACTAACACCAAGTTTATTGGCTTTAATTGTTTCCATCTCAGGAAACTTCGAAAGTCCTGTGTTGAAGCCATGAGCGCCAATATCAATCATCGTATCTTTGATCGAGGTCTGAGAGTTCTCGTCACGGAGGGGTAAGTCTGAGGTAGGTGGTGGTAGAGGCCTGCCGTAGTGGTTTCTGCTGTTGTCATCATAAGTAGACAAGGTATTCGGATCGAAAATCTTTTCTAGTGGTGCTGGAAGCCGTTTTAGTGCCTCTGGGGGTGGTCGTCGTCTTGATGGGTTTTGAGCTTTTGGGCGTGAAGTCTCTTCTGAGACAATATCTTGAAGTTCAACAGTTGTACCGTAAGCATCGTAAACATCTTGGGCAGTAGATTTCTTAGAGACTTCCTGATCGAAAGTTGCTGTTGTGCTAAAGTTCCATTCGTCATTGGCCATTGAAAGCGAGTCTCTGGCCAGTCCTTGAGCACCACCTGGCATGAAAAGTGACTCCCTACTTCCAACATGGTCTTCCCACATTTTGAAAGCACGGACAAGATAAGAGAGACTCAAGGTAGGATATCTCGAGTTGCTGTTCCAGATATATGGATGCTTTTGCACTTGATCAATTGTGGGTCGCAAACTTGGAAGTTCTTCTAGGCAATATGCGACGATACCTCTCAAATCTTCAGAATAGCTGCCTCCTTCAAGTCTTGGAAGAGGAATTTCTGAACGAGATCCGGCATGATCGTATGGAATTCCAGTATCAGCGTTTGGAGGAAACCCAGTAGCAATCTCGTATACCATGCATCCAAATGCCCAGATATCTACCTCTCTACCGTAACTTAGATTGGAATCGAATAACTCGGGTGCCATCCAATGAAGTGTGCCAGTAAATGTCGACCTCTTATCTAGCTTCGTCTCTAGAGTACCTGCAACTCCGAAGTCACAGAGCTGTACCCCTCCTAGCTCCGTAACGAGAACGTTTGCACCTGGAGCAAAATCAGTAAAACAAGAAAGCTCCACACTATTTATATGCTAGCTTACACTTGATATCTCTGTGCACAATCCCTGCATTATGCACCCATTTTATAGCTTCTGCAACCTCTCGAAGAATGGGTATAATCCACTTTTCTTGGAGGCCACCTGGGGCCGTGGGTTTCATCTATGCCACAATTAGCTCTGAAAAGGCTCTTATAAAGGATACTTACTAATGTGACAACACTCCCACCTCCACAATACTCAGTTATCATCCACATAGATTGACCCACTGGTAACGCATCAATGACATGGTTGATATTCCGCGCCTTATTCTCGCTTAGGATCTTCAAGGCACCGATTTCCTTTAGAAACTCGCTATATGAATCCGCATTACGAGGATTTGCTGTATCGCTTTGATCGATGTCGATTATCTTGACAGTAATAATATCTGCAGTGATCATGTCTTTCCTAAGGTAAGTTAGAGAGTTACAAAGCGAGACGAGATTTTCTAGGAGAACATAGACCCTTTATACACCCGACCGTAACTACCTTTTCCGATAAGCTCCATCAGGGCATACTTCGGGGGGTCCTTCCCAATCCTCCGCGCAGCATCAATGATGCTCGCCTGGATTTGTCGGGCATCTTCCACAGCCTTTGCCTTGGTTGAACTGACCTCTACAGGTCGTACCTGAAGCCGGCTCATTGCGACTAGGTTGGCCTTGAAAGCTGGAGCTCTTACTTTGAAATGGCTTCGATGAGGGTGTTTGTCTATTCATGTGATGTCTAGCTGTTCACACGTTTCCGCGCTAGACGGGTTCACAAGCCAAACGCCCACACCACTCAACCTAAATTTAGCCACGACAGCACTACAATTTCAAGAAACTAACACTGGAATCGGACTTTTGGGGGCATTTTCCATGTTCTGGGAAGTTTTGAGAATTTACTAAGCACTATGAAAAATCCAAGAATTTTGTGTTCCGACAGGGGCATAAGTGGGCGGTTGAGTGGTTTTGGCGTTCCCCACCAGCCCTTCTAGCCATGATTAGTCATCAAACGATACTTGCTGGCTCGGTACACCCTCGCGATACACAAAAGATTCGATCGCAATTACGAATCAAATACCCCCAGGGCTAATAATAGACAAACTATCTCGTTGTGCCCATGAGAAAATAGAAGTAACTATCTGTTTCTTGACATATAATGATACTAAAGACGATGTTTAATTCTTTCCGCATGTGGGGCAGCTTAAAAACAACTCCGCCCGACCAACCGAATTTTTGGAATTTGGTCAACAACCACAGGTCCAATCGGCTTCGGAGTAATCTCAATCGATTCCTAAGACCTCATTCCAATATCAACAAGTAGGATGGGTATGCGGACGATGCGTGGCCCTCGATTGGCTCCCGTGATCAAAATGCGACCGAATACGGTGGCTACTTGATTGAGGAAATACGACAATTAATTCCAGATTACGACAAGCAAAGGCTGCTATAAAGTAGCAAAACATACCCAAAGAGCATGGGTTGTGCAAGAACGTTTGTTGGCTAGAAGTGTGTTCATTTCAATCGGAATCAGTTCTATTGGGAGTGTCGAGAAAGATCTACTTGCGAAATCTTCCCAGATAATATGACAGAGATCATGATGCGCCATGGCTTTTTCAAGGGCGTCATCCCAAACACGGAGCTTCATGATGCTGCTCGGGAAGGTGTACAATTATAAAAACCGGAAGACAGGGAAGCTGCCTTGAATGGCATTTTGAGAATACTTGAAGGCATCTTCGACGTTGCTTATTGTGGGATTATGGAGAAAAGGACTTCTAGCCCAGCTGGCCTGGAAGTCAACGAGACCTGCGAAGCCAAGCCCGAAATAGCGAGGTTCCTTATGGTCCTGGTTGTCGATCGATGCCCATCGTGCCACGATGATAAGAAAAACAGTCAAAGGCACATTTCTAGAGGTCACTTGCGCAAAACTCAAGTCGATAGAGAATACGGGATCTGACGAAAGTTCTCTTAGTCCCATTGCATCAGGCTTCATTAGACTGGGAGAGATGTTAACTCCTGTCACATGACAACATGAATACGGAGACCATACTGCCGTCGTGCTGGAAATTGAGGGGAAGAGGGACCTTTACTTGACGGCTACTGTGATGGTAATTCATTTGCCGCCGATTCATTTGGTTAGGTTTTGCAGATTGCCGCACGTAGTTTATCAGGAAAGTTCTTTGGTGATCGTCTCGTCTTGCAACGAACCCCGATGGAACTTTTAGACGCATTGGATCATTCGCATCCTTTGACGAAGGTACTCGGTATTTACTTGTCGAAAAAGCATCGGCAGGTGATGACAGAAGAGAAAAGTCTCGAGATCTCATTTTCGGAGTTGTCTGCCTGACCGCCCAGCCAAGTTCAACTGGCTCAAGAAAATGCAGAAAAAGACAACGAAGAGCGAAGCATCGTCATAATTTGAGCTGTGATACGGACAGGATTTTACATTCTATACTGCACACCGCTCTTGGAAAGTATGCTCTAGTCTGGAGTGCTGAGAGTAGTCCAGAGAGGGGCTTTCCAACATTTGAAGTTGAAACCATGATTCAAGCCGCTATGGTCGTGGTTGCACCAACACTACCGGGACGTCCCTTTCACCTAACTGTAAGCTCGACTTATCCAATGATTGATTCGAAGCAAGACACGTATCTCATATAATGCAGGCTCTCTGAAATTCGGACTGAGGAGTTTCCAAAGCGAGGTCAATAAGCGAGAAAGGGGGAACAAGCCGCGCAATACATGCCTGTATCGTCCTTCACCAGGCTCGCTTAAGCAAGCTCAGAAAGCTCGAAGATGATGGGAAATGTCTCACCAACTGATCAGAAACATGCCCGTCAAGCAAAGCACGGTCAAGGATATTATGTTTGGTGTGGCTGATAGCCCTGTAGCAACGATCCCGCAATACAGGTGCCACATCACGCTATCCCACACGAACCCCGACCGTCAACCTCCAACCTCTCGCTCCTCATCCTTTCAAACCACAACATTTCGCACAAATATCTTATCCGGTCCGGGAACTCCTCCCTTCAACATTTATCTCCACCTCTCGTTCACGACCTACGAACGCCTTTTACTGTTCGAATCAAGCCATGCCTGTGTCGGGACCAGAGCGGACTCGGAAACTTCAGCTTCCTCAACATTACGACTTATAATCCTCGCCTTACCATATGTGACAGTGCTCGAATTACCAGAATATCCCCTTCATATCCAACTTCGGAGTTGTATGGGCCAAAATGTTGAGAGGCCTTACCCGAACCCCAACGAGAGTCCCAGGACATCACACGTGTCTGCCAGATGACCCGATTGGCGTCGATAATACGAGTGGCTTTGGCTTTGACCCCGGAAGCAAAAACAAAGCAGAGAAAGACTTCAGGAATCAGTCATTCGCGACGCAGAATGCGCCTGGGCAGCCTTCTATGGAGGATTCGAGCCCCGAGTTGGAGCTTTCCGGTGGTGCATTACCGTGGCTCAGCGGTCCTTCGAGGCAGGCTTATGGGCAGGAGACACTATACTCAAGCTATCAACCAAGCACCCAAGACGCATTCTATAGTCAAAATGATGCTATGCTTCCCTCAAGTCATAGCTGGGATGACTCTGGAGAATATCCAGATCAGGCGTGTCTAACCTCACCACCTGTTCTTGATCCGACTTTCACAAACCCCTACCAAGAACAACAGATGGCACCACTACAAGAGTACACGCCGACGTCAACATCTAATACAGATTTTACGGACATCTCCCAAAATCATGACATATTCTCTTCCAACTCACCATCAGCGCCAACCTCTCCATCAGAGGAATGCGAGCCCACGCAAAGCTTTAACTCCATACCCATCACAACCTTACCATCCAACGAGCCAAACCCACAACCAACTCGCAAATTATCACGAGTCTCAAACACAGGAAGTGAAACCCGTGACGAAATATCTTGCTCAAATTGCTCCACGAACAACACCTCTCTATGGCGAAAAACCCATGACGGCTTCCCTGTGTGCAATGCCTGCGGACTCTTTATGAGGTTGCATGGAATACCGAGGCCACTGTCATTAAAGACGGATGTTGTCAAGAGACGGAAGCGGGAACGAGTTTCTGGTGCCAGTGCGACGGGAAAGTCGAGGCCGAGAACGCGTGTGTCCAGACATGAGGCAAAGGTGCTGCCGATTTCGGAGTACAAGAGCGGGTGAGACGTTGTTGGGCTAAGACACATCGGAGAAGTTTTTTGAGTGAGGTCGTTGGGAGAGAACATGGTATCTCATTGCTCTGAGCGGGATGGGTGGGCTCTGAGAACTACGCGTCACGTGTTTCTTACGATTCGAGGAGGTGGATGCATCGAGGAGCATGGCAGAGAAAGAGAACGGACGTTCATTTCACGATTATCTTTTGTCATTCATTCGTCTGGGTATTCCAATTAGATAGGTGGATAATGTGGGAAGCAAGGAAACGGGGCCATGTCGCGATGGCGACAGTTAAGCGAAGGAAAAGGGGGGCATAATCAATTTAGAATCAGTTAGGAAACGTTTCCAAAACATTTGGCAATAGCAGAGACGAAACTTTTCAAATTGAGCAAAACAAATAATTCCATTGTCGCATCAATTCTCCGTGTGTTTTGCACCATTTTCGAAGTGCTACAAGTGAATGGGTGGTGGTGTGGATAGGGGGTCCAATGTTGACTTCCAGGGTTTTGGTGTTCTGGTCGGATTTGCCATGACTCAGCCCGCACTCGGCGAAGTTGGAGTCCCTAACTTAATTGAGAAAAGTCCCGGGTCGATGGAAATGAAGTGGCGTGGGAGCTGGCCTGTTGGCCTGTTATGCACGGTGGTGGTTACTTTTGGGCGGGTTACTTCGCATCCTTCGAAATGTTCGTTTCCATCCCAACCTCCCGCTTTCTCCACAGCAACCAAAAACTATAAGTACCTCGGTCTCGTGCCTCCATTTCTCCTTCCTTTCTTTCAAAATTATCCCCACCAATTTTGATTTCAATTCGACGGCTACATGGATTGCAACGCCCCTGGAAGTAAGCGCGCTCTCGAATCCGACTCTGGCGAAGAAGTCGAAGGACCCGCACGAAAAAGACTAGATTCCAACACTACTGCCTCTAGTACTCTTCAAGCCTCACAATCATGGGGGACTTCTAGTCCGAATCCTGCAAATGAATTCGTTTGGGTTCTTGTACCACGATCCACGATTTGCGTTCCACGTATGGGTCTTCATTCATCGTCGATGCTTCATACAACCGTGAACCGGGAGACGACAACTGGGTCTGGTATGCAGCCAAAGTTTCCACTGAACTGATAATGTGCTGACTCTCGATTTCAAGGCCCAAGCAAGAATAACTCAAAGAATGAACCGCAGGCCCAGAAAGCGACGACGTCCCCCCGCAGTTGGGCCGCTTGCCAGACGGTTTTGAAGCAACAGTCTCAACACCGGATTTGGGTTGTCATCAGCACAACTCTACGCGGATCAAGGCCTATGAGTGAAGTGGAAGGGGTTTACTCGAGGATCGAACTTGCACAGCTCAAACGTCTGAAATTGGCGGAAGCAGACTTGCGGGCAGGAGTGCAGGTGGACTTCAACAACATCGAACTTCCTGCATCAAACAGACTTATCTTGCCCGATTTAAAGGAGAAAAGAATTGGATTGCAGACTCTCTACAGCAATAAGGTCCTTTCAGGATCCGTCCATACAGTCATGTCCACTCAGATTGTGGATGGAACTCCAATCGCCACGATCGAAGGCGTGTACGAGAACTTTGAAGACGCCCAGAATCGGCAAAATGAGATCAGAGATTGGTACATCGAGAACGTATCTAAGGAAGCCAAAACTTCTGGCTTCGAGATGTCACTTGACCACCGAGCTCACTACTATAGCATCCTAGGTCAGAACGACTTTTGCAACGCTGCATGGACAGGACCCAGAACCTGGCTTCCTCAAATGAGGAGTCAATACTACGATATTCCGCCAGGAGCAATGGTTTATGTTCGAACATTTGTCAATTCCATCGATGAAGCTGATGGGCTCTTGGCAGATCATCCCTTGCTACGAGCGGGTGTTCCCTTTCAAGGCAATCATATGCATTCAAGATTAGACCCAGGAAATCCTGGCCGTGTTCATGTTTCAGCCGTTGCCAGTGGGGTGGGGTCTTCGTTCTCTTACCCAGCATCCATGAAGAGGCAGAGCAAGAAGACGGTAAATTGCCGTGGGTGCGGGTGTGGAGAGTACAACTGTGATTCATGCTGGTGTCAGTGCAACGATGACAACTGCGATAGTCCTCATCCTGAAAACCAATCTGAGGGTGAAGAGGATGACGAAGAGGATGACGAGGAAGGAGAAGAGAGCGGAGATGAGGCTGGAGATGACGAATCAACCGCGGCAATTCGTATCTTGGGTGTTGATTGCCATGGCTGTGGATGCGGCAACCCAAGATGCGGTTCATGCTATTGAACCTTCTTCGCCCTCGAAAGTCTCGTCGAGAACTTCGATTGATCTAGCAGCAAAGGATAAATCCAAATTACCCGGCCGACAGGCAACGAACTTTTCCTCTCATGCCATGAATGCTGTACCTTTCATGGGGTTCTCTTGTTCCTGAATGGCAGTTCTAAAGAAGGGGCAGAGGGTCAGATTTGGAAGCTTATGAAAGGTGGCCGGTGATGCGTCGTGTGGATTCGGGTAATTAATATATTTTCGATGTGGATGAACTTTTTATACGCGAGGCGAGGATATAAATAGATGCGTGCGGCTGGGGAAAGGGGGGGCTTTGGATTTGGATGGGATATGTAAATGTTTGATGCTCTTGAATAATTGAATTACATAGTCCACAATTCGTTGGTAGAAGGTATTGTTGCCCATTCCATATCATTGCTTCACAGATTACTCCGCATCTGCCCCAAAGCTCCCGATCATGGCAACAGAAGCCAAGTTGCGAGCATCTTGGGGAAGTTTGGAGTCCCTAGTCCCGTCACAGGATCCCACCCACTAACCGCCGTGAACCCCGGGGTACCACATCCCTGGTTTCCCCCAGAAGTAATATCATTAAAGATCTGCGGATACTTATAAATCGTTGGGTTGATAAACCCTACCGAACTCTTCCCCACATTTAACCTCGCGGCATTGACAAGCGTCATGATACTCCCAAAGGTCGGGGAACTGGCACTTGTTCCGTAGACGTACTCGAATTCGCCGTCGATAGCTATCACGTAGTTGACGCCATTGGCTGAGACATCAGGGAGACCGCGGGATGTTTGGGAGGTATTGTACTGAGCGGAGGTATAGGGAGGCTTGTGTTGGGCGAAGTAAGTTTTGATTGCTGATTTCTGGTAGTCTGGGACTGCGACTATCAACGAATTAGCAACATATTTTTTTACGAGGAGAGAGACGGGAGCGAGCCGGGGGCATGAAACACCTCCCGGCAAGTGAGGTAAGGAGCTCGGGATACGGGGCAAAGAAATAGACTGCTTACAGACGTTGGAGAAACCGCCGCCTGAATAGATTACGCTTTCGGCTGCTTCTTCGGGTTGGGTCACAGAGGCACCGGGTTTGACTTGAGTCGCGCCGACGGAGGTGATGTCTTGGATGTGTTAGTACGTGTTGTTTCAATTGAAGGAGAGGGCAAGAGCTTACATGGACAGGTACCCGGAAAAGATGGGTTGAACATTCCCGAAGTGCCGTTATTGTAAACTCCAGTTATGGGGTCAATACACTGGCCACCATTCCCAGCGACCCCGTAGTCTCCTGACGAGTACAAGAAAGTCACTCCTTGAAGCCCGAGTTTCAAATACTCATTGCATTGACGCATCTCATAGAACGGCGTGAGATCTGCCTCGTTGTATGCGTATGATGTCGAGATGACTTTGGTCGCAGCAAATCCACCGCAATTCTCAGGTCCCTTGTATACTCCATAGCCAGTGCCGTACGGATCTGGGTAGACACCGTCCTGAGTTGGGTCGTCGCCGCCATCGTACGTACAGTAGCTTCCATCGATTGCATCGAGGAAGTTGTTGAACGACGCTCCTTCAAGGAGATCGCCGACTTGATATAAGGTGACCTTTTGAGGGTAGACGAGAGTCATGCCATATTCTAGGTCAAGATCCTGCGAATTATTAGTATACGTCAGAGAGTAGAACATGAGAGACTCACAGATTCTCCGTTGTAATTAAAGGATTCGACCTCAGTTTGAAGAAGCCCGCCATCGATAGAATCAAAGATTGGTCGTTGTCCCACCTGAGATGGAGAGAAGTTCCTGAAAAACATGTCCAAATCGCCCGGGAGGTATGCTTGCGGGGTATATTCCACAATTCCGTACGAGTCCGAGGGTTGCCAGTTAGCTAGATTGCTTGCAGAAAATAATTGTACACAGTCCACGCAAAACATTGGGGCGGCAGAGAAGACAGGATGAAGGGTCAGGCTTACTCTTAGAACTCAGAGGGAAGTTGGGAGGGAATTCGTACAATGCACGAAGACAATCCGGAACAATGGACACATCGCAATTCTCCAATTCATTAATGAGGTTCGAGATCTTGCCACCGCTCTTAGGAAGAGACTTGTCGCCGGGAGATCCGATAGAATGTCCGATTCCTGGTACCACATTATGACCTGTGGTAGATGTCTGGCGTTTTGCGATGGTGATTTCGTCCTCGCTCAATGTACGGCGCTTCTTGGGATTTTCAACTTTGGCATCGAAATGTACTGTTGGAGTAATGAAGTCAATGTGTTTCTTGATATCTTCAGGCAGGCTGTACTCTTCGCAGGCAACGTGAGGCTGGCCAGTACTCTCATGCGTGTACTCAAAGTACTGAGTGCTTAATAGACCCTCTGCTTCGGAGACTGTTGCATCAAAATGCAGCCAACTCAGACTCTGGGATTGCTTGACACGCTCTGCCGAAATCCCGTGTTCGGCAAGCCAATCGAGGACAGATGAGTAGCTCTCCTGGCTTGGGGCAAACGCCTCTGCCACCTGCTTCGCAGACCACTAGGCATTCCGCAGTCAGCATTGGTTTGCCAGTAAATATAAATGTATCCCCCCTGCGTAGACTCCCAGAAAGGAGATCTATCAAATGTCTCATATCTCGCAGGACATCTGAATCGGAGAGATAAAAAGGAGGCTATGCATACATGTTTGCCGTAATTAGGAGACTCTGGATGAGAGACGTCCATGAGGAATTCGTCGGCTCGATCCAAGTTGCTTTGGGTGAGCGCAATTCGCATTGGCAAATGTGAATCGCCATGTATCTTTGCACTTCTCTTCCACTGGGCTGGCATTCTCTCTCGGCGCTCATGGACGACCTGGCGCTTTGAGTTGGCTGTTGGAGCAGCAATTGCCGCAGTCAAAAGACTACAGACAGCAATGAGAGAAAAATGCATGATTGGACGCTTGAAAGGGCGGTCTGCTCTGCTTTCTTGGGGAGAGGGGGACTACCCACTTATAGGATTATAATAGTTCAGATAATAGCTCATTCTCACCGCAGCAGACATGGGCTTCTGGTGATATCTCCGCTATCAGAGAAGGCTACGGCTACGGACGGCGTGCGCAAGGCTAGAAATGCAGTGTGGGCTATTGATCGTGACATCCATGATCCATCCAGGGTCCTGTCCACTCCGAGAGATGTTTATTCGGGAGGCTCCATTGAAAGCAGTTAGACGAAGCGCATACCCCGCGCAGGGGGCCGTGCTCCTCCAATGAAGTTGGTGTTCCTGGTTGTCGATCTATCTGGCATCAACGGAGGAAGAAAGCTTGGTGCTAGCAACCTGCCAATTGCGGCCTAGCCGGCCAAGTAAGGCGGATTGAGCTGGCCATAGCGTACATAGTCTCCTGCATATGCTTGTCATGCGCAAGAGGTGCAAGTGGACGAAACATGCATCAATCCCACAGCTCAGAGACCTTCAAGCAGCATTGTCAAGAATGTGTCCGAAAACAGAAGTTCGATGCTGACTTCAGACCGCTTGGTCCTCGTGATCGTCACTTTGGTTTCCCAGGTTGATCATGTCAAAGTGAGCACAATTTTCCATCCCAATCTCGACACACTTGTAGAAAGATGGGTATGCCGGTATGCAGGCAGAGTTGTCGAAATATCGGTTGCACTTCCTAGCGAGCGAGGCAAGCCTCAAGCCTCTGGCGCTCCGCCCCTGTTGACCATCTTGCTTGGCCAAAGCCGGCAGTCAGCGATGTTGGCAGACATCGAGCCTTGAGGCGGAGTGTAGATCCGCGATTGGAGGAAACCAGGATCAGGATCCTGCTGAAAACGGAACAGTGTAGGAAGTAAATGGTGAAGGAAATCTAGCCACTATTCAGTGATGCCTGAGAATTGATATGCTGTACGGATCGTATGGACATCAAGGAGAGGCTCAATCGACGTATTATCGGACTTGAACAGAAACTGTGATCGGCTTTGGACACAAAAATGTTGCCCGTATCATTTTTGCAGAGTCGGGACTCCGAACGCTCTGGATATCTAGCGCGATTAGATGAAAGTGAAGGAAGGAAGTGTGGGGTCGCCTAAAAATTGGGGTCGTGGCTTTTTCGCTGAGATTAGAGTTAGGCGTCAAATCACGTGACCTAAAGCTATATCTCAGCCTCGTAGCCTCCATCTTCAACCTTTCCTACAATCGCGATGTCGAAGAGAAGGTGCGCACAAAATTTCCCCAACCATTCCAAACCCTCCCCAGTTGATATATTAACAAATCCAGGACATCACAACCACACGAGCCGCGAGCCGAAATGAGCTTCTTCAGTCGCCGCCCAACAGGCCCCTCCGCCTCGTCTTTGATCTCCTTCTACGAAGGCACAGGCCGTGATCACCGAGGAAGAAGGTTGTCCCAGATTCTGCAGTGGAGTGCCGACAGACTCGAGTCATCTCACGACTACATCCAGACTCTGTTCCCTCTGCCAGAGGAATCGGGAGTCAACTGGGACGCGCCAATCATCGACCGCCAAGTCTTCGAAGCCTTTCGTTCTCGTATGGAGCTAAGAGGACGATTGCGAGATTCTTTCCAGAAGATACTTTGGTTCTACGGGTTCAAGTTAAGCTACGAGAATGGAGAGGTCAAGGTAGGCAGATCACCTCTTGGCTTCGATAATTGGAACTGATTGCAAGCAGGTCGGCAAAGGAGACAATTATGATGAGCATTCCGAGAATTGGGACACCAGATTCGATCACAACCACCTCCGAATTACCAGAATCATCCGCTGCCTCCGTGTGCTCGGTTTTGAAGATGAAGCAAAGGCGTTTCACAAGACTCTCGAAGCAACGACGATGAAAGTCAGTTATCGATCACGTGAATTCTGGCGAAGAGCTGCGGAGAGGGCTCTGAACTTGCGTCCGGATCTGGATATATATGATGAAGATGATACGACCATTGGACCAGATTTCTTGCGCGAGTTTGAGATTGCGAGGCAGGCAAAATTGGCGGCAGCAGGCAAGCGAACGGATCCACAAGATGGAGCTGGATCGCAAGTTGTCGATGAACGGGAAGGGGAGAAGGAGGAGAAGAAAGGATTGTTCGACGATTCCGAGGATGAAGAAGCTCCTAATGAGCGTGAGCAATCGGGATTGCAAGCTGCCGATGAACGCCATGAGGTGCAGGAGTGGAAAGGGTTTGCAGATGACGAAAATACTTCTGGCAAGCCAGATCAATCCGGACTGGAGAACTTGAAGGACAATGAGGCTGTAGAGGAGGTGAAGAAAGATTTAAGGAGAACGGACAATACTGCCACTGCTCCAAATTAGTCGGTTCTGGAGAGTATGCAGGGCATTAAAGGCAATAAGATCACCAACAACATGAAGGACGAGGATTTGACATCCTGGAGAGGGCATAGGGCGCACAACCAAGCGGATCCTGACTTGGGCGTGGGCATTGACACCACGCGGAGATACTTTATTCGGGAACGATACCCATGGCTGCTTCGCTTACAGAGACTAAATAGAATTTGCACTTCTTCTCCCGCCCTCCGCAAACGGTGTCGGAGAGTTTTATTCTGCTGTCCTTACATCTCTTTATTTACTGATATTCTAGATTTCAGCGTTCAATTCAACGCTTTTCTTAGAATGAGAAAAGGGTACGTCGCTGCGAACTGCGTCTAAAGCCTACGCTAATATGCCTTATTGCTGTCACTTATTGATGCTTTCACACTGTTCTGTACCCCCCGAATTTCCTGGACCCCTAAGGTATTCCTCGAAGCGAAGCCCACGTGACTTATGTTTCAATCAAATGGTCTCGTTTTTGCTTTCCTTTTTTTGCCTTATGCACTCCTATGATAAGTGCATCACAGTGTGGCCATATCTTTTTGTGATCTTTTCAACTTGGATACTGGTATCTATGTATTATTCTCTGTTAGAAGCATAAATTACTGATAACGTATGCCCATATGTCAACGCCATACAATTAGCATAACAAGTCGCCGTCCCGCTCCAGTGGGGAGGGAAGCCCGATGCCAATAATTCAAGCTCAAGAAACGGAGCTACAATTGGCCTTGGTGCGGCTCTTGGAGTGGCAGTCATTGCATTGCCAGTCGTGAGCTTGTTCCTATGAAGGGGGGCGAGAAAGGGATCAAAGCCCATCGCCGAGCTTGACCATCATTCTCAGGGTCATTACCTGATCCAATGCTTGGCTATCCTGCTCAATTACAGAGCCCTGGGTTCCGGCATGAGGTTTCAGCGGAGGTCTCGGAGATAAGACCTGTCGAGATGGATGGAAGAGTTGACTATCGAAACTGACCAGAGATGGAAGAGATGGATGGTGAAGATTGGAAAGATGGGAGCCAGTCCGAAGAAACGCGGCACGTTAATTTTATATTCTTTGTCAGTAAGACCAATTGTATTGGCCTCAAAGCTACCACCACTCATCCACGTCTCCAACTGTCCCCAGACTCTCATTCCTTCAGGATAACCCTCGATGAGGTGGCATGCATCTTGAATGCGATGGGTGGGTCGAGAAATCTTGCTAACGTGGAGAAGACCGGATGGGGCAAATATCCAAACTTTGAAATGTGATCCAGGACGGAGAGAAATGTGGTGTCAAGGGCTCCCCGGGAACTGGTGTTGTGGGGTGCCATTGAATTAGAAAGTACTCATTGTGTTTTCAGATAATACAATTTGTCACCGAAAGTTTTCGAAATGCACAGTCAAAATTGCTTCTTATCTCCATTACATCCCCATATCCCTCTTGCATCAAGTATCCCTCCATTCACTTCCATCACTTGCCTGTATCTCCACCCAGTCGATCACTGCAATAGCCCCATGCCTCACGCCCCCCAACCCGGAAGTCTAGATCTCCACGCCTGGTCCTCCATCATTCATGGCATCTGCAAATAATTAGCATCTATCTCATCTTTCGGATAGTGTATCCCAACTCACTTTGCTCGGTGCTATGTTCACGACGTCTCTTCAACGCAGTGATAGCCAAGATTGCGCCAGGAAACCCTAACATTACAGCCAAAAGCCCAAACACAAGTCCATAGATAGTGGCAGCGTTCCATTGTTCTTGTGGGTTGGCAGATGCTAGGAGGGGAGTTGAGGACGCCATGAGATTTTTGGTGGCGGCGATGGGCAGTGTTTGATTGAGTAGCGAGGCTGGCATTTCAATGCAATGCAGGAATACAGAACTTTGCAGAAGTAGTGCCGATAGCAGAAAAGGAGGATGTGTAAGCTGAGGCTTGTTTTCAAGGAATAGAAAGAAGATGCGTGTAGGTTTCGACAAGCAAAAAAGTTGGGAGAAGAGAGGAAGAAACTAGAGAACAGAGAGGAAGAGGCCATTATATCTTGCTTCGAGGCACGGATTCGTCGGTCAAGGCTAACTACCAGCACAAGATATCGAGATTTAATTGATACTCAATCGTTAGTATCTTTCATAACTGCCCCTGGCACAGCCCAAACCTGACTCAGCGGTGTTGTATGCTTGGGATTGGAGCAGCCTATGTTTGGCTCTCCCAGATTTCGGCACAGAACAGCTTGCTGCTTGCTGCCTCACCTGCCGAGTCGGAAACGATAAAGTATCAATTGTTTGGGGAACCTTCGAAAGAATACGACTTCGTACAGGGATATGTCGTCACAGGCCGTTGACTCTCGCGCCTCGACAATCCCCCTTGCTTCCCAAAGTGCGAAACACAGGAGGTTGGTTGGGCAGCCCGGCTACTTGGGGATATTGATAAAATGTCGATTTAGTATCAATTTAGTATCAATTTATGAGTGGCTCGCTTCAGCCCGACAACTAGGCGGATCTCGACTTGCCCTATAAATATTGTATCAATTCCCGCCTTCTTGCCCTCCAACATGGCATATCTCTGACTTTGAAATTTCTGTATTTCACCGAGGCTACAATCAGTTCGGCGATTTCTGCGGGAGACTGCGAGGCTGTTGCAAGGATGCCTTGTGGCAATCATGATCATGAACACCCTCTTTGGCCACAGCAAGGAACGCACCAGTTTGTTATCGAAGCTTGCGAGAACCATTGTGGATGGTGCAACTATCGAACGAAAAGTGCGAACAATCTTCGAGTAGTGAGTCATTTCCCTCCCTGGAGACCATTCATTCATACGCCTTTGATCCATCGACTCACAACCCGCTAGCATGCTAACCGTCACGTGAAAAATGAAACGACGCTCAGGGGAATTACCATAGTGAGAGGGAAAGCGGGGAGGAAGAGGGTGTAAGTTTTCTCCTTCCCATACAGTCCATCAGATCCTGACGATAGATTCCAGGCAGATGGCCAGACGACGATTCCCTGCATCAGGAGCTCCCAATGACAACCTCAGTCGGTCGACATCCGTTAGGCGTTCAGACGAAGGGATGAATCCTGACGAGTCAGACGGAGGCGGCTTCGATCCAAGCCCAGTTTTCCTCCCAGGCCGCTCTGAAAGTCCAGCTCCATCCCATCCTGCTCCCTTGGAATTGATGCCGGAAAGCCGAAATCCCCCCTGGACACTTAATCCACAAGCTAGAAATTTCGGAAGTCCAGAGTCCAGTGCGAAAGAGCTCATTATCTATCATGTTTTGAGACCCCTGGTCAATACACAGTCCTTGCGAGACTTCCATCAACTTGTACGAGATTGTACGAGAAGAATGGAGACGAAAGAGTTCATTTGTCTCCGTGATCTTGAGAGAACTTTGATTTTAGAGTCATGGAATGTCAGTATTCTCTTGCCCAATATTATCCAAAGATTCGCTGACTAGATCTCCTGAAACGAGATCACCGCTAGTGTGAACTCACGACCCGAATTCTTGCACACGATGATCCATTGTGTCAAGGCGACAGTGCCACTTTTGAGCGAAGACGCACTGGTCCGTCAAGGCGATCGACCCTATGATGAGAGATATTTCACCATCTACAAGGAGGTGACGAACGCATGGGCCATAGGAACTGCAGGAGAAACTGTCGATCTCTCAATCGCAAACAAATACTAGCAACGTACGTGAGATCGCATTTTCCTACTGCAGGACAGTCTAGACTAACCATAAGTTCAAATAGAGCGCAGCATCCAGTACTGTTAGGGAAGAGTTTTGCATAGCTGAATTCTCCCTTATAGCGAGATTTATCGATCATCAAATATATCTCCACGGAATTAAACGCGGAAAATCATGTGGCTGCTGTCCTTTGCGGTTTCAACTTTGGTAAAGGCTCAAGCACTGTTACGAATACCTCGAACTCAGTGGCATCGAATCAGATACAAGAACAGCTACTGAGACCTAAGAGTAATGGTATCACAGCATCCAGATCAATTTCATCCGAGCAGCAGATACATGAGACATTTGGGCAAAAAGACATGATTACCATTGATCGAGGTTCTAGTGTAGGACGAGCACCAAGACACGGAGTTGATGCAGCGTAGCCCATATCCATGCAGAATCCATCTGTCCCGGATAGCATTGGTATACTAGCTTCAGACATAATTTCCCCAACGTTGCCTCAGGGACGGTGCTTTGAAAGTACCAAGCGATCCTCAGCATGGTAATCCTCCTTACTTCCTCGTTTCTTCATTGATACCTAAATCATTTGGGCAGGTTCTTCAGCAATATATACAATAACACAGGGCATACATGTCGACCGGCCGAAGCTGCACGCCTATTTGAACGCACTCTTGAAACTATACAGCGGCAGCAGCAGCAGCACGCTTCAGATACAAAGCCATTGAAAGCCCGAATTCACCACTCGGCGACTCACAACGGACTGTGTTCACGAGGACTTGGAGAGAAGGAAAAAGCAACACCGCTGAGAACGCATCAATCCAACACAACTAAGGCAGTGGATAGGATGAATGGGAGGCACTTCAGGCAAAAGTTTTGTGGTTCCATTCAGCCCTGTAACTGGGGCATGCACTCCAGTGAAAGCTGCTTTAGGGGTAAAAGCAAACAAACACTTCACAACCCAATGTTCTATTTCAAAGAAGACGAGCCTCCTTGAAAGTCAACTGAAGTATACAAAGTTAAGGGGGAGAAAGGCGAAGTTTTTAAGCAACCACTTCCAATTTGTACCTCACGCGAATTCCGGGATTTTTCAACACTGTGCTACTTCCTTGTGCCTCTTTATTGGACACAAAACGGCCGAAGGGATGTGCGCCCCCTGTACGGCACAAACTAACACGCCGCAGCAATTCTCGTACACTGTGCCGCGTGGGGGTTTTCAGCGGCAAACAAGAGATTTCTATCTTCTCATCTCTCGTTGAAGTTTGAGCACCAGATGTGGAAAAAAGGACATAATCATATCTTCCGGTCCGCATTCCCCCTTCCCCTTTGATTTGCCCCGCGATACCAAATCAAACTCGCATGTCCCCGAGGCTGGCGCCTCTCCCGTATAACATTCAGAGTAAGGGTTGGCACTGCAGGCTTGGCTTCCAAATTGAGGAGACGATGATGAAGTCAGGTCTTCTCTTCTTGGCTGGCGTGCTTGGTTTCGTCCAGCATGGGAGGGATGATAAGGGCGAGCAAGAACAAAAAGTTCTAAGTCGTAAGGGTTGCCGTTCAACCGAGTGAAAAAGGACGGGCCGTTGTACTCTAACGACAGTCAATGACAATGACCAAAGCTCTTCTTTCTTGTCTTTCTTGTCTTTGAAGATGCGGGTATAACCTTCCTCTGTATACTTATTGTCTTTTTTGATTTTAGGTAAGGGAAAGCGAGTCTCCCTGATTAGCCCCAATATAAACCATCGAGAGATAGGCTTACGTACTGTTTGACCATTGCCCTTCTCCCCGCCTGCTAGGTGGCAGACCCATTATACAATGAAAAGGCTAAAGTTATTACTTAGAGAGAGGGATAGAGAGAGAGAGAGAGGCAGGACGAATCATTGTGTGGGAAATCAATAACATTGTTCTAGTAAGAAAGGAGATGGGGATGCCACATGAACTAACGTTGAATCTGGTGTGATCAGAAGCTGCAAATCAATGAAGGTCTCTCGGTCTGCAGGACCGAGGAGCGATTAGTCGGCGGATTCACTAGAAACAAACATCGATGAGCCGTAGCCAATCCAGCTTTGCCTCAGCCGTGGCATCCCACCAAAATCTAATGCAGAGAAAGAGGTGCCGTGAATCACCCAGCATGAGAATCTTGCGGACTTCCAATCGGTAACAGGATAGCGAAGATAAAAATGGTACCCATGAGGAGGACGAAAAACGTCACCAACACAAGGAACTGCCAAGTCTTGAGATTGTGTATGAAGGTCTCGAGTCTTTCTGCCGTCCGCAGCTGCATTGCAATCCCTGGGGGCAGAGACAGTTATGGTGATCTCGCCCGCCATCTCGACATCGTTCTCGTGGACCTTGGTGGTTTCTGCCATATTGACGGAATGTAGGTTGTTGGTATGGAAGAGTTGGTTTCGTTTGTAGGTTTTGAGTTGCGTGCGGTGTAGGGTGTCGCGAGTCGATGAGGATCAAGTTTTTAAACAAATAGGAGAATTCTATTCCGATTCGTTATTTTGTTGTTATTTAATTGAACAGAAAGGAGACAGGAGCTTGCACTTTCTCGTATCAATGGCCATTGCTGGCGCTCGTTCTTTCTTGGTGTTGAGGATAGAGGCGAGCCAGGCTTCGTTCTTTTCTTTCAGCTCTTTGTCCATGATTGGAATCCAGAGAGGTGAGCAAATCTCTTTTGTCGGAGGCGTATCAACAAGGTATCGAGTTAGTTCGATGAAAAGACGAGAGGGAAGCGTTGTGTAAGGTCGAGTTTAGGCGCGGGAAGTGAATGGGCCTTTAAAACGGATGAGCTCGATGCAAGAAAAACTCGATGGCAGTCTTCTCGAGATACCGAGAGAAGACCACTGATTTCGCAGCGGCACAAGCCCCAAGAACAGTAAAGACTTTACTTGTGCAGATATAGATCAAAACCAATACAAATGGAGAACGCCGCCATTCTCCCTGAGAGCTTTCGATAGTTGCAAAAGGAGAGTTCATGGCGCCGCAGAATTCCCCCTTTTGATCTCACGTGACTAAACAGTCACGTGCAGCCAAGAACTGCTGAGCCTTGGAGCCAAGTGCACCGCCTCCCAACGGCCCGTACTTGATGTCAAAAGCCTTCCATGTGATGCCTTGCGTTCAATGATGACATTTCGGATTGGCTTACCCGATCCTTGCTTCTCCAGAGAGCGAACTATGATCAAGCACGTTCGAGACACTAATCGTGCGTCAGGACTTGCACTAAAGCCCCTGCGTCCCTGCGGGTTTAGTGCGTATCACTAATATGGTCGAAAATCAGTAATATGGTCGTTTTTTTGGAACACTAACTTTTAGAATTTTAATGCAAATCGCAGAAAAATATTTTACAGTTTATATGGCGTTCATACTATAATTAATAAATCAAATTCTCTTACTTTCATATCGCATATACATATAGTAAAAAATGGTGGAAATATTACATACTTCAGGTCATCGGCGACCCCCCCAAAATGCCACTAACTTAGAAATCAATTAATTACATAACAACCACGTCCTATTTCGTATATCCAATAATTGTCTCCTCCCCATTAGCATCCAATCTAACTATATTACCAAAACCATTATCATAAAATGAAGGGGGATTGGGTGGTGGCCTCACAAAACCAAGCTCTCTAGCTAGCATTTCCACCCGCATATCACCAAACTCACCAACCCACTCCTCTTCGTATCCAGGGGAAGCTAGCCTAAAATCCATCTTATTCGCATGAAAAAGCTCTGTCTTACGATCAATTTGCCTCTGTTCCTCCCATTTTGCCGTTAATTTTTGGTAGTGAGCCTTGAGACCAGTATCACCATAATCGACAAATGGTGGTTCATCTCCATAGCCAAAGGGCTCCCCTAAATCGTACGGAGCTGTTTCCCCACGAGCACGTCTCCGGCGTGGAAGCTTACTAGTAATATGCTTCGTAATATATGCATTAGTTTCCCTAATTCGTCGATTTAGGTAGGCGTTATTGTCCATCTCTTCAGCGGTAAAAAGGGACTCTCTGCGATGTGCGATTTGACGAACTGCCGAACCCTTGGAAATGACCCCATGTTTTTGCACATGCTTCCTGCCCTCATCTAGCTTATTTCGTTGTTCCTGGAGTACTGCCTTCTCTCTTGCAAGCTCTCTTTCCATAATTAAGCTTGCCCTAAGTAACTTAGGCTCAGCTACTTGTTGGTATGCCCTCCAAGATCTCCAAAAACTCGGTGTGAGAGCGTACTCCTTCTCGTCCCTTCCAAGGATAAAATGGTCGTCTAAACGTTGACATATATAGGTATTGTATGCCGCACGATTCGCAGATGTAGGGGGGTTTTGGAAGGGTTTCGACATTGGAGGGGTTCGTGGAGGTGGAATCTCGGTTTGCTTGTCTATTGCAAAATTAGCCTATATTACCATATAAATCTGTAGCCAATTAACAAACCTTCTTTTGGTACGAATTGAGCTAGCTTGTCATATGCATACCGTATCGTTTCTCGCCCTAAAAGGCCCGCTTTACTAAAGGCACTGAGAATCGTCCTGCGCTTGAACGTCCTTCCCCGTATCGACTGGTATGCCGCTAGAAAATCAAGCTTGGTATAAACGACATTACCATACTGGATTTTATCGTGAATACTGACTTGATGCCAGTGCTTAAGGGGTTGAAAGAGGCCAATATCGAGTGGTTGGAGGAGGTGTATGCTATGTGGTGGCAGTTGAAAAGGGACAATCTTGTGGGACCAGCAATAATATAAGAACTCGTCTGAAGTATGGGAGCCATGACCGTCAAAAATCAACATCCTCCACTTGCCCTGTGTTCGTCGATATGTCTGATTATGGAAGTGCTTGATATATTTGAGGCTTAAAGCATCGTTTGTATATCCAGTGGAGCTCGTGGCGAAGACTGTTTCGGTATCAAGGTCGTTATTAAAGTGTTCTTCCAACAGGATCTCCCCCTTCAAAATCAGGAATGGTGCAATTGCTTCGCCCCCAGCAGATACAGTTTCGATCGCAGTAAGTGATTCTCGATTATCGGGATCTGCCAAGTAGACAGCTTTCGTATTGAGGTGTGTAATAACGATCTTTCCATTCAAAACGCCGATGCGAAAGCCAGTTTCGTCCATATTCCACACGTCTTCAAAGCAGATCCCAAACTTCTCCAACGCCCCATAATACTCATTAAAATGCTCTTCCAGATCCTCCTTTCGATTTGCCGCCTTCCGCTCTTGTGCTAGTGTCTTCGCACGAAGGGTTTTAAACCATGCTTTGTTCCGTTTGAACCATCGTTGAGCCCACACACGCGTAACTTGGTGGGTGGACGCGCTCTCAGCTAGAATCTTGTTTGCCGCCGCCCGAACCGTTTTGAGATCAGCTTTATGGCCTAAATAGATCAGGAAATCGATAAACTGCTTGACGCCCTCCTCCTGATCAGGATTAAGTGCTTTGTTGTAGGCCCCTTTGGTGTTCTGTGATTTTCGTCCAGCCAAACGCGCTTTCCAGAGTCGATATTTTACCCTGAATTAACGCGCAATCGCAGATTTTTTGACGTGTGGGTTTCTGGCATAGAAATCGGAGGCCTGGGCCATCCTTTTCTCTTCTTCAGGGTCATATTTGGTCATGGTGTTAATATTTAATTAATTAAAATCAATAAATGGGAGAAAAAAGCGACCATATTACTGATTTTCGACCATATTACTGTACCGCACTAAACCTGCAGGGTAGCTGGTTTAGTGCGAGCGACGCCGCACGATTACTGTGCGATCGTTGCACTATCACAATGCACTGCGCATTTCTTGGTGTGATTCCAAGAACTGTGAGAGATTTCCCGGATTGGGAGGAAGACAGCAAGTAAATCATGAGACCAACGATCTGCAGCGTCATGGAGAATTGATGATTCGTCGGCTCGGCTGATATGGGGAGAGTACCAAATGTGCATAGCCGTCTTTCCGACTCCAAAGACACGCGAGATGGGCGTTTGAGATGCTGCGCCTCCACGGCTTCTAGCAGGCAAATTGTCGTTGGACGAGGAGATGCGGGTTCCGCGTGGGGATTTGGAATGAGATAAGAAGAATTGAGGATAGGATAATTGCAATTTGCTTTGCGGTCGGAAGAAGCGTCTCAGATAGGCAAGTGGCGAGTGATGATATTGAACGCGAGGGGGGCTTGGGGTCTTGGAGCTGAAGTTGGTGTTGGTGTTGTTGATGAGCAAAAGCCTACCGATCAGCCGAAGCGAAGGATGCCTCTGGCTTGGCAGGGCTGAGCCTCTGCTTGACTTTGACATCGGCCGAGGCGTAAGCGCGATTATTGACGTTTTGAATGTCAGGTGAGGTACATCGATGCTGTAAGGGGGAGAAGTTGCCACGGCGATGGCAGAGCTCGTCGCCAAGCGATGTATTGGGAAGGCTTCTAGAAGGAATCTTGGCCGTTGGAGGCTAATGCGGCACGGTCTGCTGATCATTGAAGTGTTTCCCACGTTGGTTCGAGTGTTTGGGGCTAAGCACGGCTAGGAAACCGTCCGAGCTGCGAGTATTTGAGTCTGGAGGAGCAAATCAGATAACCGCGAGGTACCAAGGGTGGTATGATGTCGTCCGAGCATGTGGGGATGTTGAAGTGAGGGATTACTTTATCCTGAGAACGGGGACCTTCTTCTTGGTTAATTGAAGATTGTGCTCGTGCTGCTCGTGCTGCTCCTCCCAAATGCGATCCAATCTCTGTTGCACATTAGCGGAAATACCTCGCCTCCCAGCGCTGGATATTGCGGCAGTGTAACCTTAGCTTCGCGCGAAGCAGTCAGACGTAAAGGACCGGAGCATCTCGGTCGTCATGATGTCGTTCTACTCCTAGGATGATCGTCGCCGATTCCACCGGTAACTGGGGGACGATTACGGTCCGTAATGAGGTCGCAGAGTTTGGCGCCGCGCGAACTGCTGCCAGTGAGTGAGTGGGTCAACAGCGGAGGGCTAAGCTTTTGTGGAGGTAAATAGCGCACCAGGGGTCCAGCGATCCCAGTAGTTTCATAGGCGCAGCAAGTCATCGACAAGAAGTCGTTGGATGGCGCCTCTGGTGCTCCTGGTGCTCCTGGTGCTTCCGCAGGTGGAGGCACGCGGAAGCTCTGGACGCCCTCTGCGAGCTCGAGTGGGCAACTGTTCGTGCGAGAAGGGACCGGCGCGATCGAGCTTGCGGAGGTTCACAGTAACTTAGTAAGTGGCGCCGCAAGGGAGCCCGCTCTTGCAAGCCCTTGGAGATAACGAGGGCAGGGGACGGACGGCGAAAATATAAAAAAGAGCGTGAACGTCTCAGCGTCACCACTCCTGACTTCTGATACATCTCTCGTCTCACAACCACTCTCATCACCAACGTTACTTTTTTTTGCGCACATTCGACAGATCCAACAGAGAAGCAAGGAGGATTGCTACCTGTCGGCCCTTCGAATCGCCAAATTATCCATCACTTTCGTCCTGCCGCCTGCAGCTCGAATTCCTTCCCCGCACCACAGCCCACACTAGCGCGAGGCAGCTCACGTTCCATTTCCCACGTCCCACGTCCTACGAACGTCGGCCGATTACTTAAATCAAAGCTCCCTCCCACCCTCCACAACACAACACACCACTTCGAACCCTCTTCCAAATATCTTTGCGCGATCCCCTCCCTTCCCCCGTCGCACAAGTATCATCCATCATGTCTTCAAGTATTGACCCCATTGTCGCCAAGGACGACACCAGCGGTGGTCCTTCAAAAGCCTCGTTAAACGGTGGATTCCGTCCAACCCATACCCCAGGCCGCAATGACAACCCCATGGTCAACGTCCAGCCGCCGCGAAGAGAGGATCTCCAACCCAGCTATGCCCAGACTCTTGCGGGTGAGAGCGAAGGTGCGCACGGCTGGTATGGAAGCATGAGTGAGTCGGCGCATTCCCGCCACACAATGTGAACAATGTAAACAACAGCTGATCATCTGCAGTCAACACTCTTGGTTCATGCATTGGAACTATGGGTGCCATTCCCTGCTGCATCATCTGTCCTAACCCCTACAAACCTGTCTCGCAGGGTAACGTCGGTCTCGTCACGAAATTCGGTCGCTTCTATCGTGCTGTTGATCCCGGTCTCGTCAAGATCAACCCGCTTAGTGAACGTCTTATCCAGGTCGATGTCAAGATTCAGATCGTTGGTAAGATAATCTGCGAGCTCGAATACTTCAATAGTGGCTAATTCGGTTTGCAGAGGTTCCGAAGCAAGTTTGCATGACCAAGGATAACGTCACCCTCCACTTGACCTCCGTTATCTACTACCACATCACATCCCCACACAAGGCTGCTTTTGGTATCTCCAATGTCCGTCAAGCCCTTGTTGAGCGTACACAAACCACGCTTCGTCACGTTGTCGGTGCTCGCGTCCTTCAAGACGTCATTGAACGCCGTGAGGAGGTCGCTCAATCGATTGGAGAGATCATCGAGGATGTCGCGTCAGGATGGGGTGTGCAAGTCGAGAGCATGCTCATCAAGGATATCATCTTCAGCAACGAACTCCAAGACTCGCTTTCCATGGCCGCTCAATCCAAGCGTATCGGAGAGTCCAAGGTCATTGCAGCTCGCGCCGAAGTCGAATCCGCCAAGCTCATGCGACAAGCCGCCGATATCCTGTCCAGCGCACCAGCCATGCAGATCAGATATCTCGAGGCTATGCAAGCTATGGCCAAGTCCGCCAACAGCAAGGTCATCTTCTTACCAAGTGCCTCAACGGTTGGAAGTCAGATGCAGGCGATGGTTGGCGACGGATCGAGCCAACATGGCGGAATTTCTGCTGCGCAGAAGTATGACAATGACTTTGGAGGTCAGGGATCCGATTTCCAACGGGCTATTAATGCCCACGTTGTCGAAAATATCTAAAGACAGACACTGATATTTATGGTGTTGATGTAGCCTGGTCTACATAAGTTAGTAGTTTACCCTCGTTCTGCGACTTACTCTTTGATCGACATATCTTCGATCTGGCGACCAAAACATCAACCCTGTACTTTTACATCTTTGCTTTCGGCGATTAATGACGATGGGGATGGCTCGGTACTCGGCAATAATGAGAGATTGTTTGGGGCGAGGTTTCTTTGATCTTTGGTTGGGAGGATACTATACCCCGCGGTCTTTACGTACGGTTGCTAGGTGGTAATACAAATGATACCAGTTTCTTTCACTACAATCGATACAATGTCAGTGATACTTCACTCTGTGACTGAGAAGAGACTATTTCTTGATTTATCTCCGGTCGAAAGCGAATCTACACCAATCTCCCTTTGGCCAGAGATATATCAAGCCTGTCCCGACCGCGTAGACTTAAGGAATTTAAATAAAGTGTTACCACTGATTGTGTGATGCTTATGGAGAGGTTGATAAGATAGAATAGCGCCAACAGAGCAACGAAAATGGAGGGATGAGGTGTCACATCACATGATTTTAAACACGTGACGCGGGGCACGCCAATTCAAGCGGCTCTTCCCACCCCGGTCATTGATCAGATTAGACATCCAAAGATCAATTGATCTACTTACTACCTAACTCCCCCTTCAAACCCATTCGTTTACAAATTCAATTCAAAAGAAGAGATGTGGACCTTCTACGGAAGCCGCTTGATCTCCGGCTAATCGACTCTGCAAGCCTTACCTTCCTCCCCGCTATAAATTTTCATGACTCTCGCCTCATCTCTCACAACCCTCCCCCGCACTTCTCACCTGCACCCACTCTACCTCACTTCCCAATGGCCTCGGACGAATATATCCTCACGCTCTCCTGTCCGGATCGGCCCGGGATCGTCCACGCCGTGACCGGGTTTCTAGCTCAGCACAACCTAAACATCGTCGACTCCCAGCAATTCGGCGACGCCTCCTCCAAAAAGTTCTTCATGCGCGTCCACTTCGCACCCGCCTCCCCCTTCACGCCCTCCAGCTTCTCGGAATCCTCACCAATCGACTCCACCGAGCCTTCGGTGCTAAACGTCGAGGAGCTCAGGATAAGCTTCACGCCGACGGCTGACAAGCTGCGGATGAGCTTCGAGCTCAGTTCCGTGGCGCAGAAACCGAGAGTCCTCATCATGGTTTCGAAGATTGGTCATTGTTTGAATGATTTGCTGTTCCGGCAGAGTATAGGGCAACTCAAAATCGAAGTCCCGCTCGTCATCTCCAACCATCCTGATTTCGCGCCCCTCGCCGCAACTTACAACGTCCCATTCTTCCACCTCCCGGTCACAGCAGACACCAAATCTTCCCAGGAAGAGAAAATCCTTGAGCTGGTAAAAGAGCATAGCATTGATCTCATTGTATTGGCAAGATATATGCAAGTCCTGAGTCCGAAATTGTGTGAGGAGATGAGTGGCAAGATTGTCAATATCCATCATAGCTTCTTGCCGAGCTTTAAGGGCGCGAAGCCATATCATCAGGCGTATGAGAGAGGGGTTAAGATTGTTGGCGCGACGGCGCATTTTGTTACTAGTGATTTGGATGAGGGGCCGATTATTGAGCAGGATGTTGTGAGGGTTGATCAGTGAGTTTTTTTTCTTTGTTTTTTTCTCCGTCTTTTTCGTGTTTGAACGTTAGATTTTGGGGGTGGGGGAAGGCGAGGAGGAAAGGGGATGGGGAATGGGGCTAACGAGTATCAGTGCAATGAGTCCGAAGGATCTTACGACTGAGGGTTCGAATGTTGAGAGCAAGGTGTTGGCGACGGCTGTGAAGTGGGTTACGGAGAAGAGGGTCTTGTTGAATGGTCATAAGACTATTGTCTTCAATTGATGAACGGACGAATAATGATGAAAGACTTAGAATTGAGAACCAAAACGTGTTCTGGCGTTGAGCTTTGAGAAGGAAAAAGCACTTCACTCTCACGCGGGATAATTTCCAATTAGGAGCAGGGAAATCTTGGGAAAGTACTGAATTCGTCTCCAGGTGTTTTCTATCAGCGCTCTTAGCTCTTGCTCTCGTCCCATCTCATCTCATTAAACCAAACGCCCCAAAGCCTACGCCTTCTTCTTAATAATCAACAACACCCCCCTCATACTCCCCTTACAAATCATCTGACCCTCCTCAACCCCCACCTCCCTCAATAACCGCTCAATCTCCCTCCTCATCAACTTAACCACATCCCCCTCCGTCCCCACCTTCTCTTTATACGCCTCCCGCCACCTCTGCACCGGACTCATCGTCCCGAACACCTTCTCCATCATATCCAAATTAACCTCCATCCCACCCCCCACAAAAAACTCCTCGCTATTGCCCTCATCCGGGCCATACTCCTTCCTAAAAAAGCTTTCCCTCTCAAAGTCTTCCACTTTCGGGTCTACAGTCCAGGGTAGTCCGAGATCGAGATACATATTCCGCGTTAGCAGATTGCCCGGCTCGAAGAACGGTTTCAGTTCGCGTTCCTCGATGGCGTCTATGGCAGCCTGGATCGCGGTGTGGTTCGGCATGTCGGGGTGCGTGGACACGGCGCCGGTAGTCCAGATTGCCACGCTGCCGCCGGGTTTCAGGACTCGTGCAGCGCGCGGCCAGAAGAGGGGCATGTTGAACCAGTGGGCTGCTGTCGAGGCGGTGATGATGTCGACGCTGGAGTCTGGAATAGGAGGGGTGAGGTGCGAGCCCAGGTCTTCGGCGGTGGAGATGTCGAAGCGGAGGTTGGGGAGCGTGGTTGAGGCGCGCGCGGTGTTGATCATGCCTTCGGAGGGGTCGAGGCCGATTACATTTGTGAAGTGCGGTGCGAGGGCCAGGGCCGTGATTCCTGGACCGCAGCCGATGTCGAGGAGGGTATCTTGGTGGCCGCCGGTGGAGGTGTGGTGGTCGATGATGGTTTCTGGGTAACGGGGGAATCAGCAATTGCTCGATTAATTGTTTTGGGAGAGGGCATTGTCTTAGGAGAATCTCATGAAACAGTCGAAAATACGAAAGGGCTTCTCCCCCAACACCTACGGAAGAGCTTTGGGTGGTAGCCTGGGCGATTTTGGGCGTAGTTCGCGCCCTGGTCCTTTGTGAAGGATGAGAAAGTTTTCTCTGTGGGGGCCGTAGGTTTGGACATGTTTGGCAGTTTAATCACGGGGATCTACAACTTTCAGTATGTTGGGGTTTGGAGTTCGAACTTGGAAGCAGAATGACGGCCAAGGCTGGAGATTTATATGTTGCAGGTACGGAGATATTGTTTGGAGATTAGCGAGCTGCCCAACTTCAGAAAAGCAATACTCCGTAGCAGCCTGCTTGCTGTTACAAAGATTGACCAATAATAGTAATACGGCGATATATTTATCCGACTACCTCCGTCCTCAGACGGAGATACACTCTTTCAATTTAAAATGTGATAAGCGAGCTTCAATAAAGACCCCTGAGACCACGAGAGAGAAGAGGAAACAGTCTGGAAGCTTACGTGTCAGACGGAATGTCGGCAGCTTCGTTGGCGGAGCAACGGTCAGGGGCAAAGCTTGTTGGCATGGGAAATCACCACCTAACGATCGCAGCGCGTGGGAAACTCGCAAAATGCAAGGTTCAAGGCAAGGTCTGCTATGCGCTGCGTGTCTGAGAGGGTCCATGTGAAGTCTGGCATAAACCCCATGATATCGTCTAAATCACTCGAGGAGAAGGAAATCAGGACGAAAGTACGAAAAGGACCTGCAGCAATGTGATGACAGTCCTCACGTGCATATTAGCTTCCACTACTTTAAGGCCATTGAATCTGATGTTTTGGACTAAGAAGAGTGCTTCGGCGTCGCAGTGTTCGAGGGGAAATCAAGAATTGCCTCCTTCAACTTTGCTTTGTGCTGTCGAGCCCAACATTGTTCAGTTCGCAGTGCATTGTTCGGACAAAACTGACTCTCCTTGCATCAGAGCGGAAAATATGAAATTTGAAATGTACTCTTGAGGCATCAAGCGTAGAAAGTCACCTCTTCGCGAAAGACATTGTTGATAGTATAGCAAAGAAATGAGTCGTGTCCGAATTGCAACCTCTGCTTTTCAGCCAACAGTCCCGCTTGGACGTAGTAATTCATCCTTCTTGACTCTATCGCGTGCAGCATTCTTGTTAGGTTCGTTGGATTAAGATTTTGGAGATCCGCATGCGATGATGTTGATTCTCTCATTTTAGGGGGCATGGGGTGGAAGGCCGGCGAGTGGATTGTGTTATGTTGACAAAGTTAGCTCAGTGACTTTTAGAGGAAATCATAGACTCCTATATCATTTGGACACCTGGAGGTCATCAAAACTTGTCGCTGTTAAATTGCGGGAGTATCGATCTTGGGCGGAGGATCTGGCATCGCACCAAACCTCGAGCAGATACACCAGACTAACCTCCGTTACTGCGGACTGCGTCAAGCCGAGGGTGGCTTCTATGATGCAAATTCAGCAAAAACGGCGGTTTCATTTTGCCGATGTTTTCATTCAATATCGCATGTGTTGACTCTTCAAAGGGTGCAGCCCGCAAAGTCAAATCGATCGAGAGCCTTGTCAGCCTTGTGTGGACCTTGCGTGGGCCTTGACGTTACGACTGCCGACGTGCAACAAATCTCCTTGTCCAGCAATTGCAGTCTCTGATTGGTCGGATAACGAGAAGCTCGTGGTCCTTGCGCATGAGCGTGGGTAAATCAAGCTAAAATGAAGCTAAAGATATAAAAATGCAAAACAGCGCTGCGTCGCTCCTTCCTCACCTTTAGCGAAGATGATCCAAGAGAATTTGTGCTTTAGAATTAGAAAGAAGAGCCGCTTTAGCATCTCGTTTGATTAGTCTTTGTTCGTGGAATATTTTGGGACGTGATGTAAGGTAGGTAGCTGGTTGCGAGATGAGTTCAGGGGGGATTGTTTACTTGATCACGTGATTCAACACACACTTCAACATATCCCGTTCTGCTATAAAGAGACAGTATTAGGACGCGTTCGAAAGAGTGTATCCTGTATAAATCCAAATATCTGGTGACACTTATGTGGTATTGGATAATGGGTAAGGTGGAATGCTCCAGCATAGTTCCGTGAAACTTGCAAAAACACCTCTGTTTCGAATTTTCCAACCTCAATTATTTCTTCTTTGCATAATCAGGTATATTGAGCCATTAATTTGACTTTCAATGGCTAATTACGCTCCCGAAGTCTAGTATTTTTGGCAGAAATCTTGTTCCCCAAGCTTCCAACCCTTTTTTGTAACTTTTCTCCGCCAGACATTCAAACGAGCCTCGAACTCCCGACATTGCCAATATTTCTTACCTTACCTCTGACGTAATCTCATTAGGCTTTTATAAAATTTCACTCATTCCCCGATATTGAATCCCCGTTTCTACCGCTCACACCAATAGCCAGAACGGCAGAACCTCACATTGCCCGATGCATCCGTCCACGTCTGATACAAATTCATCCCACCATCTCTATAACAGTCTCAAATATTACCTCATTAGTCTTCTTTCCATTCTAAGAAATCAATACACTTACTGTACGGACCCCCCGGACTCCTCGATCCCCATGCTTCATCCCACCCCCAGCAACCTCGCCCCTCGACAACGCATTTGCACCAGCATCGATTTGAAAATCCAGTCTCCAGCTGCCCGTAATGGCGCCGCCACCTATCCCCTCCCATTTTCAGGGGGCGGCAGCGTCTGCACCTATCACGGCTATGCCGACGCCACGTGGATGCTCCATATTGACGGGTGCGGAGGGGAGGTCGTAGTAAGTGTGTCCGGTCTAGGGCTGGTTTTGGGGGTTTCCGGTGCAGTTTACGAGGCAATGGTAGTATCTTGCTGAGGTGCCATGGAAGGAGAGGAGAAGATGCATGATGCTTTGAGAGCACGAAGATGCGCATTATCACGTCCCGGGGCTGATGACCTGAAGGAAACAGCTCTGTTTGGGTGTGTATGTAACGTCTAAAGAGGGAAGAAGGAGCGGGGAGCTCGAGAACTAAGATACAGGGTGTCGCGCTAAGCTAAGCTAAGTCACGTGTGACACAACACGCATGAAGATAGGAGAAACGGTGAAGCTATCTAGAGAAAGGCAAGAGAGAATGTGTTTGTAATTAAACCTCTGCTAGAAGTCAGAGTCAGTGAAAGAAAAGATTTGAAGCACGCTTTATGTGTATATAAGTGTTGAAGTAACCACGCACTCGATGGTTCCAGGGTCGATGATTTTAAGAGCCAAGTAACGTTGCTTAAAGTCTACGTAGATTTGCAGTTAATATAAAGTTCCTTAAGGCGTGTAGCTGTTTCGGCACACATGACGAATCTAGCGTCCGATTCATATAAGCACTTTGAGTTCATTCAGGCTGTAGATGTTCTATATCCCCTCTCGCTTATGATTGATTGTCACCAACACTTCCAAAGGCTCAAATAATGACAGAATATCCAATAAAGGATTAAATATTAAATATTAAATATTATAGATGCTTTTTCTAGTTTACGAATTCATGGGAAATAAAAACCGTCCTTGAAAGCAGGTCTGGCTGGCTCGCCGAAGCCCTTTAAAACTTTAACGAATGTTCCACTCGAGCTACAGGTACAGCCGCCCGCGTCTGCAGACTGAAAACGAACTCGACCCGGAAAGAAGTTCCACTTTAAGAGCTATTTAGGAGCCCCTCGCATATTAAGAAGAAGAACCTCGTTCATCCAAGGATGCCCCCAAGTTTCCCGCTCTTTCGGCGCTATAAAACTGGCATGTCGCTTCTTTATCGTCGCAGATTAGAGAGAGGGATCTCAGAGGGTTCATCTTGCTGATGATGTCGGGTGTGATGGAGGAGATGGTGGATGGCGGCCACATGACCTTACTCGAGGGAGGACGCACGAGCGTAATGGTGTTGAGGCTCTTCAAACTTCTCAGAATTTGGAGAGCATCTTCCGGCGAAGTGCTGATCTTGCCATTGAAGTTAAGGTGCCGGAGATTGTGGAATTTGGTGAGATACGAGAGATTTAAGCGCTCGGAGGAGTTGGAGATTACAAGGGTATGAATGGTCGGGCAGGCGTTCGAGATCATTTCGAGGATCAAGTTTTGCTCGTGAACGGAGTCTACAGGGCCAGGATAGGCAGTTGAACTACCGTCAATTGTATAGCGGAGCGGGTGTTGGAAAGCGATCGCGAGTTTCTGGAGGTTTGGAAGGGAACTGAAGACTTGCCATGTTGCTACGACCACGCTTCTTGGGGCTTCGTTGGTGTTCCGGGTGCATATGGACTTGAGAAGTTTTGATATAGTATTGATGATTGATCGCCAGATTGATACAGGCTTGATATATGCTGGGGGGACTCGCTTCAAATACGTCGCCTCCCACCATCCACTACTGTACGGCACAGTCTCGTCTCTGATATCTCTTGGAGCATGCCTGAGGGCCCAAAACTTCGATAGCGAGTCTCCGAGAACCATTACTGACATTTCAGTGATAAAATCTAGGTGCTTTTGATCACCCCGCAAGGCCCATTCCCAAAGCCGCTCCGCAGTCCCGAAGTATCGCGGGACTCGGAGGATGAAAGGAAATGTTTCTCGCCGAGTTTGCTGGCAGACGGATGCGATACCGGAACGCTCCGATGGGGGTGGTGGGGAGTGCCATGGGCGATATAGATAGTCATAAATCTGGAGGCGTATTTCCATTGGAAGGGTAAGGAACGTGGGTGGTGCCGGGTTTGACATGTTGGGGGAGGTGAATTCAAAAGTTGGTTCCGAGTGCTGTTGGGAAGCGAACGTGGTTTGCTATATGTCTAAAAATGGGGACACCTTGTCTTGTACGTAAGATAGTGTAGGCTCCAGGTCATGGGAAGGCAGATAAAATAAACATAGGCAACAGCAGCGACGGGTTTTCGAGGTCGTCGCCTGATATCACGTGATGATATCTTGCCACCTTGTATCTGCCCGTTCTGAGTCTATGATAATCAGAAGGTGGATCCAAACTGTAAACTGCGATTTCGTAGGACATTGCAGGGATAAGATAAGGTAGACAAGGCGGCTGCAGATTATGATTGTATATTGTAGATCCTAGGATGCTTTCGACTGAAGGTTCAGCAAATCAGGTACCAGGCGTTTAAGAATATGTAACCGACATATTCCCGGGAAGCGTGGTAAGTCCTGTGACTAAACCAGTTAGTAAATCCCAGCCATGATTCCGATGGGGGTAAATCAGCAGCTATCGACGTCCTCCTTGACATTCATAGACTTGAGACACTTATTCGCCTGGGCGATGGTCTGTGTCTTCAATGAAGGGCAAGATACATCGCAGTTTGCATTCATCGCCCTCTGCATAGAATTACCCTTTCAACCAAAGACATAGTCTGCGTGTGTTCCTTATCCGGTGCTAAAGACATGGTCAGAACAAGAGTACCTTCCCAGGCTGGGGTAGCTTATTGGTCGCCGTTGCTCGACACAAAAGGTTGGGAGCCATCTGTAGGCCAGAGTAATTTGTCGTTAAACTTGGTAGTAACCCAGGCGGTCTCATAAAAGAGCTGAGGGATGTGAACGGGGTGAGTGCTTGGGCATGGACCACCGTTCTCGAATGTACCGCTCTGTGGGTAAGCAGCGTGACTCTGCTGATCCGCTGAGTCGTAATTAACTCCATCCCGGCCTGCTTAGCAAGGAATTAGCAAATCCTTGACAGCTACTATTTCAGGAGAGCTGAGATTTCGTTCCGCTGACACCGTGAAACATCCAGACATAAAAACAAGAGGCTCCTCGAATATATACATGTAGGAAAACGGGCATTCGCCACGATGCCTACTGCATAGGCTGTATTGGGAAAGTACAGAATCTCGCCACTTCTTGTTGATGCTCTTTTCAAGCCGGTGTAGGCGGGGCGACGGAACTTAGGAGAAACTGCTCCTTTGATGCGAGCAGCGGATCCCCGACAAGCATACAAAAACCTTGACTCGGCGTCAGTTCGTATTCAGCGTCACAAGGTGCAACCTACTGGATTGAAAGCTGTGACGTTCACTTTGCCGCTGCCACCATATGCGGTGTGCTATTAGTAGCAGAGTTAGCATAACTTCAGGTATTGCTCTAGCAAGCCTCAGAACAATTGAAAAAGAGAGATCAAGTGGACTCTTAGAAAACTCACGAAAAGGGTTTGGCCACCACCGTTGGCTGATTCAAAGCGAACATTTCCCTTTTGAGGAACCCGCTTAAATGTTCCATTCCGTGCTTTGAAATATAATACGGCAGTCCAGTAATTGGAAATGTCTTCGATAAAGTGCACGTGGTGCAGCGAGCTGTCGTGGTGATGTCAGTCTTGGGATCTGTAGTAATGTTGAAGGCATTCTAGTGTTGGTGAGTAAAGGAAGTCTTGAAGATAGCAAGATACTCACTCTGCCGACAACCTATTTGCTGGGTAGTATATTGACCGGTTGGGTAAACTGATTTACGTACCTGTGTAGATGCGGAGTTTGTGGGTCGCCCGGGTTTACTAAACTGGAGGTCTCGAAGTCAGAGAGACGTTGAATGATGAGGGGGAGGAATTGCGTACGGATCGAGACGTTCTGTGACAAGCTGCGAACAAGAAAGGAGCATGGTAGCGTTGCCACTTGGCGCATCCAGCACCATGGCGATAAGGGAGCTCCGCTGCATCTTGATCGCGTGATTTGAACTCAAGGGCAACCACATACGTGAGCAAATGAGGCACTTTGTGATGATTTTATCAGCACCTTGTGAAACAGTAATTGGGACTACCATTGGGTTTTATCATCGTCTTCGAGAACACTGGCAGGGCGTTGAATGTCTGCCAGGGATTATAACTACCCCACATTGAAATGTGGTCATACCACGGACTTCACGCTCGCAACCGAACCTTGTTGAATGGAAAATAGTTAGATGAAAACTCGCCAGAAGTTATTGATTAAAACGTCTCGATATAGCAGGTGGCGACTGTTACGGGATAGACATCCCGGTGGGCCCCAATAATGGCGAAGGCCAGAGTAAGGGCAGAAAGATGATGTATTCTCTATGAGAGATAGCTAGCTAAAGTACCTTCCGCCCCTAGTGGCTTACGTAACAGCGACACATAATCCTCTCTGAGTCCTTCGTACGGTCTATCATAGCCACCAACCTTGATAATTGGTAAAAATGTCCAAATCAAGCAATTTCTTTAGTAGTGGTATTGGCTAGTGATTGTGGTTGATTCCTTTCTTGGGTGGTCTTGGATTGAGGAACCATATCAACCTATCAATCGAACAGGACCAAAAGTAAATGTCTGGTGAATTGCGGCTTCGGTCGGTGGTAAATGAGCGGCAATTGAGCCAGAATACTTTCATCGCTTCTGAAACAAATGCCAATTTCGAGTGCTTAAGTTGAGAAGTTAATATAAGGTTATTGATTTCCATTCGACTTTAGTTGCTCGCTGAATGCGGTAGACGCGCTGACAAACTATTGCAATGGTGAGTGTATCCACGAAAATAGTGCAGACTTGCAGACTCTCCACAATTGAAAGTTGCCGAGCTTACGGGCTCAAGGCAGCTAGGGGGCTTGGGGACTAGTGGGAGACTAGTGGATTTGTACTTATTAAGGGGCTTCCCAGCCTTCGATAATCAGAGAATCAAGGCTTCCAACCACTGCATTTTGACAGCTTAGTACAAAGCAGGCCCCAAAAAAAATGCACAAATTCGATATCCAAAATAGCAAAACTCGCCTCGGGGTACCCCTTAGAGAACCCGTCTAGCAGATTTTTAAAATCGTTCCACGCTCAGAGTCGAGTATTGAGGTGGATTGTCGTAGCTCCACAATTGTCGTCGTGTACTAAGGAGGTGGATTTTAGTGGGTAGCTGTTATCCACTCGTCCAGACCTATCGATCCTCACTTTGAATTTAAAGCGTAAGTGCCCACGCCGGTACACACTTAGCCCCCCTTCTTCTGTAAATTGGCTCAGGTCGGGGGCTTCGCGTTTGCTCCAAGGTGGAGAGAAACGCCATGAGGAGTGGTTCAATTTAGCAGATCTTCGCAGTTATCTTAGCGATTCCACCTATGCAGCACTGCAAGTCTCGTCTTCCCTCGACTTCCGAATCAATCATCACTGGGAACATCTATACGTGCACAACTTGCTATGCCGCTGGATCTGAGCTGGCCCTTGACAAGCATTGTCAACTTCCGGGCACTTGTCTATTTTCGACTTTTTTTTAGATTTAGTGGAACGCAAGACGCTTTCCCGAGCAACAGCTTCCGAACAGTAATCCAAGTTTTGGCATTCAGAAGCTCTTCTATCAGTCGGGCTGTCACGAATTCCCCATGCGGTCATTTACTGACATCTGATCTCTGGGTTGAGCTGATTCTGTATTGAAACCTATTTTATTACCTATTGCATATTATAAAGGATGATTTGCTTGCCAATTCCGAACAACCTCACCATGCTGGTCTTCACCGACCACAAAATCTCAAAAAATGATTCCATCAAAGAGCTTCTCCTCATTCCGTCCTCCGCTTAACAAACACCATCAAAGGCGGCTTCTCCCAGAGTCCACGAATCTTCTGCTCATGCCAATTCTTACTTTGTTCTTCCAATGCCAAATCAAAATTCCACAGCAGTCGTGCCATAATAAGCCGCATCTCATGATACGCCAAATTCCGGCCAATACAATCTCGGGGTCCGAAACTAAACGGCTTATGGACCTCTCGTCTATCGTTATAGAACGGAGATGAAGGGTCATTTGTGCTTTCGGGGAGCCAACGCTCCGGGATGTATTCTTTAGCGCGGTAGAAGTTGCGCTCGGAGTGGAAGGCGGAGAGCTGGTGGACGCCGACTTTGGTCTGGATGAAGTTAGCGGCGTGTAGAGAGAGAGAGGTAATTGAAAGGTATGTTAATCTTACATTCTCTGGGATCATCACGCCAGCAATGGGAGTCGGTGCTCCTGGAAGGGTCTTTCGGGTCAGAGAGATAGGGATGGACGGGAAGATTCGGAGAGCTTCGTCCAAGCAGGCAAGCATGTAGGGAAGTTTGGCGCTGGCTTCTATGAAATCGATGTCCTCGTCCCTTTCGAACATCGATCGCACTTCCTCGGTGACTTTTTTCAATGAATGTGGGGTTTTCAGCAGCCAGTATGTGACGCCACTTAACAAGCTGGCTGTTGTCTCCGACCCAGCAATCATGAGGAGATCACAGTTTGCTACCAGTTCCGCATCCGTCATTTCGTGCTTCTCCCCTCTGGATCTCATCATGTAGTCCATGAAGTCTCCGCGATCTACCTGCTCCTTCCTATTGATTCTCTTCATCGCCATTAACTCGGAGGCCTCTTTGTGCTTTGCCTTAGACTTTCGGATTTTGGGCCCCGCCACAAATTGTAGGACTTTCGAAAGCAACGGTGAGGTTGTTACCAAAACCAAGATTGGCATGAGCTTCATCAACTTCTCAATGTTATCAATCCACATGTTCGATTTTCCTCCCGCCAAGCCGTGCAACTCTTCTCCATAAGCAAGGTCCGCAATCAAATCGAAGGTTGTGAAGTTGTACCAGCGAATAATATTTGTTGAGTCTCCCTTGTCTGCAACCTCCCGAAGTCTCTCCATCAGTAAATCGACATACACCCGGATCAGCGGTTCCTGTTGTCTCAGCGCTTTCTCAGAAAACGCTGGTTGCATAGCTTTTCGGAGACGGAAGTGATTCGACGCATTCGAGTAAACGATACTCCCGTCATCCATGGCAGAGCCTTTGACATAGGACTTCGGGAGTTCAGCATGGCCATGTCCGTAGATGTCTCTCCATGCTTCTGGGCATGTGAAGCCGACCTGGTCGGGACCGAAACGCACGACGTCGCCGTACTTTTCATGAGCAGCGCGGACCTTGAAGTCCAGGTCGCCACCCATCATATGCAGGTTCTTTAGAAGAGGAAAAGCAATCCATAGTTTTGGCCCGGGAATCTCTCGCAGTGGGTGGAAATATATGTTATAAATTGCCGTTACAGCGGTGTGTAGAATCTGGAAAATGATAAAAGTTGCGACGAGAAGTAAGGCCCCGCGCCATGAAGCAAGATGCACGCCTTCCAGTTTCTGGTATAAAAAACCTCGTATTCCGGTCATGATGTCGATAACTGAATCCACGGGCCTGAACAGATTCTTCTGGAATAATGTGAGAGAAATTAGAAGTCCAGCATCGTCTGGGGTTATTTATGAGATAGATAACTCCTACACTCGGTTACTCCAGGGGACCGAGCGTAATTGCGCAATTCCACCGGAAGCGATTGTTCCGTTACTAAAAATAGGTGCGGCGCTAATGCCAGGCATATAACTATGCAAACTAGGCTCTTTTGAGGATAGCTAATATAAAATCGAATTGCAACTAAAAAATAAAGCTATATATAACCATCCAAAAACAGACTTTTATATAATATATATAATATTGAAATAATTAATATTACTACTAAAATTAAGCTATTAAAGCTTTATTACTTCCTTATATCTTTCTTTACTTTACTTTTTTTTAGTTTCTAATTACTTTTAATAATATATTATTATAAACTTTAAGAATTATTTGAAAAGTATAATAGCTAGTATAACTATATAACTTGTGACAGCGCTGGCTGGGAGCCATATAGGAGTGGCTGTCACATGACTGGTTTCACCTAGCTAGCCGGCGTTTCAGTGGTTTTAGCTAGTATTTCCCTCCTTTTATTTCCTTTCCTTCTCTCTCTCTCCTTCTTCTCTTTAGCTTAGTATTCTCAATACATGGGATTTTCCTGAATCTTTGAGCCCTGGCCATTGCCTCGATCCCGCCGTTACATAATTTGCCGGAAATAAGAATTAGAAAACAGGTCTAAAACAGGGAACTAAGCTAGAGATATAAGTAAAGTATTATTAAAGGTTAAGGCATTTCTTCTTTCTTTACTTTCTGGCTTAGTATTTTCAATATATGAGATTCTTTAAACTTTGAGCTTTTAACTATTATATTAATCTTGCTATTATATTAATTTTCTGGAAAGTTATTAAAAAACGTTTTAGTAAAATTAAAAATAATACTATTTTCCTAAAGGAAGTAATAAGGGCAATAAGAGTAATAAAGAAGTATATTAGACTACTAATAATACTATAAAATTATTAAAATGAGTATTAAAATTAGTTGAATTGATATACAAATAATTATACTTTTAGTATTTCTCAAAGGTTATAAATTATGAAATTTTATATTAATTGCAGTAAGGTGAGATAATTTTGGTAGTAGATATATAGTGTGACGTCCAAATTCGCTTATTGGTTAGTGAAGCCCTTGTAAGAGCTAAATGATACGCTCGGTCCCTTGAAGTAACCCAGTACAAGAGATAACGCTTCCCTGTTTCGGGGGGAGGGGCTCTGGAGATGGACGGGTGGTGGCTCGGACCGAGCTCGTATATAATCGTATTCGCGTTTTGGATGCGATCGATGTTAAAACGAATATCCAGGCCAAGAGGTGGACATCGTGCTGCAATGCTTGGAACATGCTGCCAATAATCAATTTTGACTTCCGAGGGGAAAATGTAAAACGACCCCCCCGGGTTTAGATTAGGGGTATCGATAGATTTTAGAGTTTTAATAATGCCTAATTAGTTGCTTGAGCTTACTTAAGCCTTTTACTCAAATCAGATTTCTTTAATGAGGAAGCTAATATAAAAGAGTTCTAGTTCTTAAGCATAGGGTAGGCAGGGCGATTATTGCATACGAGGTAAATAAGTTCAGGTACTTAATCGCTAAATTTTCAGGCTCTCTCAAGGCCTTAAAAATTCTAGCTTTTCTTATCTGCTTTAATATTTTTATTTAAATATTACTAGTTATTATATAATAAAAACTTTATATTCTATTCGCTTATAATTAGCCCTTTTATAACACGAAAAATAATTAAATTATAATAATTCATTATATAGTAAATTAAGATTAAAGAAAAGCTTGATGTTTTGGTATTCCTCTACTTTAGATTGGTCTGGCCCCAAATCAACACCCGGGGGATGTGGGGTCGTTTTACATATCCCCTTTCCATGGCACAAATGGGGAGGTCTGATTTTGGACAGGAGTACCCCACTTGTGTTACGAAATTGCGACTGGCCTCGTAGACTTGGACAACAAGATAGTGTTCGACGAACCTGGGCGCCTCGGCGAACGGGAGATTTCGGGCGACAGCTTTGACTGAAAGAACACGAAGCCTTGATACATCTCATGAACTCTGTTGTCATGGGGAGTCTTGACGAGTCGTATATCGCAAGGAGTTTGTGTGCCACCTTTTCAATGTCGAGCTTGTGCAGCTCGCATCGCAAACGAGGTTGACACATGATCCTAGTCAAGGGGCAAGTTTGCTGTTGTATTCGTCATTTCTCGCAAGTGCCACAGGTTCACCCGATATCTTTGGATTAATTCGAGGTTAGACTTCAGAGGGCATTACGCATCCCGTTCTCTCTATTTGACCTACAGGAACTTTGGTTTCTGTGATCCACCTGAAGAGTAAAACCAGGGAAAGGGACAAGTTTGAAACACAATCATTGCATAACGCGCAAGAAATTCGCAGGCTATTGACGTTGGTCTTAAGCAGCTATGTGTATGGACGAAGTCTTGGCTGTCGAGCTAGCAGATATCCTCAATTTTCTGTGCGACACCATCATGAGGCCCGAGGTCCAATTTGAGGGTTCGACCAAAAAGTTCAAGAAGGATCTCAAAGCAAATCTTAGTGATAGCAGGGTCGTAACGGCCTTTGGAGAGCTCGTCACGAATAAAGGCATCTGGGTTCATTAATCTCAACTCTCATGATGTCCCCGGAATGAAGGACAAACTCACGCTGAGCGCCAGCAACTTCATACCAACTGAAGATCACGCCCTTATCTCTCAAAGTCTTTCTGATGAAATCCCTTCCCTCAGGTGGCACATGGTTGTCCAATGTTCCGTGGATCATAGCCAACTCTGCCTTGATCTCTCCCGCACGAGCTAAGCTGTCATCCCTTTTACCGAGACCAAGAGTTGCACTGTGGAGATCCGTTGCAAAATAAGTCACTGCTGCTGAAACCCTAGGGTCAAGAGCACAGCGATATGCTAAGTGGCCGCCAAGGCACATTCCCGTTGCTCCAATTCTGCCATTGCAGGTCTTGAGGGAGAGAAGAATATCAATCGAGAGGGTTCCATCTTCGTCATAGCCTGCGAGAGTCTATTCTTGGGTATCAGTAGAGATTCTTTGTGGGATTATTTATGATCACGTGATGGAATCATAAAGAAAGGGGCATATGGCAACGGAGATCTCTTACCTTCTTGATTTTCCACTCATTACCGGCGTCTGTACCTGGGACATCATATGCTAATGGCTCTGGCCCTGTGAACTCATGGTAGGAGGAAGGAGCAGCAACGATATAGCCTTGGCCTGCGATTTGCCGTGCAAACCGAGCTACTGGTCCGGTGACTGCAAGGGATGATTGTCAGAACGGGCCAGACAACGCTTTCACCGAATCACGACAGGAAGAACTGAAATGAGCAAAGCTTTGTAAATAATACAGAATCATGAGATACCAATTGCTCAGTGGAAAGGATTGAGGACATCCTTCCCCTCCGTGTGAGCCAAGAGGAAACATTAATAAGCCCACCTTGGTAGATCTCGGAGAATAGCACGACGCCAGGAAAGCGGCTGAAGGGGTATAAGCAATGATTCTTTCATCTAGGTGAATTACACACGCTTGAGGATAGTTTGGAATTTGGGGGTGGAAGAGGAATATCCCTGACAAGTGTCAGCGATGTTGGGAAATGGTTGAGGACTTCGTCTACTCATTGACCCCTTCTTCTCATCAGCCTTAGTGGGCACGTCCTTGTGCGTCTCTTGAATCAACATCTTGACGATTCGAAGCTGTATAAAAGTCCGCGGGATTGAAGTTGACTGACGTCGACTTGGGGCCTGGGAGCCTAGCTTACTCATCATTCATGCTAGTCTATTTATGGTAAAGTCTCTCATCAGTCCCTGGCCTGCGTAATCGCGCCCGACCCTTCCGAATTTCAGAGCATTTCCTTCCCTGCGATAAGCAGCGGCACATCACCAGATCCAACTTCACACCTTCCTTAGTCCGCTTACTACGATAAGTCAATTCTCGAGCTCTCATTCGATTCCTACGACCTTCATCAATTCTGCGACCTCAAAGTACCGAGTATAGTCTTCCTCAACTTCTCGCGCCTCGGTCAAGAACAAATCACGTCGCTCGCAATAGCCACTTTCTTCATCACGACTGGACACGCGACAACAACCCCCCACCAACCTTTGACTTCCCGATAAGGAAACATGTCGAGCGTGCGTACACGAAGGCAGGCGGCGGCGGTTTCAACTCCTTCAACACCAACTCCGGCCCCTCGAGGACAGGAAGTCGTCCTGAACGGCAATGGATCAGCTCACCACCATGAGAAGGATTATCCCAAGGAGAACATATTTCTTTTCTGGCCGAACCTCATTGGTTAGTTATGTCTGCAGACACTCCATGACTTACATTCTAATGTCTAGCAGGGTATGCGAGAATTGTCCTCGCGTTCGCGTCCTTATACTACATGCCACTCCATCCTCGAACTTGTTCGGGTCTCTACAGCGTTTCCTGCCTCCTCGATGCTCTTGATGGATATGCCGCTCGACATTTCGAACAATCGACTAGATTCGGTGCTGTGCTAGACATGGTGACTGATCGATGCACAACTGCGTGCCTCTTGGTCTTCCTGGCCTCTGCCTGGCCGCGCTGGGCCATTGTCTTCCAGGGGCTGATCTCCTTGGATCTGGCCAGCCATTACGTACATATGTATGCGACTCTGATTATGGGAGGAGCGGACACCAGTCACAAGAAGGTCGATAAAAGCAGGAGCTTCATCTTGAATTTGTATTATACGAACAAGGTACGTGGACCCTTGTCGTCGTTCTTGCAGGGGTTACTAACTACTTTCAGACGGTCCTGTTTCTCTTCTGCGCTCTCAACGAACTCTTCTTCATCGCCTTGTACCTGCTTTCGTTTTCTTCGCCATTCTTGTCTCCGTCCCTTCTTCAAGTTTCGAATAACGGAACCGCGTCGACACTTCAACCCGGAAGCCCTGCGATCCCCCCTACGCGCCTCTTCTTTGCCAATCCGTATAGTGCTGGGGCATTGGAATATGCGCGAGCAAATAAAATGGACTCAACCGTGCCGTGGATAATTGCTGGTATTAGTTTCCCCGTCATGGCCGGAAAGCAAATCATCAACGTCGTTCAATTGGTGAAGGCCTCCAGATGGCTGGCCGAGGGAGACATTGAGATGAGAAGAGCAGCGGGGTTACCAAGAAAGCAGAAGCAGAAGTGAAATTGACGATCAAGTGGAGTGGCATTCTGGGTGCACGTTGGTGGATGTGTTAGCGTTGATGAAGCGGTTGGGTTGCATTTGGATAGGGCTGCTCATTCTCGGGCGTCTTCGATCGTTTGTACCTTTATTTCGGGACGGGTATGCATGCTCGGAAGTGTGGCATTGTCCTTGCATCGTTTTTGTACCTCTTAGTTTCCGTCGTCAATCATAGGGACCGAGAGGATCGGCGTTGGAGGGACATTTGCCAGAATATATGAGTGGGCCACTGGGGCTGCTTTGAAGGCATAAATACATAATTAATAATTAGCAACGCGCATGAGAGCTGAGATCAGAGGAACTGATGTCATGAATGGCGTGAATGGCTAGTGAATTTTTTAAAACGAGCATGTATTTAATTTTGGCCATATTGACTAGACCGCCCTCGCACGACTCCCATGTGAATTTGTTCTAGACTGTGCTGGTGTTTGCGTTGTTTGATCTCTATCTGTACAGTACTAGAGCTCACCTCGACTCGATCTCGCCCAACGCAGACACACCTCGCCCATGCGTCGCGCTTCCGCCTCGTGATTCTCGAATTCTTGTCGCATCACCAAATCCTTACGTACTCACGTATCTTCCCCGCAAGACCGGTATCACCTGAGGATGTGTTGAGTTGACATGTGGTTTCAGCTACTGGTTGGGAAGGTTATTGCCCAATCATCGACCGGTCTTTGACCGCATCCCATTGGCGTCACTTCATGCCGGAGAGAGCTGTACGCACGAGCAGAGAGCAGCACACCGTATTTTGATCACAAGCTCTCCAATCTTTTCTCCTGGAATGCGGCCAATTATTCACAAAAACTCGGATTGAGAAGGGAACACGTTTCCCATTATCAATTACAGAGAACCACGATGCCAGAAACCTCACCCCCGCCAAGCTCGAGGCGGTTCTCACCGACCCCCGTCGAGTCAACGGTGAAGAAGATCCGCCGATTCGCTGTCGAGCCTGTGGAAACTACGACTCGAAGCAGTAAAAAGGAGGATGTCCCGAAGCCGGGAGATGCGGGTGTGGAGCGGATGGACTTCGTGGCAAAGCAAAAGTTCCTGATTGAGCCCGTCGAGACCACCTTCAAGAGCAGCGACCAAGCTGCGAAGGCCTTGCCCACACCCGAACCAACACCTGTCTCGATCCCACAAAGCCCATCACCCGAAGAGACGCCCAAGCCCAGGAGGAGATTTGTTCCTGAGTTAATTGAGACCACCAAAAGGTCAAAGAGGGCTGGTGACTCCAGACCAGCTACCTTGCCCACGGATAAGGTGAATGGTTCGAACTGTGTATAATCTTTTGGGCATATGCTAATGTGAACTGTTTATCAGACCGATCTCACTCCAGGAGTACCAAATATCTACACCCGCCCAAAAATACGAAAGCCCAAGGCGCCTCCTAATTCCGCCCTTGCCGAATCACGGTCCCCAAATCTATCTCCAAACCTATCAAGTACCCAAATACCCCCCTTGCCTCCCAGGAGACAGCCCTCCATGCGGCCACATCTAAATACAAGACGAAGTACAAGGCAAAACTCTTTCCAGCCAGAGCTGGAAGACATAGCGTCATCGGAGTCGGATTCACAGGGCAATTCAGACGATGATGATGGTACACAAGAGGACACACCATCACTGTCAGGCTCACTTGGATCATCAGAAGATTCGTTGATGAGACTACAGCTGGCACGAACAAGGGAAAGCTGCGATGACCGGTTTTCAGGTTACCTGCTTGCTCTTGCAGCCAAAGCTGCGGAGAAGCAGCTTCGAGAACAAGCTTTGGCTGCCTTCCCCAATGAGTCCATGCATGAAATTGTAGAACATTTCTACGACAGAGAGGTGGAAGGGGCATCAGATGAGGAATCCATCGAAGGGATTGGGCTTTTAGTCGAGGACACCGAAATCAGCAATCTACGACGAAAATCTACGGAAGTTGGTTGGGCAGCAAAGGAGATGCAAGAACATCATGAGAAGTTGAATCGTCTCCGTGAGGACGAGACCAACAAGAAAATCGCCGCCGAAGCCACGAAACCCACGTTCAAAGATCCCTTCTGGACCAACGGCATGACCGTCAAAAATGCTGCCTTGGCCCGAGCCCAAGGCAAAGAACCCGTTGATCCTCAAAAGGAAGCTGAGCTTGATCGCATGCGCTCGGCTGCGTCTCCACCTATGCTTGGAGGCGATTTGATATTTCGGATGTGCCCATCACCCAAAGCCACCAAATTCGAGTCTGACCAAAGGATCGATATCCAACCCAACCGAGTCGATAACGGAGGTGGTCTCTGGGGTGGTTACTGTGTTGCAGATGAAGTGGGCGAGTATCTGAGTCCCAGTCTCCTTAGGCCCACGCTTATCCAAACCCCGCATGTCGAGAGAAGCGAAGACCCGTTTTCTTCCGCATTCGCTAGTGAGGTGCCAGGAGACGCCAAATCGCCTCGAACCACCAATGGACATGCACATGATGGTGGTCTTCGCATGCTGGCTGGTATCGACGAGAGACTAAAAGCCGAGGTTGTAAGGAGTAAAGCGGAGACAGTGCTCTTCGCGGAGTTTGATGATACGTTTGTGACGCAGGTATATAATTACCTATCACTTGGATACCCGGCTCTCGCCCGCCAATACGACGAGGAATTGGCCCGCATATCTCGCATTTCGCTAGAGGTGCTGAGAGCTGACGACGAGAAGAAGAATGCTAAGGGCTATATTGGATTGACTGAAGCCCCTGAAGGGTCTTTCAAGAGGGAGGGAAGCCATGAGTATGGCGCTAGATGGAAAGCTCTCAGGGTATATATCTTGGAGTGGGGCAGGCAGTATCCCAGCATGAGCAATGGGGCTGCCCCTGCTGCTTGGGGCGTTAGGGCCAGAAGGGGTAGTTGGGCTATTTGATCCCCTTGCTCTTGGACTAGACTCGATCACCAAAAGAACAGGACACATACAGAAAGGCCGACGACACGGCTACGAATAGAAATTGCACGGAACACGAAACGGACAGACAGAACGGACGGCGCAAATCACACCCAGAGAAGCCGAAGTCAGCAACGGAGCAAGGCGTTTTTCCGGCCCTCAAAATATTTCCATCTTCGATCACACAATGTTTCAGTTCGAACAAAATGGGAGACACGAATAGTGTTTGCCAATAGCATGGACTTTGCCCCTCCTTTTACTTCTACTTCTACTTCTTGTCGGTATTGTTTCTGTATATTCTTCTTTCCTATTTCTTTCTTTGACCAGCCCTGACTTCAGATGAGCGGGATACGGCGATGCTTTTCGGCGCGGACGGAAGATGGCATTGCATGATATGGCTTGGTATGGGGAGAGGATAGAGGGTCACGATGTTATGATGTGTGCATAATTGCATTTGGGTCCAGGGATGGGACCTGGATCCTGGTACATAGTGGTATGGGATACATGAGAGCCTGTGAGCGAGTGAGTGAAGGAAAAGGAGAGGAAGACCCTATTTAGAGGGCGTAAGAATCAAAAAGTTTGTGTACGCCGTACGGTTTTGCTTGATTAGTGATGCTCGGTATATTGAGGTCTTGGGACTGAGATTTTGTGATGCGAAGAGCAAGGAAAATGTTCCTAGTGGAATGCTGGTTGGCAATCGATAATTGCAGAGTGTGGTACGACTGGGCCCAATGTACTATTCCCTTCCTGTGCTTTGCGCTCGGACACTGATTTCCTATTCCTTGATATTGTTCGTTCCCAGGATGCTCTTCGCGAGTTTAGTATACTGTCTTTGTCTTTGCTTGGCTTCAGATAGTTTTGAATACTTCTACTCCGCATGAGTACGTTCTCAGTGCAAAACCCTTCACTTCCCTGGATGCGCCGCTGCTCGCGATACAATGAATGGGGACGGGCGACCGGAAAAGGTGAGACCGTTGCTAAGAAAGGATGGATGCGTGTTTTGTCTTTCCTAGTGGTTTCTGGAACCTGGCCAATACCGAAACATTTCAGGCCAGTGACGTGTCGGGCCGAGTTGAATGTTGGTCAGAGGCCAATGATGGGCCACGAATTGGAAAATAAAATGTGTTGGCGCAAAACACAGCCTCAGCCACTTCGATCTCAGCCTCCTTGAGGCATCATACATAGCCCTAGGAGGTCGCCAAAATCTTTTCAAGTTATTTTCAGGGAATAAGAAGCTATTTTTTGACAGCGATTTCGTTTATATTTGCAGTCATGCTCAACTACCATCACCCAACAATGGCGCCAAGCCTCCTCCTCTTCGCAGCCGTCGCCCAAGGCTACGAAACCTTCCACATCCAATGCACCAGCCCTTCCACGACGGTCAACTTTGTCTCCTCTGCGGACAAGAGGGGAACCACGGATATTCTTTTCAGCTGCCTCTTTACGATCATTGCCTGCACATGGACAGTCCAGCATCTCAACGTTCCGGAGCAAAGAGAAGGTCGTGACCCGGGCTGGCTAGGCGACATCAAGTGGGCATCGAAACGAGCCTGGACAAGCACTAAATGGATGTTGTTCACTGTCCTCGCACCCGAATTCCTGCTCGCGAAGAGCGTCGCAGATCTAAGGGCAATTGATAGCACAATGGCTAAGTTTCGAAAGTTCGCTGCCGAAGATGGTGTTCCATGGACCAGGGTACATTCGCATTTTGCGAATATGGGAGGGTTCGTCCTTAGAGTCGGTGGCGATACTACGGAACCAAACGATGCCTCATCTATGTCTTACTCGAACCCTTACCACCTCGATGCTAGCAATATCTTAGCCTTGAGAGAAGCTGGTTTATTGACAAAACTACCATCGATTACTCAGGAGGAGATCAGCGATAAAAGCAAAAGCGACGGTCTTATTCGTGCGATCACTGTCGTCCAGATTGTTTGGATGATGGTTCAGATCATCGTTCGAGCTAGCAGAAACCTGACGATCTCACAGCTGGAGATTTCTGTCCTTGCTTTTGCATCATGTGCAATTGTGTTGTATGGGCTTAACTGGGAAAAGCCGAAGGGAGTTCAAGTGCCTTATGCCTTAATGACTTATGAAGGAGAAATTCCTCGCTCTTTTCTACCAGTTCTCCGAGAACAGAAACGGCCAAATTCGATAGTAAAAGACTTTGTTGACATACTCAATTTTGTTGAAGTAGATCTTGAAGACAACCAACTGGGAGCTCCAATACGGAATGATATAAGCTATTTTAATGCCGGTTACTCGACTAATTCTGATTATGTGGGGCTTCTGATAGGAAGCGTGATATTCGGCGCTATCCATCTTGCGGCATGGAATTTCGTGTTTCCCACTTCGATAGAGAAAACGATTTGGAGGATTGCAAGCACTTTTTGCACCTCGGGTATGTTTGTTTTATTTGGCAGCATCATGATGATACTCGGGGCTCTAGAGAGATTCGAAATATCCACATTTTTGACGGAGAGTTTCTTGAACCCCATCGTAGTACTGATATGCTTTGGATATGTACTTGCAAGGCTCTTCATGATAGTGGAAACATTTCGCACACTTTTCTTCCTTCCACCTTCTGCTTATATAGCCACATGGGCATCAAATGTACCACACATTGCCTGAGAAATGGCAAAGCAATAGCTTTAACGTTCTCAAAATGAATACTAGGAATTTGAAAGGAATTTTGAAAATTTCCCATCTCTTTATGATGCAACCTGTCCACCTGTCTCATATGCCTGCGCTCTTCTCTTCACCCCTTCCACGCTTCAGCTCTGATATCTACCTACCTTGACCAACAGCTTGGCCAGGTGTCTCTTTAGAGAATCTCAAGTCACATGGTCGACCAATGGGACAAGGGGCCTTATGCACGTTGTTTCATTCTCTGGGTCGTACACATCATTTACTTCAGATGTCTGCCGGAGATGGTCATTATGGAGAAGCATGAAGGGCATTTCAATGCCCCAGGACTCGAAAGTACAAATAATAGTTATGCTCAATGGAGACGTGGGGGGTGAAAATTGTGTTGTGAGATAGAATGTTTCCTAGCGTGCGCTCGAGATTTCTGGGGCCTCCGTAGCAGCTGCAATTGATGGCCACTCCCATTGAAGTAAATGGCAATATGCGATACACGATATCTAAATTTGATGATTCGAAATGATTGCCTCGCTATCTCTTCCATTTCTTTTGAAAGCTGAACAGCGCAGCCTTGTTCTCCGATGTCAGCGACGAGTCGAACTCGAAGTCATCGTTGCGCTCAAAAGCGGAATATGAGCCCAACCTGAGGACGATCCTCCTCACCTTGGGTCGGAAGCTCACCTGAGGGGCCAAGCCGACGAGAACAAAAGGCTTCTCGAAACGAGGCTGCTAGTCTTGGCAACAAGTATCGCGTCCACACCTCGCTCTCCGGCCCATTCCTCGGATCCTTCCATTTTGTAAAGAATATTAGGAGCCCATAGTCGGGGCAGCCCTTCTTGTCCAAACGGTACTCAGTGTAGCATTTTTACATCGCATCACCCAAAGTCGATGTTCTGTAAGCTCCTTCGAGAGGTGACATGCAGGCATATCATCTCACGAGGTGGGTCGTACACAAAGGTTGATTTCTGTTAAGCGTCACGCAGAGCATATGCAATCTGTAGTTGATGCTTCAGATTGCCTCGAACGACACGACTTTCTTTTCTAGACTGCTGCACATACTCTCCATGAACTCTCATCATTGCTGTCTTGGAGGATATCATCTTCAATAGTTCTTTACACTCTTGTCGTTGACGATGTCTTTTGCTAGCCATCTTGCAAGCAGTCATACCAAACCAGCGAGAGATATAGAAAGTGATATTTTTTCCTGTCCCGAGATGCACAGCAGGGAAATGGTAGACCCGCATACCGGTACCATATTCTGCTACAAGAGCCATATGTTACGCTATTGTATTTTGCAAGTCTTTCATATCGTGGAGCCTTCTGCAGGCGTGTCTGGTAACATAATTTGGCAGACCGACAGCCAGGAGTTCCGCAATGGTGTCTTTGGAGTTTATTGGTGCGTTCCGAGCAAGCGTTTGAGATCTATACCGGACAGGGTGAATGCCATGGCTGATTCTGGGGCAAGTAGCCCATGATGTATTTCAGGGTATCCACCGGAATATTGTGGCGAATGAATGATGACAGCGCTTCAGGTCTCTGGCGTTTTTGGAAACGGGAGAATAGTTGTCGAAGGGAATAAATTGGCCCTCTCCTTTGTTTGCGACCTAGTTTCACTCCTTGCTCCTGCTGCTTCTGCCTCGTGCTTTCCAAGCTTGCTCCTGCTCCTGTTCCGGCTCCTCGCTTTGTCTCCTTCCCTCTCTCTACCCTTACGTTCAACAGCGTTCGAAAAGGATTGGTTTATATGTGTTGCGGTGACAGTGGTCGATTTATGCGCGCAGCGTCTTGGTGCGATGGTAGCAGATGGTGAATATTGATGGCCTTGTAGATGATGGTGTATTTCGAGAACTCTAGCTATAAACTCTGACGGTGCAGGCTAGGCTGCTGTATGAAAAGCACAAATCTAAGGTATTGCTGGATGTTTGGTCGACTTACCTCAAGGACTTGCACAACCTAATAGAGATATTGCTGGTTGGTGTTGACTTTGATACCTGCCACAACTCTAGCTATGCGACATCGAAGTCTCTAGGTCCCAAACAATGCCCTAGAGAAGACCCCCGAGGTTTGGTCTTGATCACTAATTTGCCAAGAATTGATATGTTGGAGGCCAAACGTTGTGCTGTAAGTAAAGAATTAAATTTACAGCACTGAAAATTACCCCGCAACCTTACCCCGCACTCAGGGGCTCGCTAAACTTCCAGGGATGCACTCACCCCGTATGCCAGAGTGAATATCCATGCACGAGCAGATTTCGAGAATGTCGTTTAACTCAGAATTAGGTTCATGCTTTATCATCTTGGCCGTGAGGAGAGGTGGACCATATTCTCATTTTCTCATACTCTTGGACTACAATTGCAGTTTCTGATTTATAGTTGTGGTAAACCAGTACAGCTAGGAATATCTACTGCTTTCTCTAATCATTCCAATGCCTGATCTCCGACCGACTATTTACCAACATCTCAGTATCGTCATATTTAACTTTATCCACTTTGAAATCGCTCCGGACTTCTGCTATAATGCCCTTGTACTGACTCATCTGCAGCCGTGTTCTCTCCCTCGCTTTGTACCCAACGGTCCGGAACTTGACGAACCACGTTACAACCCAATATCCGTTCGCCAGTTGGGCAGCAATATATCCCGCCCATATGAGAGCCAAGAACTTCACGCCGACAGAAGCACTGAGCCCGGAGACATCGCTAAAGTTATTGATAACTCTGCTTACACTGACAGCAATAGTTGTTGATGTGATCGCTGCCATCTGTAACATTTGTGTGCTGAAAGTGGTAATTCCAGCGCCGGCTGTGTGAATCTTCGTTCCGTACTGAGGGGCGATGAATGCTGTTGCTGATAGGAATATCGACAAGCCGTTTCCGATTAGGCCGATGATGAAGACCGCGAGGACTATGGCGGATGCGACGTCGATGAGCGATTTTGCGGACTTTCCCATACCGGGAACTTTGCTTATAAATGGCACAGTGACATTTGCAGCCGCAATGAGTGTTGAATCTGAAACGTTGCTGGTCAAGTTTTGGATGACTGGAAAATAGTCAATTAGAGTCGAGGTAACGACAGATATAGGAGTGGTCGGAGAGAACTTACAACTGCTCCCACTGCTATAGCTTACACAGCGTGTTATGTTGAGAGCGGATGTTGCGTTTGTTGCGTTTGTGCTGAATACACTTCCCGAGCATATGCCAGACACGTGCATTGTGTAATATTGCTGGACCCCAAAAGATTGTTTTCCAGTAGTAACAAGGAGCGTGGTGATCCCCTGCAACGTGTCGCCCACTCCAGTGGCAAAAGCATTCAAGGTCAACTGGAAGAAAGAGCTGACGACCCCAATGGGAATAGCTGCTGGGTTTGCCGCCACGGCAGCCTGCGGGATAGTGAGGGTTGGTGCAGCTGAAGTTGTTGTATTCGAATTTGACGTTGCTGATTGGGTAATGTTCCTGCCTGGTGATGTCGAGATTGAAGGATCTGAGGTTGCTGGACTCATGATTGGGATGCTGTTTGCTGAATCTGGAGCCGAAGAATCGAGGATTATACCTGTGCTTGGTAGCCTTACTCCCAAAGCTTTTGTTTTTAATGATCCCGCTGAACGAACATCCCTGGCAGCGTTGGCAGCAGGCGTCACTGAAGTTGCTGGTGTCGCAGGGCTGAACTCCACCAGGTTTTGGCCAACGGAGGTTGTGTTAAACTGCGAATATTGCATTCAGTATGTAGCCCCCAAGGAACTAATGCATTGGAATTTATTGGAAAGGAGGAAATGGGAAGAGCAATTCGTTGTTAACTTACACTGAGAAGATACCCATCCGCGATCAAATTTGGGTTTGTGCCCGACAGAACCAGTATGAGAACGAGAGCAAAGGCGATTAAAGATGTAACGAAGGGGAACAGGGCCGAGGGCCGAAACCTCATTGATGACATTTTGGCCAGCCAAAAGTAAAGACTTCTCCCGTCGGATCGAGTTTAGGTATGAAAGGGAATGTGTAAATCAGTGAAGGACAGTTCTAAGCCAAGAGGCATAAAATGATACAAGTATAATGCAGAAGTAGAAGAACGACGTTTAAGGTACATCCTAACGGTCGATCTTGATGCTAAGGAAAGCGAGTGCGGGGGAGGGTAGCTCAAAACATTCGAAACATTTGAAACGGTTCGTATTCGCCTTCTGAAAGAACTCGCATCGGTGGTTCCCTCCCTTTGGTTAGTTATTCAACCTGACACATGTTGTGTTTGGAGAAGTGTGCGGGAGAACGGCCGTCGTGCTCGCATCGCTAAGCAGGCCCCACCCCGTGAATCGCGAAAAGGGGCGCCGTGGAAACTCACTATTGTTGTTGACCAACATATAATTCATAGCAAAATGTCTACTACACGCGGCCATAGGCCGAGAGGAATTGGGCTATCCCAACACTTTCAAAGGTAAACTGTTTGCAAGGCCTCGATTTGACGGGTGCTGCCTACTGGGTGGTGAGCCATAGATGTGTGGACAAGCCATTGAATTCAAGAAAAAACATTACAAACACAAGACCAAACAGGAGGAAATGATAGGAAAATGGAGAGACAAAATAGGACAGATTCCATCCCGTTCGGACAGACGCATCGGTGGTCCTCGATTATTGTTCGTGCTGCCCTCGGTATACAGGAATTCATTCCTTCGTGTCATCACACAACACTAACCTGACACCCCCTACCGATAGAGCCACTACAGCAATTCGGCCTTGTACCTCCACAGTCACTGCAACTTTCATCTTCCTCTATAGAGTCGCCGTCGCAGCTGTCTTCTGCTTTTGTTCCTCTATCGATTCGACCAATATGAGTCTGGTGTTGATACCCGAGTCAATTTGGTGGTGTGGGAAGAAAGCGTACTCTTGTTCACAACCAGGGAGGACAGCAAGGTGTGCATCCTGGCCGCCAACGCCGGTTCTTTTTGGATCTAGTTTGCGCTTCTTGCTCGGTGGATCTTTGGATGCATTTGTTTCCGCAGCCGGGGGAGGATGCAGGAATTTACAGCGCAATGCAAACTCTCCTGCTTCTGGAACCTTCTCGCAGAGTTCTTCCATAGCGAAGCAGAGAATGTGTCGAATTGCTTGATGGATAGATCCGAGCAGTTGTGGAGGTAAAGAGCTCGGGGGTTTGCGGTTTTCGCTGGTGGTAGAGGGTGCTGATTTGCACGCTACTTTGCTTGCCACCCTGGGGTTTGTCCCGAATGGTAGACATTGGCGCTGTTGCTTTTGTGAGTGCCCTTGTAATAAGATGAGGTCCAAATATAATCAATGCAAAAGAGCCCCACGAAAAAGACACAAGAGGAGGAAAACTTTCCTTCCATGAGAGGGAAAAAGAAGGGATTGACGTTTATGAAGCGCCAAGGGGGGGGGGCGCGCGAGGTGACGCGACGCGACGCGACGGGGCAAGCTTCGCGTTTGATCAAGTGATCACCCCCCTTCTAACAAACCAGCCATCCCGCCAACTCCTTTTCGTCCTCGCCAAATCTGGGTGAGAGACTGGGGGTGGAAAATCGAATATTGATTAACCCAAAATCCAGAACTCAATCAAAGACATCTCCCTCTTACGCTGGGAGCTGGAAATATGAAGAGCAGGTAGCCAAACAACAATTGTGCTCTTCCGCACTGGCGTCCAAAGTGGCAAAGACACCTTCCGATTTGACTGGACGAGAAAATCTCTGTGCGAAATTTGCCGCCACACGAACCTCCTGGCAATGGAGGACATGAGTTGAAACCGCTCACAGGCGTCGAATTCGTTCCTGCCAAATCAGAAGAGTCATTCATGCAAGAACCCAACGAGATAGACACCGATGTGTATCTAAAGTACGATCAAGTGCCCCGAACTCGCGACGAAACAGTTTTCCATCTTGCGGTACCACCACGTTCTGGTGAGGTCACGTGAGACATAAATAGGGGCGCTTGAGCCGCTGCTGAAGATTTCGTCTGCCGCATTTGCCGCCAAGCCGCGTCATTGTATACATCAGCTTAAAAAGTACTCCGGACTTTGAATACAGGTACTACTCCTTTCCTCTCCAAAGATTCCATCTGCACATCTATATGCCTCAACTACCCATCAAGCCCAACAAGAGCTGAGTCTTGGATGAAGCTGAGCTCAGAAGAAGACCGCCAAGATCACCGTTGCTTCATCCTTTGGCGGCTGCGCATGTCAGATGTGCCTTCCTACACATCAAATTTGGGACTCGCAATGCTTTCAAACTCACCTCGAACCAGACATACTGGATTTTGGTCTCATGCAACAATATTCTTATCTGAATTGGCTAAAAGAGTCGCGAATATAGGTGGGCACGTTCTTGCCTGAACGCCACCGGTGATTCCAGAGAGGATGAGGTCCCGAACTCGAATAATTGCTTCTGCTGTTATACTCCTAGTCATCATCTTCAGTTATTTTTCTTGGAAAGCGATCGAGACACAGGACACTCTGCCTAAGGGAGCCGGTCAAACCTTCCAACTAGACGAAACCTTCAAAACTCAGCTAGCCAAGCTACCCGAAGCCGTACAAGAATGGGTCCAGCGCCCGATCCTGCCCTACGATAAATCCGTGGCATTGAATAACAAGACCTGTCCGACGGAGGGAGTCAACTTCGATGAGGGTGCAGTCAAGGAGAATGAGCGGGCGTGGCGATATATAACACCGGCCAAGATATCAGACTGGCGCCAAGACATTGCAGAACACTTATACCGAAAACAAAAAGAGAAGCAAGAGAAGATGAGCCCGGAGACATCTCTCACAAAAGACGAACAAGGAAAAGAGTTCTCGGGGGGAAGAGGACTGGTGATGGCAGCAGGGGATCATGCTGCCGTTGTTCGTGCACGAACAAACATCCGGCTCCTGAGATCATACAACTGTACTCTTCCAGTCGAGATATTCCACTTTCCGAACGAGCTTTCAACACCGGAGATGAGCTTGCTCGAGGAGCTCTCATCTCTCAAGCAGCGTTCCGAGGACCAAGAGGATCAAAGCGGAATGAAAGTCACTGTCCAAGTTGTGGAAGGAGTTCGAAAAGGAGACGACTGGAAAGCATTCCATATCAAAGCGGCCGCCATCCAACAATCATCATTTGACGAAATTCTCTATCTGGACACGGACTCTTATACCCTCCGAAATCCGGAATACCTGTTCGAAAGCATGCAATGGAAAGAAACAGGGCTCATGCTTTGGCCGGATTACACAAAATCACATGCCACCAACCCCATCTGGCGTCTTTCAGGACAAAGTTGTCGGAGTGAATATGAAGGCGAATCTGGCCAGATCCTCATCTCGCGCACCCTTCACCAAGATCTGTTATGGATTGCCGAGTTTTTCGCCCTTGAGCACCATAAATTTTACGGCTTCCTGGGCGGTGACAGAGATTCGTTCAGAGCAGCTGCTCTTTTGTTAGGCAAGAAATGGACCGGGCCGGGAAGACTGAATGCCGCTGCAGGCGTTGTGCTGACAGACAATCCACAAGGAGGTGGACATACAATGCTCCAGGCAGATCCGGAGGGGAAATGGCTGTTCGTGCATGCGAATTTGATCAAGCATGCGAAATTCCATCGGCCGCTATGGTCTCGGATCCACAGGGCTGCGCAAGACAAGTTTGCCGCTGAGAGCACTTATGGGGATATTCATCCGCCGAACGATAAATTGGGAGACGGGGTGAAGTTGCGAGTTACATACAACCCTATGATGTCTACGATTATGTCCACTTTTGAGGGATATGATGAGGGCTTGGTTGTTGTAGAGGATTGGGATACCTATGAAGAACTGAAAGGATTTGAGGAGAAGTGGTTTGGATTTGGTGGAGTGCATTGAATGCCTTCCAAAGGATCTTGGCTCGTAAGAGGGGTTTGGAGAACAATGGCCAACGCCGCGGTCCTCCTGAAACGGATTTTTACGATCAATTCAAACGTGCGCTCAAAGAGCGCATGACCATTGTTTACAGGAGTCGGGCTGCGTTTCAGAGAGAAGGCTTTCATGATTGTGTTGGTTAGGCTTAGACTCCACAGTTGAAGTCCAATCGTAGCTCAAGCCGAACCGCGAGACATCGCCCTAAGAAATCTTCAAAATCCAAGGCAATCATGGGCACATAGCAACTGCTTTGGGCCATTGTGTCTCCTCAAATGTGGTTCACGTACCAAGTGTTGAGGAAGCGGCCCTCTGTAAGAAGAGGCGGCCATTGGTAAACTTCAGCCACTTCGGGTACTGCTCTGATACCTTTTCCTCTGTCATCTGAGCAAGGGATAAAGCAACCCCGGAGCAGAAGTTGCCAGCGAACTACTCGAAGAACGTGCTCGTGGCGCGGTTGGTCCCCTTTCCCGCGTTGACACGTTCAGGGCGTTTATCCCTGTACCCACGCCTCGGTGTCCATTTTTAGGGAGTGGCACCCCAAGTGTGGTCATCCGATCCCCAGCAGTGGCATATCTCCAGTTCTTTCTCCATAAACCGGGCGTCCTCTTCTTCCACAGCCGAACAGGGCGCCTAAGAGTGGCAAGGCATAATTACAAGTACGCAGATCAGTCTGCTTGCGCCCGCACGTAGGTGCGTCCTGTGAAGCCCAGGAAGCCAGGTCAAGCCAACAGTTTGGCTCTTGATCTGGGCAGAATCACAAACAAATGAGATGTTATTCTCCACTCTAAAATTGATGTGCTTCTGAATTAGCGTTCTGGAATCTTTATTCGCAACTTTGTATCGTGGTTCTGTTTGTATGCCCGTTTTGTGTTAGAATTATTACCCGACCTGTCTCGATTTTCGCTCGTTGGGCATCGCGAGGCTTGGAACATTCCCCTATCCTTCACCGATACTGGGATGAGGTTTCATCGACACGTCAACACTTCTGACACCCTCAATTTTGGCCCTAGAATTTTGCGGCATATGGAATGTCCTCGTTCCATTTGGAAGAGTGAGATCTAGAACTTACCATCAACCCAAGACCGTTGCTCTATCCATTACAGCCGCAAATGCTGAAAGCATTCGGCAAGATGGCTACCCAAGACACGATGGAGCCATTTACAGATAACAATACTGGTATTTCCACGTTTCATGGTGGGTCCGGGTTTGCACAATGGTAAGTAGGCTATGTTCGCCCTGGTGTAGAATGCTAACCTCTCGGTCATAGCCGAGGGATAGCCGCTTCCCATCTTGCGACGGATACTTGCAGCCTCGACCAAGATGACGGCCGCGATCGCAACGATTCGGGATTCGACGAGACAACAAACTCGCAAAGCTCGGAAACCTCGTTCGAAACACCGGAGAGTCCAGACGACGTAACGCGGACGCTGAAGCATACGGATATGAGGACTTTCGGCAGTGAGTTGCAAAAGGCAGCAAGGATAGCTTTCCCATGCGGCAATCGATCAAGATATTCGAGCGTCTATGTTTTGATGTTCTCATGGGAAAGTGAGGACTGGAGACTTCCCGTCAGTGAAGAAATTGCTGCTCTACGCAAAGTCTTTGAGGAGATCTATCATTATAAAGTTGAGGAGTTCAAGATTCCCGACCACCGAAGCCACAACAAAGTCAGCGCCAAAATCAATGACTTCATTGGGATCAACGATGACCAGTCGGACGATTTGAAAATAGTCTATTACGCAGGACATGCAAGGCTATCCAAGACGAAAGAGGTTGTATGGGCGAGGTGAGTCATGTATATTATTGGCACGACTATCTATCCAGCCATGTAGCAATACTGAACCTGACTATTGCCAATATCTTCAGGTCCTCGGAAACAACCGAAAAATGCTCCACGGTAACCTGGACTGGCATTCAGGCAGACCTTCAGCAAGCCCAAAGCGATGCATTGATACTGCTAGACTGTTGTTATGCTGGGGTTGTCGATGGTGGGGAAGGAAATGGAGTGACGGAACTCCTGGCTGCCTGCTCTTTCAACAGTGAAGCCAATGGCGTCGGTCATTATTCGTTCACCACAGCCCTCACGATCGAATTAAAGGCCATCAGCAAGAGAAAATCATTCACTATTGGTGAGCTGTATGCGAATATGTACCGCAGGACTCAATCACACATGGCCCGCGGGGTTCCTAACGAGCGGTACCCTCCACCAACGCACGTGCTATTGAGGACAGATGAAAAGTTGCACCGATGTATCCAACTTTCTGCGCATCGGGACTCGTACACGGAAGCTTCGACAGAGAAGCATGGAACTCGAGAAGGCCAAATTTCTTCCACTGAATCAAAACCCCAGAAATGGCCATTGGCGACAGGAATTCCAGTTTCTTCATCAACGAAAGATCCTTGCCCCAGCACGGATTGCGAACCTTCGGCACTCAATATGGGATCATCTAACCCCATTGGTCTGCAGCCAGAGGGCCACGCAATCACCTCTATGAACTCAGCTATGGGCGACGTAAACAGTAGATCACAGTGTCAAGATAGAGCTGGGGTTGTGGAGAAAGACTCTCTCGAAGACAAGCAAGCACTTCCAAGTCTTCCACATTGGCCGACAGAGAAAGATTCCGCCTGGCCATCAGACGCACCTCGAATGCTGTTGGCGGTCAGATTTACGGAAGAACTGTCCCAGAAAGACTTACAGCCAGACTTGTTTGTTGACTGGCTTCGAGCGATGCCTGCAAATATCGCAGAAGTCACTTGCGTTGAGGCGGGATTCAGATGTGATTCTACTCTCCTTCTGGTCTCGTTACCGATCTCCCTGTGGACATATCTCTCCAAGAATCCTGCTCTTATACCCATGGGCCGAGTCATGTCATCAAATCTGGTTATGCCCAGGTTGAAGAATGCCGATAGAATTGACTGCAGGGCTGGGGGTCCTCGCAGCCACCAGAACGTGGAGACAAAGATGGAAGAGGAGCATGGTCAAGGCAGATATTTTCTTACCAAAGACCCTGAGCACGGAAAGCTACCCCCGGATGCGTACCAAACCGAAGACAAAAACTGCCAAGGCACCCAGAATGTTCCAAACTCTCAATTGACAGCTGATCTTGAAGAGGATAGCGCACGAGCAGAGTCTGTAAGCTCCAATCAGCAAGAATCAATTTCGATCAAGGAAGTCAAGAAGGACAGGGTGACCGATACATATCACACTTCTCTGGAAGATCTTCAAGAAGACCTTTCTTCACAACAGTACAAGGATTTATCCAGCACCTCGAAGGATTCAGAAACAGTCCAACTGGCAATACAGAGTCCCGAAAGCTGCCACCAATCAGAGCTGGTAGATTGTGCTATTCCGAAGGTGGCACTTGGAACACGCCCATCGGAGATGGCGCGAGGGTCGCTGGATGCACCCGTAGCAACTTCGAATCAAGTCAATCGTGGTTTCCCCAGACCAGCTGCTAGCTCACCAGAGGGCCAAACCAAGCGGGCAGCAACCTCCATGGACTCGTCAGGGCGGCAGTCTTCCGAAAATTCACCTGATCAATCATTAGTGCCCCCAAGCACTGAAGTATCACAGACTGGCGCGTGCGTCACACTATCAAGCTCGAAGATACCACATTTAGACACCCACCTCATGAAATCGTGGTTGATCGACTGCGTAGATCAGCACTACGATTGCAGGAACGAATCAACTGGTTGGTATATACCCACAAGACTGATTGATGTTGGCTCCTCTTTGACTCCACCGCGGTTGCGGGCGGCAAGTGATGTCTCGGTGGGTGAGAGATACGCCACTTTGAGCTACTGCTGGGGCATGAAATCGTTCCATAGGCTCCGGTCTTCAAATTATGCCGCAATGCACCAAAAGATTCCCCTAGATGATCTTCCACGGACTTTTCGAGATGCTATTGTTGTTACGCGAATGCTAGACGTTCGCTATCTTTGGGTTGACAGTCTTTGCATAATCCAAGACTCACAAGAGGACTGGCAGAAAGAGGCTTCTCAGATGGGCTTCGTATACCAAAACGCTTATTTCACCATAGCTGCTGCGGCTGCCACAGACGCTTTTGATGGCTTATTCCAAAGGAGCGATCCGTGCGTCCAGCAACTGGCCTGGCCAAAGACTTCTGTCCAAGTATTCCGCCACCGCAATCACCTGCGACACGATAAGGAGCCTTCAGCGTCGATGCTAGCCCATCTGCCTCTTTTGAGAAGAGCATGGGTATTCCAGGAGATGGTCTTATCAACACGAACTGTGATGTTCAGTTCTGAGCAGATTTACTGGGAATGCCGCACGCTTTCTGCATGTGAAGACTTTCCGAACGGATATTGCGGTTCAAAACTAGATCGACTTCCCCCGAAGCCCTTGATTCGATCCTTGATCGCAACATCGGCTCGTCTCCTGGACCAGACAATATCGTGGCGCACCTGGACTAAACTTGTAATGGAATACAGTCGATGTTTGCTGACTTACCAATCGGATAGACTTATTGCAATCGCTGGTGTGGCTCAGGCAGCACACCGAGCGGTGGATAGTGATTATCTTGCCGGGTTATGGAAAAGGCATCTCTCTGCCGGCCTTCTTTGGTATGTGGCGCCCAACGAAGTCAAGCGGGGCGGAACCGGTCTACAATACGTGGCTCCGAGTTGGTCCTGGGCCAGTGCGACTGGCCCTGTCAATTGGTCCGATCACTCAGATACCCAGATCACCCCCCTTATCGAAGTTGTTTCTGCACATGTTGACCTCGCGGGTGCCAATCCATTCGGGCAAGTACGCGGGGGCAAACTTGTGCTCAAAGCATGCCTTGCTCGTGCTGAATGGGACCCCCTTTCCGGAAACCATTCAGTATGTATTGATACTGGAAATTCAACTGTTTCGCATCTGGATATATCTCTCCACTTCGATGTGGATTCTCCCGATAGCTTCGACGAAAATGCAATCCCCGTGGTCTACGTTTTACCAGTTCACAGATATTATATTCGCCCTTTTGGAGAAGACAGCCGCATGACTAGAGATAAGATGGGTGTTTTTTGTGGACTCATTCTCGAGCCCACAAGTAACGCAGGGGAATACCGTCGGTATGGATACTTCGAGACTTCAAGTCCAGATTTCGTAGAAGAAATCTGTCTGGGCTGTGAGCAGCTATTTGTGGGTGTTGAAAATCGAGGTTCGAAAGATGAAACGAGCCATCACAGTCTGATCGACCGATATTCAGTTCGACGACAGAAGCGTTACAAAGGAGCGAAGATGGATGGCTTCCCTCTAATAATAATTTCAATCATTTGACGTAAAGAGCTAGCAATACAATTGGCATTTACTCCTTTCAACGCTTACCAAACTGGTTACACTTGATCTCTGGAGTTCGATCTGCAAATCTGGTTTGCAGCACTATTCGGGTATTGCTCAATTCCTATGAGTAGTGATATTTCCGCGCCATTCACCAAACCAATGGTACCATTGTTTAAGCAGAGAGCTCAAAATATACTTTTCTCCGCTAATATGTGAAGTTCGATTGCCCCATTCGCGATTCAGGGGTGTGGCTAGCGAGGGCATTTCAGGAGCCACAGCGCTGCAGCATCGTCCTTAATGCAGAACCTGAATCAAATCACCACACACCCGACGCCTGAATTTTCCTTTGGGCGTGGCTGCCTTCGAATGTGTCATCTGAGCCCTCCAAATCTTCCATTCCATCCATTCATCTCCTTCCTCCTCCTTTTGTCCGCTGTCTCTCAGCCGATTGAATACGACGACCACCACTGCTTCTCCCCTTCTCATCTTCTCTCATATTTTCTCCTCTATCTCTTCCATCTCTTTTCTTCTCCATCGCGCCGATAACTCCGCTGGCTGCCACTCCCGCCAAACCGCCCGCCGCAATCCCAAGTAGGGTCAGCACCACTGACTCAGTCTTCCCTGATCCGTTCCCTCCTCCACTTCCTGATTTCGCGGTATATCTTCCTCTATCGTTACTAAGACTTCTCCTTCTTTTCCTCCTCTTCTCCCCTCCCTTCTCTCTATCTCTTTCTCTTTCTCTGACTCCTCCCGGCTGCGAACTACTCCGCCTTGCCAACCACTCCCGCCTTCGCATTCCCCTACTATCTTGAGGATCTGGACCTAGTCTCTTCGGAGTCGGTGGCGAGTATCCATACCCGTAGCCGTCCGGAGCTGAGTATTCATGCCCGTACCCACTCGCGTCCGACGGCCTGCTCATTCTTTGATGTTGGTATGACTCCCTGGGCCTTGGATCGTGTGCGACATCACCGCCACTGGCAGAACTTTCCCCCTCCTCGTCCCTCCTCCTCTCCCCACTTCCACGTGCTCGACAATGAGGATGGTACGTATGCTTGTCAACAAGCTTATCTGGTACCTTGTGAAAATGTTTGTCGACCAATTTATCAATTCCCTCGATGCCCAACTCGATGATGTCTTCTGCCATTATTTATGTCTCTTTTTTGCCTCCCGTTCCTCTGTGGGGTTGCGTTCCGTTCGCTCTCTTGTTGCGAAGTGCTGGAAGTGAAAATTTGAGTTTCGAGTTTCGCTTGACGGCGATATAAATTGGACGAGAAGCTCAAGACAAAAGGATATTTCATCCAGATTCTTGGAGGAGATTTCCAATTTCTGTCCTGCAGTGATGGTTGCTGCTGGCTAACTTCCTTTGGCTTGGCTTCTGTCATCGCGCGTTAGTTCTCGGGTGGGACAGCTGGGCCACCCCGCCCATCACCCTTCAAAAGAGAGGGGTGCAGAACAACTCTAGACTCCTTACATGTACTTTTAGGTAAGATAGCATGTCCTCACTGAATGAGGCTCGTATGTCACTTTCTTCAAGCGAACTTGTCGGCTCAAATCACGTGATTTTCTCATGTGGTGCCGGGAGGAACCTTAGTAGTTCTAGGTCTGCACCTAACGCTCCTAAAATTCACACAAACCTTCCCTTAGATATTCAAATCCTCAAGCCTTTAGATTTCTTATATTCCTCAAAAGCGGTCAGTATCGTTTAGCTCTGTTCCTCTTCGTTTTATCGATCACCGAAGGCACCCTTTCCTTCAACCAACGAGCAACAAAGTAATACCCCACCAAGGGAGGTCATCAAAATGCCTAGCAGGTTTACCAGTAGCCTCCTCGGTGGTGTCAAGGCATGCGCCAGTCCTCAGACAACCAAAGACAGCCTTCTGAACCCCGTCCAAAGGCACGACCGTCTGCCTCCACGCGTGGGACCGCGGCCACGGCACGGGATGGGACAGGGCGCTTCTGCCTCACATCCGGGATTCTGCACTCTCGATTGGCGTGCGTTTACCGGAAAAGCGGCAGTGATAAAATCCGCTTCCCAGATCTAAGGTACGAACTACGATCTCTCAAATCTGGGTCTGACGCATCGTGCAGCAGCGTAGGCGGGCCCCGCAATTAAAAGGGGTTACGCTCTTGGATATCTTCAATAGAGGCTGCGGCCACTCCGCGTCGTTGATGTATATTATCCTCGCTGAAATCTATAAGAAGAACTGTCCGATGTTTACTGCCGTTTATGGAACAGGTGGATAGTATCGCTCATCATTGTAAACCTCTTTAGATCTAAGTTTTTTTTCTTATAATCTAAGTTTCATGAGTAAAGCTACTCGATATTGTTTCGGTTATAGTCAAGAAAGTTTCAAACGGATATATAGTATGAAGAGGTGGGGGGGGGGGGTTCGAAGATATCTTGCGATTGGAAGGAGCCAAGTCCAAATAGGCTCGGTAATCGTCGGCTCGGAAAGCATCGGGGAACCTCGCTAAAAATTTGTAAGGCTTATTATTTGAAATAAGCTGAAACATCTTCAACAAGGACAGATGGCCGAGCTGGTTATGGCGGTAAGCAGCAATCGTCATCTCAACATTCAACCGTGCTAATTCAAATTCCAGCCAGGTTAAGGTGATCCCTTAGCACAATTTCCTGGTCACGAAAGTGGCGTGGGTTCGAGTCCCACTCTGTTCATATTTTTTTTGGTTGCAATTCTCTTTTATTTTGGTTCGCGAAACCAAGTTCCCAGACTTCGGAGAATTGGGCATCCCGTCCGCCTGCCCACACAAGTCTCAAATTAGCAAACTAGCAGTTGGCTGGGTGAGCACCAGCGAATACCTGATATTGTATGTTTTTCCTTTCTAATCTTCTCTTTATCTTTGCCCATTTTTGAACAAGTATTCTTCTAATCGATGTTCTGCAAGTTGATAGAAGCAGACGGTCTTTTGCTTGTCTAATAGAAACTGGTATTGTGTGGCAGCAGTCCGACTATCCGCAGGAGCCTCCGCAGTCGTCAATTCTGACCAACACACATTTGTTTACAAAACTATCCTTTGATGAAAAGTATTCTAGCCGACGCCACACCTAGTTACTCCTATTTCTAATGTTGACGGAATGCTGACTGGTTTGTTTCGAAGTGGATGAGGACATTCACCCCCTCGTGACTTTGATTGCTTGCACTTCTTTTCGAGCTGCGACTGGGATGACTTCTCGAAATTGATCTCATCTAGTAACTTAAGTTCCAAGGTTGTTTCTAGAAGATATAGCTACAGATGCGCTTTGATTTTATCAAATGTCGTCTGTTGAGCTCCACTTTGTGTCAAGTTTTGGCCGATAATCATTGCGTGGAAAAGGGCTGGCTTAGCGATAGTTGTTTCCTTCCTCAACTTTTCGCAATCAGGATTTTAAAGTTAAGCTTTCATAACTTCATGCCATACCTGGCGTCTACCAGGACCACCAGCACTATCACGCCATAAGAGTGTTGTCAAGACGTCCTCAGCACAGTTCCAGTCAAGCTTCAAGCTCTCCATACCCACAAGTGAAATCTGTGACACAAACCAATATCTCTCAGGCTTACCCAAAAACGCAATCCCTCCAAGCACAAGCATCCACAGCAGCGTCTCCAAGAACTCCGCACCGCAGCTCTCAATATGCCATTACATACCTGTCTTGCGGTGGGGATTATGCGTCCCTCGCTCGCTCGAAGTCCCAGACCGATAGAATCGATCTTCAATCCCCATGCTTTGCAGTAGGACCCCTGATGTCCACCAAGAAATGGGGTTTGAGAGGGAGAGTTTCGGTATTTGCAACCTTAGGAGAAGACGCCATGGCGGGGATTCCTCCATTGGATATATCGTTGCCGTATGGAATATGGTTGCTCTCGAAGCTAACTAGCATTTGACTTTCGAGAAAAGCTATCAGGCAAGAGCTATGATGGGATGGAAATTGAGGTGTCAACATCTTCAATCCCGTTAACTCTGTCGTCCATCCAGTCTTGTGCTTCTGCCTGAAACTCCTCGCAGCATGAGTCCTCGCATGCGAGTGAACCCCCTGACGATTCACAACTTTATTCTCCTGCAAGTTGTCTGCCTCGTTCACAAACAGCAATTTCGTTGACGTTATAGGACTGGTTATGATGAGGCTAATTCGCTTCCAGAAAACTCTGCAATATCGATGGCTCTCGAGCAGCGCCTTACTTTCTGCTTTGGGAAGTTGTGGCGGCAATAACGTATTACTAAATCTTCTCCTTGTAACTACGTTTGAAGCAGTCGAATTGTGGGAGACGAGAGATGCATATAGCTGCAACGTCAGGATTGTGGCACAATAGGTGATTTTTCTGAGTCCATAGGTGGGTTCCTTGCCTCACATAAAAAAGCTTGCCAACTGCTCCTTTGAAAGTTAAGATGCTCTTCCCTCACGTCCTAAATTTGGTTTTGTGCTTACCGACTCGGAAATAAGAAGGCAGTGCTGGGGCGAATGGGGCCATGGCTTGACCTGCCTGCCAATTTGTCCTTGCCAACTAGAATTCAACTTTTGGGAGTGGCCATTTGGCGAATGAGGTCACGGCTCGACAAAGTACGACAAATTGCGGTGAGAAAATGCTGCATGCTGCTGCTGTTTTCAGCAAATCCCATCTGGTTCTCAAATCCTTGCCCAATCAACAGCTTCACCTCAGGCTCTCATAAATCATGAGAAAAGCTACCGTAAGTGGGATGATAAAGACTTGGCTTCCATGGTATCAAACGAGAGAGACTACATCTACCTCGCTGGAGCGATTTTAAGACCTCTGAAAGTATGTCCAGCGCGTAAACAGCCGATGACGGAGACTATTACATACCTCTAGATGCAGTTCTGAGGTTGCAGTACCTGTAAATAACTGTATTGAGTGAGCGGACGCAGCAACATACCTTTAAGAGGTAACAGCAGGGTATCACTGCATCCGGAATGCCACTTTTCTGGTGCATCTAGAGTAAACAGCTACGGCAATCCTTTCCCAGCTCCGGAGATACTTCTTCTCAGAGTTGCACAAATTCCATGTTACAATAAAAAGTTGTCGGAGCCAATATATGATAGAGGAGAAGCGAAAAGGCAGCGCCTCATCTGAACGAGTGTCGTGGGAACGACCAGACCAGAACGCAGCGAAGAGACAGCATGATATTGTGAATTTTAACGTCCGTAGACGGGCTATCAGGTGCTATCCAACCACACACAACAACCAAACAAAATAACATGGGTATTTTTGTTTCCGTTGACAGGCTATGAGGCAGCCACCCAAACGCCAGAACGCCCGCTGAAGCTGAACGACCACGATTACCAACCACTACTCTATCTCTCGACCCTGATCGCCATGTCGAAACAAACGCCGAGGCGACCTGAAGTTTAGCCACTTTCCGCTCTTCTTATCTTTCCCCCCTCTCACCTCATCCCCTTTCCCCTCCGCGCCCTTGACCTTTCCTTTCCAAAATTTTGCCCACTTTCCCCTACTCTCCGTCTCCATCTCCTCCTTCATCTTTTATTTCCCTTTCCTATCTTTCTTCGACTCTTCCCCATCCCAGACCGCGGGGTGGGCACCGAGCCCCACCATCATTGGTGGAGGCAATGAGGTATGGCGAGAACGAGAACTAGTAGTTCCAACCTGAGGGGCAGGGCTTGCAACCATGTTTTCTGGAGCAATGGGTGGAGGGGCACAACTAATCTCACAGTGACGGGTATCATTCCCGTTTGCAAAATTGAACTCGTCAATTGCAGCTTGTCCCTACTCCCCGAGTTCTGGCCCATGACGGCGTATCTCACTCAATCTATCAAGAGAATCGAGAGACGACAACTGGACGGAAGATCCGTCTTTCTTACTCCGAATCGCCAAAATGCCATCCATTGAGGAATTCGAATCTGAGTATTTGCTATTGCTGTACGTCACTAGCGGTTGTAGTACCTGAAGAGAGGACATTCTCTTTGAAATCCCATCCGTTCTGAGCCATTGGTGCTCAACAGAATCGTGAGACGATCTGATAAAGAACCCTTCCGGATTTGCTATGATTGCCATGACGTCGTTCACAGAAGCGAAGGAGCGCTAAACGTTTGACCTAAACAGAAAGAGAGTAAAATTTTAGTAGCCAATCAGTGAGGAAGGTACCCCAATTTATTGACATAGATGAGTGATTCTTTCAGTCATGCAGAGGGGAAAGAAAGCTTCGACAAGGGCAAAGGCGAAGGGAAGCAACGCGGAAATGCAGCTGAGTGGACAAAGACCGTGGAGCCAACCGTTGGCTGACGAAAGGTCAGAAAAGACTCGATAAGACCAAAGATGCGACAAGATTGAATATGACAAGTAAGAAATGGGAAATAAGCAAGCAATGGAGAACTGCGTTGGTGGTTGTTGGAGCAGAGAACATTTTGATGCAGAAGCAAGCTCAGGATCGGCCGGCACCAAACATGTGATAAAGAATCACGGAAGGGATTTGGGACTTGAAGATTGGGGGAGCCTGGCTTGCTGCGAGATAGTCTGTGAATGCTGTCAAGGGAGAACTGGGAAGAATTCAAGCAGGGTTCCTCTAAATTGCAATACCGGTATCTTCAACCTTAGTGCGCCCGATATTGTCAGAAATATGTTCAAAGTTCCATCAAACCACCTCAACATTAAATCCAAAGCTGGGTTGATGAAACATAACTCCGGTCACTGATTTTGCAACTTCACACCCAGAAACCGAAGGAAGTGAAGTCAGCCCCTCGCTTCGAACCCCTATCTCATCCTAGCTTCTCACCTGACCCCACCATTCCTAATCCGTCACCGCCTTCCCTCAACCTCCATTCTGCCCCTCCCATCCCATTCCCCTTCCCCCAGCACCAAACCCCCACCATGCCCGCAGACGAATACTCCTCCGTAGTCCGCGGCGGGCTAAAACTAAAAGGCTCAGCTCCCTCCGGTGTCTCGAAGAAGAAAAAGAAAGACAAGAAGCCGAAAGCTGCGGACGGAGAGAGCGAGAGCAAGAAAGATGCGCTGAGGAAGGCGCTTGAGGATGAAGATTCTGCGATTGTGAAGGCGAGAGCTAAAGGTGAAGGGGAAGGGGAGGAGGAAGGTGATAGGGAGCTAGAGGAACGAGGTAACGATGGCAAGACGGCGAGTGAGAGGGCTTATGAGGAGATGCGGCGCAAGAGGGTGAGCAGCTCTCTTCTTTCTTTTTCCTTGATCTGAGCGGAATGGGTTGAGGGGAAGGGGTGGGGAGGCGGGAGGCTAATAGGGAACAGTTACATGAGCGCTTGCAGAAAGAGGGCGTCAGGACGCATAAGGAGAAGGTGGAGGAGTTGAATAAGTACTTATCGAATCTGAGCGAGCATCATGATATGTATGTCCCCTTCCTCGAGAACGAGCTGTTGGAGATGAGATGGAGATGGCTAACGACTTTGGGGATTATAGGCCGAGGATTGGGCCGGGATAATACGAATTGTTTGCAGGAGGGATACGGAAGGGGAGGATGCTAGAAGTGGGGATGGCTTTGGGATTTGGAATCGCATACGAGGGTATTACGAGCGGAGGCATATTTGGCCAAGAAAGCCATCTTATAAAATCAATGGAAATCTTGTCGTGCAGGAAAGAGTCCGTATCAAGAGGGCCTATCCAACGCGAGATCGCGGACCCAGCAATCCCGCCCCTCGAAATATTTCGTTCCCTTCTCAACTTGAACTCTACCCTTTACAACCGTGTAGCTTTGATTCTCCAACTTTGTACAGTCTACGTCCTCTTAAACTCACCTCTCCACATCAAGTCCTCTCTTGCTACTCCATTGCCTCTCTGGAACATGAGCTAGTAAGCCAGCTCAGGTTGCTTCCAACCAATTGACCTCCCCTCCTGTACTTTTTTTCTCTGCTGGTGCATAGCGTAATCCACAAGCGAAGAACGATTTCAAAAGACGGTCAACCTGCATGTCTCAAGAATGCGCCACTCTAGGTCTCAGTATCCCGTGCCAGGTGGCAGTTCAGGTGACGCGTACCGGACTGAGACATTAGATCTTCACCTCAAGTGGCTTGGACCCCGAAAATCTTGAAAATCCCCAGCCGACCTTTTCTCGAGGAAATGGAGAGGGAACTCAGCAGGGTTGCAGATGTTGAAGCTGGAATTACTGTACCATTATTCTGTACGCAGGTACAATGTTTCTTGCATGGGACCAGAGGGACATGAAGGCAGTGGTGTGAGGACGCTGCTCGTACTGCGGAGAATTTCCTCCAGAATCGTACTTGAGTTTGAGAGGCGAACATCAAGTCGGGCCTTAGCACTGGAGACCAAATGCGCAGATCAGCAGTCAGCTTCTGTGAATTCATGCATCTCGTGAACTCTGCCCTCTCACGGACTCTCGGGACCAGGCCGAGATAGCAATCCATACACCCCGGAGGCGATCCCGGAAGGCAGCTGGGCCCTTTAGACCAGTCAGCCTTAGGAGAGTTCCAAAGAGGAGGCGGATATTGTTTTTCTACAACATTGTGTCTGCACGGAGGGTGGCAGCAAAAGCATCACAGGGATGAAATCATCCCACGATCTTCTCACAGCCTCCCCCCCAACTTCGTATCGGGCGATTTCCTGTCTTGAAACCTTTGTGATTGGCCTTTCCTCAACCAATCCGGCGGTTTAAGAAATGTGATTGGAGGATGGTGGGATGGGTTGAGGTGAGGCAACGGAACGAACATGCACAAATCTATTCATAGTAGCAGTGAGAAGCACATCGTCGCTAGAACGAACAGGGGCCATTGCAGAAGTGGATACCCCGCCAGGACGACTTGTGCATGCACGCTGATCTGGAACTTGATTTGGAAGTTTGTTCTCTGGAAACCCTGCATTGGAATGTGGCGAGTACGTTTCATGTTTTGACGGCATGTTACTCGAGGATGTTTTGTTGACGGGGGTTTGGAAAGATTGGTCCAAGGACACCACAGAAAGAAATTCTTCGTGTGACGTAGGGATAAGAACCGTGATAAGCTTTTCGCTTGGACGTTTGGAAAGTTCGGTGGCTGGGATGAGTCTGTCAACGAGAAATCGGAACAGCCGGGGTGTGAGCTGCGAGCTGCGAGCTGCGAGCTGTGAGCTATGAACTGTGAACTGTGAACTGTGTAGAAAACCATTTGATATTTCGTAATCTGCACTGCGACAAAATTGAGGCTTGAAGATGCGATCTGCGGAGGAACATGTGAGAACACGCAAAGAGATCGGTACAAAAGGGTACAGTACGTGTACGAAGCAGTGAGGAAGTGAGTAAGCTACCGGAGTGGAGCAGCGCGCGCTGACGAAAGACTGGAGGGAGGGGGGGCTGTTCGCGGTGAGGTGGCAGGGGTGAGCTTGGATGCGAAATATCCAAAAGCCCATCGATCAATTGGCATCAATTGCCACAAAAAGTATCAGCGGGTGTCTGTCTGTGTCTGCTTACTGCTGGATGTTGTTGGTGAATAAACATGTCTATTCTGCTAGCAACTATCTTCAACGTCCAAGAACAGGAATCTTGGAGCATGCTTGGCTGCGTGAAAAGATGGCCTTGCTTCGTTAAGCTGTTCGAAGCCGCTTCTTGGTGTTGGAAATAGCGCCTCTTGAGCAGCGACAGCGTGGTGGCTAGCCTCTGCTCCAGAAAATAAATCCCAGCAGTCGCCGCATGCTAAGACCACTCCACTCACCTGTTGCGTAGTTCTCGTATTCAACAAGTACAAGAAACGCCGTCTGTTTCTTCGAGAGACATGTCCAAACCCGCTCTCCGCTGATTCACTCCTCGGTCCGCAGCTTCTGAATCCTGCTTCATCTCACCCATTTGTTTCCCAGCAGGAACAGGAAATCTCGGCAGTTGTGTGCCACCGCCTGACAGCGAAGCGCTCTGGTAAGTGCAAGGTTTTCTGACATCGTGAAGCTCGAAGTTGGAACTGCGGAGGCAAAAAGCGAGGTTGCTGCACGCACATGGGTTGGCCCCTGTCTGCTGGCGCACGTCACTCTGGTCGGCCCAGCTCCCCTCAGTTTGCTCTTGCTCTGCCCAGCCACCACAACCACCTCAATCACCTCCGCCTGCACCTGCACCTCAGTCCACCACGCAAGCGCAACCCAACCCCAAGCCGCGGACATGAGCAAGAGGGCAGCCAGCGTTAGCTGACCTCTTCTTTCTCTCTCTCTCCCTCCCACGCCCAATCGCCCTCCTCCTCCAACCTCTCTCCCCCGACACTTGCGTGCATATCTGGCTCTGCCATCGTCACTCGTTCATTCGTGCACCTCAGCTGGGTCGCCTCATTGAAGGGCCCCACCCTCTTTCTCTGCTCCATTCACAACCCTCGAACCAAGACTCCCTTGGCCACCTTTTTGGTTAGAACAACAAGATGCATCCAGCTAATGTCGAAAAGATCGAGGCTCCCCAGAAAGCTACTCTTCTTCCGACTACAACTCCACGGGACCACGAGAAGCAATCTCTGAATCTTGCGGAGGCCAATTCTCAGCCGAACAATATGCCACGGATTCAGCGCCTATGTTTCACCCTACTCATCATCCTCGCCCTCCTCGGTCTCACGGTTGTGTCTGCTGGCTCGAGTCAACAAGGCCGTGCCATATCGGACGCCATTGCTCAAGAGAAGCTGCGGTTCCAACAACTGCTCAATTCGGTCGAGCCCAGCTCCCTTCACGAGGTCTTGCATACCCATATGAAGGACAGGTACCAGCACGGTGTCTATCAGGAGGACAAGCATGCAATGGAGGTTGTTCATCAAGAAAATGCAGCAGTGGCACACAGCCTGCTCGAGTTGGCCAAGAGACAAACTGGAGGAAACAGCACCACGGTTATAGTTACAACGACTAACTCTGCTGTTACGGAAACTACGACAACAGCTGCACAGACAGCTGCACCTACTAAAACCTCGGACAGCTCTCCACCTCCATCAACATCGCACTCAAGCCAACATGCGGATTCTACGACGACATCTTCTCAAGATCAACAAACGTCCTCGTCTCCTGACCAATCCACAAAATCGGCACTGATTCCATCGACAAATGGTACGTTTCTCGGCGGCCCGGCTGCCTATCCCTTTGCTCCTCCTGCTTCTCCTGTTTCTTCGTCAGAGTCAGAGTCTTCTCCAAGCCTTCTCTCTCCATCAACGAATATTCCAGTTCAGAACAGCAGCATTTTAGCTACTGCGGCGGCGTCGTCTTTTGCTCCTTCGCCGTCAGCATATCAGTTTGTCCAGAGCTCTGTATCTTCTTCAGCCATGTTTACGCCCTCGGTCCTAAACAGCAGCTCGATCGTTTCGACGTCTTCAATCGTCCCAACGACCTCTGCTAGACCTACTACTGCATACGTTTTGAATAGCAGCTCGGTCGTTTCGACGCCTTCAATCGTCCCAACTTCACCGACTGCGCCTCCTTCTATTCTGAACAGCAGCTCTTCCAATTCCGAATCTCTTTCAATGATGACTACTTCATGTATTCTAAACAGCAGCTCAATTATCTCTCCTACTACTCCTCCTTATCCTATTCCGTCAAGCAATTCCTCGAGTTCAATATTACCTTCGGGCTATCTTAACTGTTCTTCAGGCGTTATTCCTCCTATGTCCTCTCTCTCATCAGGCTCTCCCTCTGCGGGCTCTGCTTCGGGCACGCAGGGTCATTCTCTCTCTCCTAGCTCTGCATCTTCATGAGACAAACTGCTAACGGAGCCACAGTCAAATCTACACCTTCCGACAAAGCCACACCGGATGCTTCCCGCTCTATCACGCAGCAGATACTCTACACGTCCACTCTACCGGGGGGTGGCGTGACCACAATCACCAGCCTTACGGTCGTGCCTGCCGACCAAGCTCAGACAGCTGGCGGAAGCTCAACAAATACTGGAAAAGCGAGCTTGCAGACCAACTCCGCCAACTCCGCAAAAGCCTTCGCCATCAACGGTATGCTAGGAGCTTTGGGTTTGGTTGTGGTTGCCGGTGCGTTATAACGAAGGAGTGAAAAGTTTTCATTTCTCTCATTTCTCACGGTTCAGAAAGAACAGCAGGCATACATACGGCGTTTGGGCACTGCATAGCGTTTGGCGCATTTGGTCATGGTCTCGATATTAACTAATGTCTCTCCTTTTGTCGATACGACACGACCTTACGGCCTGCTGTGCAAACGAAGCGAATTTTCATAGATGGGGTGGACAGATTGCTTGCAAGGTTGGGAATCTCGAGATTCTCGACGATGAGTTCTGGGTTGAGGTGAGAAGTGACTGCATCTTGTTAGGGAGGTAGCGATGAGATGATGAATAATGAGGCGAGATGAAATGGGGAAGACATAATCATGCTTGCTTGTTTGCTTGCAGCATCGGCTACTTTATAGATGGTCGATAATGATTGGAGGAAGTAGAATATGAAGGAACAGGAATACAGAAAATGTTTACGCCTCACATTCCTTCCTGTTTCTTCTTCGAGTATTTCGTTATTGGCTTATGTATTCACTTATGGTATTGTGGGCCTTCTATTGTTGGACTGATACCTGTCACCGCCTTATGGCCTTTCTGCTTAGTTGTAGTCGACGAGTATGAGATTGTCTTTGGTTGGGAAGAAAAGCTGGCTCGCTTAGAAAGGGGCATAACAGTCTCGAGGCATCCAGGACCCGAAGCACTTGTCGCTCTCTCTTTATTACATTGGTGCCTCATTTCATTGAAAACCTTGACCGCGAATCGCGATGATGAAATGTCACATGCGGACATGCTCGTATTAGGAGAGTAGGTGAACCCACATCTAGCATTTCCTCAATCACCGGATTCCCGGAACATCTGTACCTCTATCAGTCGTCTCCCAATGTTACCGCTATCACCAATATCTACACCATTACCCACACAACGTCTAAAGAACCACCAAGAATTTACCCGCCAATTTCAACACCTCCCCTGGAATCTCCCCCAACCTCTACCAACATCTTCACAAAGGCCCTGCACCGCTGTATCCTTTAGGCAGCTACAGTGGCCTTTGCCACCTGTAGCTTACCTAAACTTCCGAGCCTTTATGCACCTATAATGCAACACGAGCAACAGCACTAGGCACCAGCGCTTCTAACGACCTCTATATTCTTCGGCTACGCTTACATTGGCTCTTGGTGTTGCTATACTTCCTGACGAAGCTCTAAGAATCGTCGCAAGTACAATAGCTAAAAGCAACCACGGTGTGTGCCAATAGAGAAGAAGTATAAAAACGTGTCCGGCATAGCTAATGTTTTGACCATGGTGCCATGAAACGGGTATGTCCTCAATGCTTACAGTTAAACCCCGTATCGGGCGAGGAACCCTGGAGTCATGTTGCTATGGGCTCTCTTGACGCCATTTCGCACCGGAATGGCTGCCCAGTGTGCCCACTGGTACTGCAGATGGTATAACATCAGGAAACGAAACAGGGTCGCAGCTAATCACACAAACAACTAATGTTAAATTTAATGTCTATGTTGAATAGGCCTTCTTATGCAAGCTAACTAAAATGAAATGAAATAAAATTCTTACGACAATGAAAACAGGTATGCTATGAGTAATCCTATAAGAATGCAACGATAGACTTGTGCTCATTTTTATCTCTCTCCCTTCTTCTTTACATCCCTTGTCACACAATGGCATAGCTGTGCTAAATGCCCCTTCCCTTATACCGGGTCTAGTCTGTAGCACTGACGTCGTTAAAGGACCAACTCGTGACAGGCACATATGCTCCGGCAAGGGTGCAAGTCGGGTCGGTGACCATTCCGACGATATAACACGATGATGCCGATCCCCAGACCGAAGCAGTAAACTTGACAACGATTTCGGCCGTGCCTGTATATCCCGAAAGTGTGAAGTCCGTATTGCCATTAACCAGGTAAGGGGTTCCGGAAGTGTCCGCCTCAAGTGAAGTAACCACCCATGAGTCCGAGAGATCAGGGCAATACCATTCGTCCATAACAAAGGAGGAGACGGACTGGGCTGTCTTTGTTACATGGAATTCCAGCGTCCAGAAGGCGGAAGTAAGAATATTAGACCCTAGGCCCACGAGGAGTTTCCGACGATTAGATGGCGAAGTGAGGCCAGACTGCCTTTTTGTGCCGCGGGCGTTAAGATCGCTGTCGTCGCGGAGTAATAACGCAGATGGAGTAGGGTCCCTTTCCACGAGGTCAGGCTCAGTGCGCACGACAACGCCAAGTCCTTTGTTGTCGACAGAGGTGCTTTGAAGCGTAGAGCGGACCGCTATAGTTCCAACATCATCCCGTGCGGAGATGCGCAACGACTTGTCGGATTCGGCACGGATCTCGTGACGGGGTAGGGTTGAAGTAGAGGCAAATCCGATAAGAAAGAGAAGTAAGAACTGTCTAAGAGGAGCCATTGCAGGGCGGGTCTTAATCTGTGAGGCGGATTTAATCTCAGAGAATAGATTATAGAAGTTAATGAAATACAATATTATTTAGCAGTTTGTATTGTTCTTATTTAACTATTAATACTTATTAGTTCGAAGATATAGTCTTCTTTTAATTTAATTACTTTTTTCTCTCTCTTTATATTATTACTTCTTTAATTAATTACTTCTCGTATTTTTTATTTTATTTATTTTATATAAAACTTTAAAATACGAAAATCTTTTAAGATTTTAAAATTAAGTACTATACTATTATATTATAATTTTTTAAAAATAAAAAATAAAAATAAAAGCTAATTTTGAACTTTATTAAAGTATAAAGTTACTAGACTTATAAACTTGAATATAAGATATATAATAAATAAGAATTGGCTTTACTTTATAATAATTATTAATAATACCTTAAAAGTATAAGAAAATAAAAATATATAACTATAAATATTTAAAAATAAATCTTATTAAAATTAATTAATTTGTCTTTTATTATTTTATAGTACTTATAAAAATAAAGTAAAGCAAGTAAAGAAGAAATACTAGCTATAAAGCCTATTATAGTAAGGCGGTATCTGAACCAGGATAGAATAAATCATATTTTACGCCATAATATCTGAGCCTTTCTAGAGTCACGTGAAATATCACGTGCCCAATTAATTAATTATATTTAATTGAATTAAATAATTAATTAATTGTAGTTTAATTACTAGGGTTCTAACATAATTTAATTTAATTTAATTACTAGCCAATAATTATAATTAATTAAATTATTTGATATACTGGGACCCGTAGTCGAGGAATCCCTGCCTTCGCAACGTATTAAAGGAGACAAGACCCCTAGATATCAATTCCGTTAACTAGAGGTGGAAAATTTTTATATAATTATATTATATATAATGGGGTCAGCTTTATTATATGTATAATTTTATATATAATTTATGATTTTTAATGCAAATAACAGGTTACATAGTATGGTTTCAGGACTGAAGTTATACTTTTATTCCTCTCTTCCACCACCTATATTAATATCCTCTAATGCCAATATCTCGTCAATAAAAGTACTAATATCTTCCCAGCTATCCTCCTCATTATTATCCTTAATAGCCTCGATTTCTACTAAATCATCCTCCTGATTTAGTAATAAATCTGCTATTAATTCCTCCAGAAGCTTCGCTTCTTTATCTGTTTCCTTTATCGCCGCACGTATCAACCTGCAATTAATATATATAAAACAGAGCTTATCCATAGTCTCGATTAATATTCGATTTCGCAGTTTCGATTAAAGGAAGTTCATGGTAGAGAAGGCTCGTTCGGAAGCAACTGAATTGGCAGTCGTTATAACGGCTGGCGTAAGGGCATGATCTGCCAAGGACAGGATATCGGAAACAGGCACAAAACGAAGCTAAGCCAGAATTGCTTGGACGGAATAATACTAAAGGTCGAGGCATCCTCCCTACTTTGTTCTATAGCTTAGTATTTTCCAATATATGAGATTCTTTAAACTTTGAGCCTTTGACTATTATATTAATCCCGCTATTACATAATACTAAGCTTACTCGACTCGGCCTATAGAGGCAATATAATACTACCGGTAAAGGACTCGTATTTATTCTTAGAAAGCAAAGATAGAATACCGCTTTTAATATTTAATAATCTCCTCGAACTATAAAGAACTAGAGAGCTTAACTAGAAGTATAACGTCCTCTATAATCTAGTTAACCTCGGAGCCTGACCCTTAACTAGAGCAGATAATATTCCCCTCCTAGTAATCGGTTCTCTACTAATATAAAAGAAGAAAGATATTATCCTCTATAACTCGGTTAATCTCGGAGCCTGACCCTTAACTAGAATAGATAATATTCCCTTAATACTAACGAGAGTAAAAGAACCGGCCCCCTTTCCTGATATAGGAAGAATCGGTAATAGTTTACTAATTTAAAATAAGAAAAGATAATAGTCGGTTTTAATCTACTAACTTAAAACTAGATAAGATAATAATTAGTTATAGTTTACTAATATTAAATAAGAAGAACTTACTTAGTACTTACTTCTATAGCTAATACCTTTTCTAAAACTATTATAGATAGCCCGAGGCCAAGTACTACTACTATAAATATATTAGATAAAAGGCTCTAGTATAATAAAACGGAAAAGCTAGATTTTAATATTATAAACTTATATTACCGGGAAAGCTATTATAATACTATTCAGGAAAAAGATATTAAAAAATAACTAGCTAACTTAAAACTCAAAATTAATATAAATACTTTAAAAATAAATAAGGCCTAATAAAGATTATTTATATAAAATAATCTTATTAATAAATATTACCTTATAGCTAATAAATAAATAGAATATTACTAGAAATTTTACTTATATATTAACTAACTTACTAAGAAAGTTAATAAGCTAGAGATAATTACTAATTAACTTTATATAAGAGAAAAACTAGTATAAAAAAAAGTAATAAAATAGAGATCTAAATAAGTAAATATTTAGAAATACTATAGATTCTTATTAGGAGAACTATTTAGGGACTAATACTAAGGCTCTCTCCTGCTTTTAGTTTATAGTAATTAACTATAGCTTATTAGAATTAAGAATTCTATTCTATTTATAAATAAAAATAATTACTAGATTAATAATTAGATATTTAATATAAAAAATAAACTAATATAGAACTTCTCTAAATTTAATAGCAAATTACTAAAAATTACTTATATAGTATAACTAGTTACTAGAAATACCTATAACTTTATTTATAATTAACTAGAACCTGAATTAGTTAGATAGATCTTAATTATTAAATAGATTTTTAAGATTCTTTAATAAGCTTATAATAAAAATAAAGAAATAAAATACTAGGAAATAAAAGAGATATATTAGTATCTAAAATAAAGAAATAAGCTATTTCCGGTATTCTAGATAAAGTTTATTTATTTAATAATAAAACTAGAGAAGTTATTAGATAACTAATATAATAATTTAATAAATAAAATAAATCTCGAGCTATTTAAGAGCTTAAGTAATAAAAAGTTTAATACTTCTAAGAACCTTACTAAATAATATATAGAATAAGAGAATAGGCTTCTTTTAATTAAAAATTAGTAATTCTAGGAGAAATAACTAATAGAAATTACTTACTATTAAATATTATCTCGGATTAAAAAGCTTACCGGGATTTAAAAAGCTATAATAATTCTATATCTAGTAAATTAATCTTAGTAGTTAGTATTCTTATAGCTAAAGGAAATAGTTTATTAAGAATTTAAGAAAAAACTAGACTAGCTAAAAAGTTTTTATTATTATAGTTATAGAAAGCCTAGATATATAAAAAATACTTATCCTAACTTTAATAAGATTATATTTATTAAAGAGAATTATTTAGAAAAAGCTAATAATTTAGGAATAAATAATAAGAATACTAATTCTTATTTATTATCTAATAAGAAATATAATATTAATAAGTTAGGAAAAGTCTAGTTCTAGATATAAAAATAGCCTTCCTAGAATAAGAACTTTATTAAAAACCCGTAGATCTTATTTAGCTAATTAGCGGGAACTAGTTCCTTATTAATTATTAAATATACTAGAAAGGCAAAACTATAACTTTCTAGTATTTAGTAAATACTAGAATAAATATATATATTCTAATTAACTAAAAATATATTTGCCCCCTAACTAAAATATTATAAATGCCCTTATATAAACTTAAAACCCCTGTTTTTTTATAAGATTTTAATAGATAATCTAATAAAGCTATTTAATATATAATTATTATAAATCTAGTTATTAATTAATATTTCTAAACTTAATAATACTTATTTACTATTAATCTCGGCTCTTATAATATAATTCTAGAAAGAAAATAGCTAGTGAAATATAATATCTTACTAGACTATTAATAGAATTAACTTTATTAGCTAAAGAACTATAAGATAAATTAGCCGGATCTTATTTAGAAAATCTAATATTTTAATAAGAAATATTAAAAAGATAATTATTTCAAAGATATTCTAACTAGAATTCTAAAAGAAACTAGTAAAACTAAACCCGAGAAATAAAAGAATATATTTCTTATCTTTTTATAAAACTTTCTTATAAAGAAAGCCAAATACTAGATAAGAAAGGAAAAGCTAGATCTTAATATTCTTAAAATAGTTAAGTTACTAGACTATTTCTATTATTTTATTAAAATAGCTATTTTCTAATTAAGTACTAAAGACTCTAGTAATTTAATTAGATTAGTTACTATTAATGAGATTAATTATATACTTAAAAAATAGAGTTATAAACCAAAGAGATATTTATTACTACCCGTAGTAATTAGATAACTAATACTATAGCCTATCGGGTATTATACTTAAACTAGTAATCTAATATATTTCCTAGATATAAATAAATCTAATATTTTTAATAATATATTATTTTTTAATTTTAAAAAACTTTAAGAATTCCAAATATTTCTCCCTATATAGCTATATAATATAGCTAAGGCATTTTTCAAGAAAGTAGTAAATAAGCTTCCCTAGTCTTAACTTTTTAACTATAAGCTCCGTTTTAATAGACTAGATCCCTTAATAAAAATAGTTTATTTTTATAAGATAAGTTCTAGTAAACTCGAAAAATAAAAAAGTATCTTATTAAGAACCTAAAAAAGGGTTTTATTAAACTATCTAAATTTCTTTTTTTATTACTAGTCTTATTTATTAAAAAAAAAGACAATAGCCTATAATTTTATATTAATTATTAATAGCTAAATACTATAATAAAAAATAATTATTATTCCCTATTACTTATTACTAAAACTCTTAACTAATTAGCTAAATTATTAATATTTACTAAATTAGATATTTAATATACTTTTAACTAAATTTATATAGAACTAGCTTCTATAGTATAAGTAGCTTTTAGAATAAGATATAGATTCTTTAAACTAGTAGTTCTATTATTTAAACTCTATAATAATCTAGTAA